ATTTTATTACGTGTGTGTAGCATTATCTATCATGATCTATCTTGTAGTTGTCCAATTTTCCATCACAAATATTAGTTTTGAATTTCTGGCATACTTGTTAATCTGACATAATCATATGGAAGCAACCATGTCGGATTAATGGGATTTGACTGTATGTATGTAATTTTGGTGAGGTCATAATATTTATTTCACAGTGGGTGAGGTCACGATATGATATGTTTCATAGTGAAGTCACAGTAAGATACATATCATATTCATGATAATAGTTAGGTCAAAATACCTAGGTCACAGTAGTACATTTATTACAATAATGAGGTCACAATACGACACATATGATCATAATGATAGTGAGGTCACAATATGCGTACATGTATCTTGATAGCGAGGTCGGTGGTCCCAGTACAATACGTATCATGGTAGTTCAGTGTACTATTAAACCGTTCACTCAGAACTATGACAGAAGATGGGGAATGGATCCATCGTATTATGATAAAAACTCTGGACCCTTTTATTATCCTAGCTTTGATCCGGAATGTGATGATGTCAGCACCTCCTATCTCTAACCATTTGCTAACTTACCACAGATCACACGTTAATAAGCATGATAAGAGTGATTGAATTGGATGGCTATATTTAGTGTCTTGTCATTCAAAATGGATCCAAGACCAAACTGTTGGAGAAAATGGACATGTTGCATGTGTTCTTTCATCTGTAATTTGTGATGAACCTAAATAAAAAACCTTTCCCCGCACGTTTTTGAAAATTTGTGTTTGTTGGATGTTGCTATGGTATCAATGTATGCATTATAGACACATGATATACAGGAAAATGGTCACATATAGTTTCACATTTTTGATCATGGGAAACAGTTGCTTAAGTACTCACGGAAATAAAACATAACTGTTTTTTCGATCTCAGATTATAAATAAATGCAGTTAATATACAAAATATATAAATATTCAAACAACTCAATTAGTACTAATTGGGCCTTGGCACAAATACAGCGTATCAAAGGTTTTTATGTCTTTTTACACGTAAAAGTGTGTAAAAATATGAACAAAACAGACTATTATGAAACTGAGCATAACCAGGTGTTAGTAGATCAAGGTGAATGTCCATGACCTATGACACCTTGACGACAGGTGAAAACAGGTGCTTGAAACCCACGTTCATGGGATTTGTCAGTGGTTAGTGATTTGTCAGTGGCATTGTGGGATAGTGAATCATCATCAAAATATCAGAACGTAAATGTAACATATTCCCTTCTCAAACAACAACTTACATGTCATTATTATTATGTACATAAACATAGCTTTTATTTTTATTGTTGTTTTGATAACTTTTTTCCAGGCTAATTTGCCTATAGCCTGTTTCTGCCATGTCAATTTGGACTTAGTTTTATTTTTGAATGTTGAAAGTGCCTACAAATTACCTACTGTAAAGTACATTTTGTATTGAGCACTGAGATAAAACTAGCAAATCCAGACTAGTACTTTTCCAGTTGTTTTGTTATTTCGTATTTACATCTACGTAATGCTTTGTGTCGATTATTAAATCCAGCAAAACAGGTTTTTTTCATTTCCATGAGTACTTTAACATCTTAATTTCATAATTCCATTTCAATTTGTCACTTAGGTAAACATTTTCCAGCAAGATGAAGATATGAGGGATTTGGAAAAACGTAATATACCTGTATTTTCCAAACATATTGTGATATTCATTAGTATTTTATGTCGTGGTATACCAGTAATACCGCGCCTCTAGTATTAAAATAGAATGGAGATATAATATCCTTGATAAACAAGTTGCCTATGAGGGCTGAAAACAGCTCTGCCAGCAGAAAATTTCAGATTGTTTGATACAAGGCATTTGACAGTTACAATGGATTTATGATGTGAACGTAATCATAATGATAAACTTTTTCCTTGTCGGTAAATTACACACCCTTAAATGCAAATCAACAATTGTGTCCCGATGTTTGTGTAACCTATTTATACCGCTTAACAATACTTGCAGGTTAGATTTCATTTAACATGTTTAAGACCGCCTCCGTGGTCTAGTGGTAGACCGTCTGCCCAGAGTGCTCAGACCAAAAGATGTTAAAAGATGGTACTTGTTGTTACCCTGTCTGGCGCTCGGCATTAAGGGGCTTAAATAAGGACTGGTCGGCTCAGAGTCAGTATGCTGTGACTGAGTGGGGTATTCATTTGAAAACTGTGGCATGATATCTGAGTGAGCTAGCACTATAAAATCGGCATTAGTCTGGACTAGTACAAGCAGCCATACACACACACATACATGCACGTTGATGTACATGTGCAATCATCTTGGACGCGATGTTAAACCCCATTTCACCTCACCTTATAACATGTACAAACATGGTAAACATTATCCATATTGCACCTGTTACCACCTGGTAACCATGGTTGCACAATAGCGATAGTCAGACATTTACTGTTGTACTGTCATATGGGTGATTGTTACTGGCTGGTGTAGCAGCAGTGTACAAAATAAATGTTGACCGGTAGCCCATGACCACTTTCTTTTCTTTCTGGCCATTGTAAATATAATCTAGATAGCCCACCTGGCTAGCTGCATTTTCTATATAGTGAGCTATAATAAGTTAATGTTTCTCCCCAATTAAACAGATGCTGAAAAGAAAATGTCCACTTGAAAATAAGACTAATTTCTAAAAAACGTTATTAGCTGTTCTTTGAACTGTTGAAGGTCACAATATTCAAGAAACAGATGATAAATATCTCGTTTACATTGGCTGTCGCTCTTCAGAATTAATCATGTTAATTGATATTGACTCTGATTTATGTTCTTACCTTGTTGAAACGTGAAATAAGTTTCCTTCCTTTCTACCAGAGTTCTCCTTTTTGGCGATGTAATAAAACTGGCTACTTAATAGGCCTGGGACGAGTCCAAATTTACTACCCGGGTACCCACCCCCGTATTACTGACCCTACCCGGGTACCCACTGTAGGTCTCAAGAGATAGGAACAAAATGTCCAATTGGGCATTTTTTACCATAGCACTGGCAAAACGTATTTAAATATATGTATTAAACAATCTGGTCATGCATACACTGAAGTTGATTCACGTTGTATCTTTATTCAAAGATATGAAAAGTCAGAAGGAATGGGTGCATAGTCAGAAAGAAATGAGAAAATTTATAAATATTGTGACATGTAGTGTAACCATAGAGTTCTAAATACTTTTGTCATTAAATGATATATCACATGACTAACCACGGGTCCGGGTAGCCCTGTGGGTACCCGGGTCCAACTCAGTTCCCACCCGACCTGGGTACCCGAGTTACCCGTCCCAGCCCTACTACTTAAATCTGCAGTTGGTTTGAAAACAATTTCCAACTGGCCAGGACGACACTGGTTAAACACATTATGGATTTGAACCAATAGAAACTGCAGTGTTCATTTGGATAACTGGTATGATATGGAAATTGAAACCAGGATTCAGGAAGACTTTCAGCATTGTCACATGTGAGCTCTGTTATTGAGAGTGTTCACATTGTGCGGAGGTACAAAGTCCAGGACACGCCAAGTGTTGCTGTCACTGCCTGGCTTGGGCTTGTGTCACCTCTGACCATGTGATGCTCCTCATGTGAATAAAAGATCAGGGCCAGGAAATACTTGAAATTGTTATTGTCACTAATGTCTAGTGTTGACATTTGACAATTAATTTGTACATCATTTTACATAATGGTAATGCAAATTAGGCCTGGGACGGGTAACTTGGGTACCCGGGTCGGGTGGGTACTGAGTAGGACCTGGGTACCCACAGGAATACCTGGAACCGTGGTTAGTCATGTGATATTTTGTTTCATGATAAAAATTTACTATATAGCTACATGGTTACACAACAATATTAAGTCTCTAATGTTCGCATTTCTTCATGACTATGAACACGGTTCTTCTAACTTAAATATGTTTGAACAAAGCTCAAACTTCAGTCAACTTCAGTGTATGCATGACCACATCGTTTTATATGTGTATCTAAAAACATTCTGCCAGGGCTACTGTCAAACTATTCCCAATCGGACAATTTGTACCTATCTCTTGACACCAACAGCGGGTACCCGGGTTGGGTCGGTTAATAGGGGTGTGGGTACCCTGGTAGTAAATTTGGACTCGTCCCAGCCCTTATACAAATGTATATTTATGATGAATCATTGCTTGAGTGGAGATAACGGTACTTGAAGTACGCCATCTCTAGTGCACATGTTATAGACATGAAAATAAATATTTAGAATGTTCTAACATTGACGTCATGTATGACTGGTACATGAATGCATTGTGTAGATTACAAATAAAATAGACTGTTTTGGATTGACAAGGCTGTTAAATCTAGAGTATGCTGCACTTGGGGAGTAATTATTTGATTTCCCAGGTAGAATTTTGAATTGAGATAAAAAAAATATTGTTTAAGATCTGTATGAGCAATTGTTCAGTAAGTTCTCTTTTAAAATTAATAACAAAAGCTAACTGTTCTTTGGCCATTGTAACACTTCAATTTGTTTTGGGTTTTTTTTCGAAAAAAGTGTCATCAGTCTTAATTAGTTTATGCAGTCATAAACAGACACATGTGCATGTGCATCGGTGCTGTCGTAGAAACATGATCTTACATCTCATACAAGATTAAAATCATGGAAATTTCCTGCATGTCCTGAGACATAACTATATTTAGCATCATATACATGCCAGAGCTTGAAATTGTAGAGTTTGAAATGCTGTCTAACAATTTTTTAACTTACATGAAACATCGTTACAAACAATATTGAAGATGTTTATCAATAATAAGTTTCATGTTTTCATGCTATTTCAACTTATAAGTGCCGACCAAAGTCTTGACATTATGATAATAGTCTTTAATATGACACTACATTTTAGTTGATGCTAAGAGCCAACTTCAGGCTAGAAGATTGGAGGTTTATGGCCCAGTCTGTGATACAATAAATTTGCCTTGTGTTTTGGCAGGTATTTGCTGAGGAAGGACATTGTGTCTGGTATGACACATGTGGCACAGATACTGATACCAAAAAGGCCATCAATTGTGCTTACAATGGCACTGCCAAGCCCCTGGAAGATGAGGAAGCAGTGAACATATACAGGGACTACTGTCCTGACCTGTACGCCATGAGGAGTAAGTCTTTTTAATATACTTTCCCAAAAAAAATTCCAAAGTTGAGAAAAGTGATATTTTCATTGCAGTTATCATAAAAATTGATATTTCACTGCAGTGAACATAACACTTGATATTTCACTGCAGTGAACATAACACTTGATATTTCACTGCTGTGAAAATTACACTTTGACGGAACTATTGTCATACAAGAGTGACCTCCCCTCAAATTGTCTCCCTTTGCCGTAAGTGTCTAACCCATACTCAAACTGTAATGTCCTTTTCACTTTAGGCCAAATAATGACAGATGGCCATTTATGGAGTTAATATCGCTTCAGGCTGTTTGTTATTCTCTTGAAAGTGTTTCGTTATACACTGTAAATTTCTCACTGAACTGGTCAATTGATACTGTTCGTTTCGCAAAGCACCATTTTTGTCACTTGATCAGCGTGTATTCTTTCGCTTCCAGCAGCGGTTTAGCAGTTTTCAAATATAATTTTAGAAAAGTTGATTTTTGTATATATAATCATATCTGTATGTATGATACACAATTTCCGTGCTCCTTAAATAATTTAAGATTTTGCAAACACGAAACTACTTTTTTAATTGCAAATACAAGGGGTGGTGAACCGTCCCTGTGTGTTAGGTAGGGAGAATTTGCTTCCAGTACGCACAAATGTATAGAATGTATCAAAGAATATGTTGCCTCCCGATGGACACTCAATAATATTCATTGTACCAAATTCTTGACAAGAAATATAAAGGTCCTGTAATTAATGTAATTATAAAATCTTACCGTACAGCTAGTACGCTATACCATTTCATTACTGTGCAGGACCCCCATATTTAACTATTGGGAGTCTGATGAACCCCCAGTTTCATGTCAAGATAAAACCCTGCTGTGTGATTCACATACTAAACCTGGGGATTAACAATTTGAGAATGGTATTATCAATGATTATCAGTCTTACAGAAAAGGAAAGGCCCAAAACATGGCAAAATGACTTTCATGGAGTTCAAACATGAATCAAAAGTGTCCTTCTTGTGGGCTCCCTTTAATTCCAAGGGGCTCACTTTAATTCGAAGGGGCTCACTTTAATTCCAAGGGGCTCCCTTTAATTCCAAGGGGCTCACTTTAATTCCAAGGGGCTCACTTTAATTCCAAGGGGCACACTTTCATTCCAAGGGGCTCACTTTAATTCCATTCCAAGGGGCACACTTTAATTCCAAGGGGCACACTTTAATTCCAAGGGGCACACTTTAATTCCATTCCAAGGGGCACACTTTAATTCCAAGGGGCACACTTTAATTCCAAGGGGCACACTTTAATTCCAAGGGGCACACTTTAATTCCAAGGGGCACACTTAAACATCTTGATAAGCACATTTTTTTCTTACACTTGTTTGTCTTGTTCGGAAGGTTACCATAGTTACAGTACTGAGACTGGATTGTTGTCTAACTGATAATTGTCTGTGCAAAATAGAATCGTTATTCACTCTCTCAAAGCTTTAATTGTGTTTTAGACCACAAATTCAGATATATTTGTTATAAATATGCATAAGAAACTTTTTGTATGTTTTGTATACATTTTAACATGTATAGCAATGTGTAGTGGGGTGTCAAACTCACTTGCTCCAAAAATAACATAGGCAAGTGATAAGGAAGATATTTCTACAAACTCAAAGGATAGCTTGCTCAAAAGTTGTTTGATCAAGATTACAACGGTTAAGGCCTCAGTAAATGTTTCAAAACATTTTTTGGAAGACATGGGGAGGACATTTCCAAATTTGATGCAATGCCCTATTTTATTCCCCTTGCATATAATGCAGGGGGATGTAGCCATTGTCTGGGCTGTCCGTCCGTATTTCTTTTCAGGAGCATAACTTGAAAACCGTGCAATTATTTTCATCCAAACTTGGTGCTGAAGTGTGTTTTGCTATTGTGTGAGCTGGGGGTATTCTGATGACTCCTGTTTTTCATATGTGTTTACATTTGTTTGGCAATGGTGTCTTTAACCATGTTAACTGCACACTTTTTTTCAGATGGCAGTGCCCCTATGACCTGTTGCTCCGCTGACCAGCTGAAAATCCTCCAGTCCAATATGGACGTCCCTAAGCAAATGCTTTCTCGGTGCCCCTCATGTTTCCACAACTTTGTCAACTTGTACTGCTATTTCACATGCGCACCAGACCACAGCAGGTTTTTGCGCATCAATACAACAGAAACCAACCCAATCTCTACAGCAAAGAAAACAGTTGCTGTTAAATCTGTGGACTGCCTGGTGTCTCCATCATTTGCTAATGGCATGTTTAACTCCTGTAAGAATGTCCAGATGCCCAGTGCTAATGAACGAGCCTTGGGTATCCTGTGTGGTCACTCTGCCGATCAGTGCACACCTCAGAACTGGCTGGACTACATGGGTGGCACAGCCAATGGACAGACCCCATTTCAGATCAACTTCCATCTTGGAAACTCTAGTAAGGTCTTCCCAAAACTGGAACCACTTAGTGCCAAAATCATCCCTTGTTCTCAGGCTCTGACAAATGACACCAACCCCTGCAGTTGTCAGGACTGTGCGGACATGTGTACCCCTGCCATCCCACCACCCCCGCCAGCCAAGCCCTGGAAGATCCTTCACATCGACGGCTACTGCTTCATCATGGGAGCAATCTTCATCTTCTTCACCGCCTTCTTTGGAGTGTATGCTATTTGCTACAACATCATCGTGCAGGACTCGCTCTCCCTGGACGGGATTGATGAGGAAGATGATGAAGGGAACCCAATCTACAGGATTGACGACCAGGGCAAGAAGAAGCGGAGGAAGAACTCCTTCTCTTCTATCAGGAAGGATCAGCTGGGAATCACTGAGAAACTTGGAGCTAGAATGGAGATGATGTTTGAGAAAGCTTTCAGCCGTTGGGGCACAATGTGTGCCAGACACCCGTACATCGTTTTTGGCATCAGTGCTGTCATCATTGTCATCTTGGTTGCTGGAATAGCACTGTTCCAGGTCACCACGTCGCCCGTCAAACTGTGGTCATCCCCAGATAGCCGTGCTAGACAGGAAAAGGACTACTTTGACAACCATTTTGTGTGAGTTGTTAAGGATTCTTCTTATGAACGTGTTAACCCTGTACATGGCTGTAGGGAACTTGGTTCTGATTGGTCCCCAGCATTCCCTTGCTGGTCGTGGTCAGACTCGGTGACTTTGTTGATTGCACGTCACTGTACTACAACCATGTTGCCACTGGCTTGTCTGGTCGAGACTTAATTATTTACAGGCCACTGTAATGTAGTTGGAATATTGCTGACTGTGGCTTAAAACGATAAACATGCAAACAAAAACAATGTACAATTGCACTTGTATGCAAGCATAAGGGTATCAACCTACTGCCATATGTCGAAGTTGTTTCTATTGCTAGTAGTTGCAGAGCTCCAGATAACTTTTTGAGCAATTGAGTTTTTACTCTAGGGTTTCAATTTTAATTGGGTTATTATATTTATCATTGGGTAACTATTTTTTCACTCATCTATTCATCACTCTTTTGGGTTTTTCCTAACATTAGTGAACATTATAAGATTTAAAAAATTAAATAATGACTAGATGTATATAACTGTTCTAAATATATAGGCTTGACTCAGAAAGTAAATTAGATTGTAATTGTGTTTTGGAAATTAGCTCCTTTGTACATTGTTGTACACATGCTGAAAAAGCTTCATTGGGTATTTACTCATGTTGTTTTATACATTTGAGTTTTTCATTTAATTCATGCGTTTCTGTACGCAAGCTAATTGAAAGTAATTGGGTTTTTAATAATTTTGGGGGGTATTTTACGCAGATATGCTGCTTATCTGTAGCTCTGTAGTTGGTTAGATGAAGTTTTACTATGATTAAATCTTAGCCTTGGTGTTTCATAAGCTGAAACAATAAGGAGACTCTTAGCCAGGTTATGATATGCACGATGCACGACACATCGGAGGTTAATGCTGAATACAATATGCAGATGAATGAAAACAGACCACTTGTATGACCACTTGTATGACCACTTTAGATCTACTTGTGTGAGAATAGGCCCAACACTGACTTACACTGGCCCAGGGGTAGTCTAATGTAAACAAATTGTTGACTCATCACACGAAGGGCATGGTTTGATTCCCCACAATGGTACAGTGTGTAAAACCTAGTCCTGATGCTCCCTGCAGTGATGTGGCTGACACAGCGCGCTAAAACCACTCAGTGACATAGTAGACTGAAAACTTTTGACAGATGTTGAAGGCACCTATTGGCATGATAAATAGCAAGGAATAACAGTGGATTGAATGTGTTTGGTTGCCATGGTTACAGCAGAGCTGCAACTAGTTATGTCCTGCGGCCCATGTCACACAGCTGCCTTCATGGCTTTAGTGGCTGGTATGTGTCCGTGTAAATTATATTAGTTACAAAAACTGAAGCCAGATTGTTTCAGAAAGCAGATGTCTAATTGGCTCGAGAACCCACACGTCCTTCATTTAGTTTGGGCAGTAAAGTTCACTCAGGGGCTAGTTTGCGCGATCCTCTATGGAGAGGTATCCTTTAGGAATAAAAGATGAGGACCCACTTGCACAAAGCAATATTAGCGCTGCAACTATTGTAAGCCTATGTTAAAGTATGGGAGTTACGATCATCTTAGCGCTAAGATCACTTTGTGCAAGTGGGTCCTTATTTTTAATGAGATTGTGAACCAAGTCCTCCCAACTATTATTGATTTCAAGGGGTAACGGGTGGCCCAGTCGTCTAAGGCTCCGCGATTCGCTGTGCAGAGTTGCGTCCCTTGGGCACGCCAGAAACCTATGATTGTGGGTTCGAATCCCGGTCGCCCCGATTATGTTTCTAGGTTTGTCAGCACCATACCCGTGCTCGTGGGTTTCACCGAAGTGGTAAACGTCTGAGACCTGCATCACTTCGGGCTTTCCTCCCACATTAAGCTGACATGCCACGATATAACTGGAATACTGTTAAAAGCGGCGTTAAACCCAACTCACTCACTATTGATTTCAAGACCCCATTCCACAAAACGATCTTAGTACTAAAATCATAGGAACACCTGGGCCCACTTGCACAAAGCATTCTTGGCACTACAACTATTGTAAGCCTATGTTAAAGTATGGGAGTTACGATCATCTTAGCGCGAAGATCACTTTGTGCTAGTGGGTCCTGTACTTTAACCATGATAACATAGACTTACGACAGTCGTAGTTCTACGATCGCTTTGTGGGATGGTATTTGTCTGTAAACATGGTAAATTCAGACCCCTTTTGGTGACCGTTTTGTCATCAATCATCATTTGTCAGAAGAGCTGATTTCTTCGTTTCAAACCCCGATGTCCACGATTTGTTCTGATTATGATCCTTGGTCTCTCTGTATCGCAAAACTGTTGATGGCTTTTACTGGTGGTAGACGTCTATAGATGGCACTGATTGACTTTTGAATAATGTAGGCGTGGATGTGTAGGTGTGTACTGGATAATAAGATATATTGATCTATAATCCGAAGCAGGTACCAAGCATCTGTATTGCGATACATATTGTGATATATTGGGAGCTAAATTGCTTGACAGTGATTGAACATGCAGATCATTTTTCCACATGTATACTAAAGTAAGTATTACTCAGCATGGTCAGTCGCTGCCATATTGTAGTCATGGATACAGGGGAGATAACAACGGGAAAGAAAAACACCTTCTGCATTTTCCGCCATTTTGTCAATCAATTTTTGAAGGGAAACGTTGTGAATGATTTTTCATGTAGATGTAAGACTAAACAATACAGATAATAACAACACATTTTATAATATTTAACTCAATATACCATGTATACCATGAATAACATGTTGCAATATACCGGTAATACTGTGCAGTATTGTTACTTCTGCCCATGTTTGTGTCAGGCCTTTCTACCGGACCCAGCAACTGATTATCACCCGCACCGGCAACCACTCCAAGGTGGCCCACAGGTTCCCGCCTCCCTCCACGGAGTATGAATACTTCCCAGCCATCTTTGATAAAGAGTTCCTGCATCAGGTAAGAGAATCTGTTAGCATGGTTAGTGTTGTCATGACAATGGTTTTGTTGGACTGACCGTTTGACATTCTGGGGTGGGTGGGGCCTGGGATTTTGTGATGAGACCAGATACTTTTTCAGCTACAGCTGCAAAACCAGATACATTTTTTTTTGAAACTCTGAGCCCAAATATTTTCTTCACAATCCCAGCCCCCCTACACACACCGTTTGCTGTATTGTGAACAGTTCAGTCACATAGGACACAAATTGTCCATGTCATGCCTTGTCCTTGAAAATGATGTAAGATGATGAGCACTGACACGCCGGACAGAGACCTGAATTCAATTCCCCACATGGTTACAATTTACGTAACTTGTGTCCTACTCCGTGATATTGCTGGAATATTGGCAAAAGTGGTGTAAAACCATACTCACACATTCAAATTCAAAATGGCAACGACCCATGAAGATCCAGGGTAGAATAGGTCTTCAGCAACCTATGCTTTCCGTAAAAGGCGACTATGCTTGTCGTAAGAGGGGACTAACAGGATCGGGTGGTCAGCCTCGCTGACTTGGTTGAAGCATGTCATCGATCCCAATTGCATGGATCAATGCTCATGATATCAATCACTGGATTGTCTGGTTCAGACTCGATTATTTACAGACCGCCGTCATATAGCTGGAATATTGCTGAGTGCGACGTAAAACAACAAACCAACCAACCAATCAAAATGGCTACCATGGCACTCTTATTGGAAACCTTTCATGGGCCAAGATGATGAAATGTTTGAAGTGTGTTATCTGTTTGTTTTAGGTTCTGAGACTTCAGAACACAGTGGAGCATCTGACAACAAAACTAGGAAACGACACTGTGAGCCTGCAGGACATCTGCTTCCAGCCCATGGCGCCAGCATACCCCAACTGTACCATTCAGAGCATCTTGCAGTACTACCAAGACTCACATGAAATGCTGGACAAAACGGTTATGGATAGCTCAGGCTTCTTTGTGGCGGCCGATTATCTGGACCACTTTCTCTACTGTGTCAGGTGAAGATCCCCAGTCGGTGGTCCTCAGTACCTCAGACTTGTCATCCAGTGTTCACTTACCATGACTGCATACAATATACCCTAGAGGTGGGGGGGTGGGGTTTTGTTGGGGCTTAAAGGGCAAGTGAAGTCAACATATCAACTTTGCAGATTTTAATACTTTAGCATGTTTAGGGCATACTCAAACACAAATGCTTGACCAAAGATAATTTTGAAAATTGGAAAGCAGACGATAATACCAACAGGCAAAATCATCCACCAAACAAAAAATTCCGCCACTAAGGGGCTTCTCCTTACTGTTGTTAAAACAGGTTCCAGGTATTTGACACACTGTGCAGTGACAACAATCATGATGATTATGGAGATCGGCGATGCCGAGTATGTCTGCTTCTGCCTCGGATTATTTTCTTTTTCTGCCTGCCTACAATTTGTTTAACTAGTAAGATCGTAGTTTTAGGCCACGCCCCCAAATAAGTTGCTTTTGAAGCTGATTACTGAGCATGTGATATTATCAATTTTTCTTTCTCGGAAATAACTAATCATCTTTTTCACTTTTCTTGCCCTTTACAAAGTCTTATGTCTGAGTTACTTTAAATATATGTGGGCAGTTGGGTGGCCTAGTGGTTAAATTGTTCACTCGTCATTCTGAAGACCCAGGTCTATTTCCCCACGTCAATACAATATGTGAAGCGCATTTCTGGTGTCCCCCATTGATGCATATTGCGGGAATATTTCAGAAAGCGGCCTAAATCCATACTCACATAGATGTAGCATCATTGTATTAATACATGACTTCACAGTAAGCTACTCACATAAATGTAGCATCATTGTATCAATACATGCCCTCACAGGGAGCTAGTCACAAAGATGTAGCATCATTGTATTAATACATGACTTCACAGTAAGCTACTCACATAAATGTAGCATCATTGTATCAATACATGCCCTCACAGGGAGCTAGTCACAAAGATGTAGCATCATTGTATTAATACATGACTTCACAGTAAGCTACTCACATAAATGTAGCATCATTGTATCAATACATGCCCTCACAGGGAGCTAGTCACAAAGATGTAGCATCATTGTATTAATACATGACTTCACAGTAAGCTACTCACATAAATGTAGCATCATTGTATCAATACATGCCCTCACAGGGAGCTAGTCACAAAGATGTAGCATCATTGTATTAATACATGACTTCACAGTAAGCTACTCACATAAATGTAGCATCATTTTATCAATACATGCCCTCACAGGGAGCTAGTCACATAGATGTAGCATCATTGTATTAATACATGACTTCACAGTAAGCTACTCACATAAATGTAGCATCATTGTATCAATACATGCCCTCACAGGGAGCTAGTCACATAGATGTAGCATCATTGTATTAATACATGACTTCACAGTAAGCTACTCACATAAATGTAGCATCATTGTATCAATACATGCCCTCACAGGGAGCTAGTCACAAAGATGTAGCATCATTGTATTAATACATGACTTCACAGTAAGCTACTCACATAAATGTAGCATCATTGTATCAATACATGCCCTCACAGGGAGCTAGTCACAAAGATGTAGCATCATTGTATTAATACATGACTTCACAGTAAGCTACTCACATAAATGTAGCATCATTGTATCAATACATGCCCTCACAGGGAGCTAGTCACATAGATGTAGCATCATTGTATTAATACATGACTTCACAGTAAGCTACTCACATAAATGTAGCATCATTGTATCAATACATGCCCTCACAGGGAGCTAGTCACAAAGATGTAGCATCATTGTATTAATACATGACTTCACAGTAAGCTACTCACATAAATGTAGCATCATTGTATCAATACATGCCCTCACAGGGAGCTAGTCACATAGATGTAGCATCATTGTATTAATACATGACTTCACAGTAAGCTACTCACATAAATGTAGCATCATTGTATCAATACATGCCCTCACAGGGAGCTAGTCACAAAGATGTAACATCATTGTATTAATACAAGAGCTTGCAGTAAGCTACTTAGAGATAGCGTCATTGTATTAATACAAGACCTCACAGGAAGCTACTCTTATTGAGATACAAACACAATGGAGGGAATCTCTTGTAAATCTTGCATGCCCCACTGCAAGGTGCATCTTCTGTCGTCTAATAAAGTTCCTCGTGTCTCCAGAGCCCCTGCATCACTGAATGACACCACCAAGCTCCACACCTCATGCCTGGGGACGGATGGGGCACCAACCTTCCCCTGGGTGGCGCTGGGAGGATTTGATGGTAGGTTCCATGCAGGGGTCCGGAAAATTTAAAATCCCATCGGACATTTGCATTAAGGCCACGCCCCCTTCAAATAGCATATTTTATTTAGTACGACTTTTCACACACATTACAAGTTTACGTATTCATAATATGATGAATTATGAACGGTTTCAATTTAAATTGTTTAATTCACCGGACAATTAATATCATTTTAGATTTACATGGAAAACATACGTTTGTTTCTTTTATAATAACGATCTGTTAACGTAGTGAACGGTCTAATTAATATTCATGGCTTATATTCATGAGTCTGCTCAAGTGTACACGTTGTAACATTTGGATCGAGACTATTATCCCATATTTGGTTATCACGTGACCTCACGGGAAATGGGTTTTTTTAAACTAAAGATTTTTTTAAAAACAAGACAGATAATTTAATCACAAATACAAAAATATCGTTGATAGCAATAGTTATTTGAATACTTTTTTCATCTGTACTTATTTATTGACCATAAAAAAATTGGATATCGATCGTCCGAGAAAGCAAAATGGCGGTCAATCAAGATTCAATATACGACTAGCTACTGAAAACAATAAAATCTGCAAATCCTCATTGTATGTCAACCAAGTGAAAGTCGTTAGCCACGACTTACAAAATGATCGTCCAGACTTTGAGGGTTTGGCAGATCCGCTCGACTGATCTGCATCGGTCGACTGGCTGTCGTCAAGCTTTCGCTTCTTGTCTGAGGTTACGTATCGTAGCATTGTGAGGATAATGAGGTACATCGATGATGCAAGGTATTAATGTACAGTTGTAAACACCTTTCACTCAAATTAACAAGATGTTCTCAGTAATTAATCCTCGATTAATCAGTGTCAACTCAGTTTATTGCCGATTACAGTGATTGACCGATTGGACTATCATGTAGGTACGATGTATTTACAGCAATCAAAACAAACAAAGCTTGTCAGTGTAGTTAATCTTCATTGTGTTGCAACTGCAGACAAAAACTGCTCAGTCCTAACTGTTGATCACGTCCGGTCAAAATTTAAGAATGTCCGGACAATACTTTTTAAAATGTCCGGTAAGCAATATGTTAAAACGGACATTTGAGATTCCCAATCGGACATGTCCGGCGCATATGACGGTTTCCGGACCCCTGGTTCCATGTCTAGGTCATCATGGCTACTGCAATACTGATGTATCTAGAACTGCTCACAGGCCAATACTCCACCCCAAATACTGAAGCAATTGTCGGTTAGAATTCCCAAATGTAAGGTAAAATATTTGCTAGGTCATATTATAAATATTACACTAATATTAATACTTTGCAGAGGTGATTGCATTTCACTGATAACAGGACCAGTAAACAAGAAGATGCTGTTTAGTTTCACAATTTTTCTTATAATCAAAATATTAACATACCTTGAATTCACGAAAATATGGCCTTCACACTTTTGAACACAGTAATGTTATTTTACCAATTTGCCTGCCAAGCTCACTTAGTTTGGTATCCAATGTAAGTCCCTGTTCTGTTTTTGCCACTGTACTGGTTGTGACCCAGAATACTTGATAGTTGGTGGTGGTCCACATTTGACAGTAATGGTAATGTAAGAACCTTTGCCCCGTCCACAGGTGACAACTACCACAACGCCACAGCCCTGGTTATAACATTCCTGGTCAACAACCATGTCAACGAGGCAGACAATGCTAAAGCAGAAGCTTGGGAAGCAGAGTATATCAAGTTCATAAAGGGCTTCTCCAACCCCAACATGTCCATCGCTTTCTCCTCGGAGGTAAGTGGGACATTACAAACCATTTATGATGAAGCACATCCCCAATATGTGCATGGCTTTCTCAAAAGTAAGTACAACACTTCTGTAAGCATGACTTGGAACATGTTGAAGGACCTTATAATTGCTAAGTGTTATTAGATGAAGAAATGTCCATTGCGTTCTCCACATTTTGTGACAGGCATCTTCGTCAGAATTATTCAGTATTCAGAAGTGATGCTAAAATTTACCCCTGCCCAATGTGCTATTCCCTTTTGAAATGTCACACAGACATGTTTATTGACATGTTAATTGAAATGATTACTGTATCCAGAACAAACCTTGCATTTCAGTACAGCATATTCTCTCATCTTTTATTTCCTCTTTTTTTCTTTCTTCAGCGGTCAATCCAGGATGAGCTTGACCGTGAGAGTTCCTCCGACATCAAAACAATCCTCATCAGCTACCTCATCATGTTCGCCTACATCTCCCTCACCCTAGGCAAGATCAACACCTGCGCCAGATTCTTTGTAAGACAACCCCGTCTCAGAACATAAGACTTTAATATTCTTTTTGTCTAAGGCCTATTAATACAATTTAAGAATACATTCGGCTCTGACATATTAAATTTTCACCATCGAAAAAGATTTGTTTGGGGGAAGGTTTATCTCAAAAGGGAAGGAGTTGGCCAAGTGGCCTTATGCACCAGAGTTCATTTTGCAAAGTTGCTTCCCTTAATCTGTTCTGGATGGTCATAGGTTTCAATCCCAGATTCTTGGTCTGTTAGCTCCATACCTGTACTTGCAGCTTTCACCAAAGTGTTTAAAGTCTTCCACCTACAACATGTTTGGTTTCATCCATGTTTCGCGACATGATGTCAAATAACCGAAATGCTGTGGCGTGATACAAAGCTCATTCACTTCGTGTGAAAATGTCAGATGTTGAAATCATTAATTCAATCATTGAAATGTGCTAATGATTTCTATCACTGGATTAGACTGACTGACATTAGACTGACTGACATTAGACTGACTGACTGACTGACTGACTGACTGACTGACTGACATTAGACTGACTGACTGACTGACTGACTGACATTAGACTGACTGACTGACTGACTGACTGACTGACTGACTGACTGACTGACTGACATTAGACTGACTGACTGACTGACTGACTGACTGACTGACATTAGACTGACTGACTGACTGACTGACTGACTGACATTAGACTGACTGACTGACTGACTGACTGACTGACTGACTGACTGACATTAGACTGACTGACTGACTGACAGACTGACATTAGACTGACTGACTGACTGACTGACAGACTGACATTAGACTGACTGACTGACTGACTGACTGACATTAGACTGACTGACTGACTGACTGCCTGACTGACATTAGACTGACTGACTGACTGACTGACTGACATTAGACTGACTGACTGACTGACTGACTGACATTAGACTGACTGACTGACTGACTGACTGACTGACTGACATTAGACTGACTGACTGACATTAGACTGACTGACTGACTGACTGACATTAGACTGACTGACTGACTGACTGACTGACATTAGACTGACTGACTGACTGACATTAGACTGACTGACTGACTGACTGACTGACTGACTGACATTAGACTGACTGACTGACTGACTGACTGACATTAGACTGACTGACTGACTGACTGACATTAGACTGACTGACTGACTGACTGACTGACTGACTGACTGACTGACTGACATTAGACTGACTGACTGACTGACTGACTGACATTAGACTGACTGACTGACTGACTGACATTAGACTGACTGACTGACTGACTGACTGACTGACATTAGACTGACTGACTGACTGACTGACTGACTGACATTAGACTGACTGACTGACATTAGACTGACTGACTGACTGACTGACTGACTGACTGACGTATCTGAAATACTCATGCCAGTCATCTTCTCTTCCTCAGGTTGACTCCAAAATAACTATGGGTCTGGCCGGCGTGCTGATTGTGCTTCTGTCGGTGGGGTGTTCTCTCGGCTTCTTCAGCTACGTAGGCCAGCCGGCCACTCTGATCATCATCGAGGTTGTACCCTTCCTCGTGCTGGCTGTTGGCGTGGACAACATCTTCATCCTAGTACAGGCCTATCAGGTAACTTCCGATGAAGTCAATGAGTGCTGCTTTGCCATCAGCTTGACCCTCACTGATGCAATTTTACCAATATCACTGGATGTTAGCATCTACCATTTCTATTGTACCATATATTGTCATGAATAGAAGAGGATACTACCCGTAAAGATCCAGGTTAGAAGGATTGCCCTAAAATGCGGCTATGTTTGTCGTAAGAGGCGACTAATGGGATAGGGTGGTCAGGCTCACTGACTTGCATGGTTGATGCATGTGATTGTATCCCAAATGCCTAGATCGTTGCTCATCATGTCAATCACTGGATTGGTCCAGTGGTTATTTACTGACCACCGTCATGTAGTTGGAATATTGCTGAGTGCGGCGTTAAAGAACCAACAAACAAAGAAAAGATTATACCTGAGCACCGTGCCTGGGACAGTGTGCACACCTCACCCCATTCCTACCATTCAAAATCCTGCATCTCAATTTGGAACTACTATATGCAGGATCACAATCCATTTCACAGAATTGTTTTTGTGACTTTTGACAGCAATAATGTATGTTTTCAGTTACCACGGTAACATACATTTAACCCATTAACCGCTAGTCCTCTTAATATAACGTCTTAACCTCCTGTCTTGGGACACATGATGTTAATCTCCATACTGACTAGAGGACTTGATTATTCCAGCGTGATCAGCGGCAAGCGTCAGAGGACCTGGAACAGCAGATAGGCCGCATTGTGGGCAAAGTGGGACCCAGTATGATGCTGACCAGCTTCTCTGAGTCCATCGCTTTCTTCCTTGGTAAGTGGAGCTGCTAGGATTACCCAGACTATTTAATGCGGATTTGTAGATGGCTGTTGTTGCATATGTGGGAACGTGTGTGTGTGATGTCAGTATTGTTTGCTTTATGAATTGTGATGAATGTGATATACTAGCATAAGCCCTAACTCTTTGTATGTACAGCACACAGGACATCGATCACAGTCATGTTGTGCTTGAATTGCTTGTTTCTTTTTCAGGTGCCCTGACCGACATGCCAGCAGTGAAGATCTTCTCTCTGTATGCAGCCATGGCTGTCTTTTTTGACTTCTTGCTGCAGATCACCTGTCTGGTGGCACTAATGTGCCTGGATGCCAAGAGACAGGAGGTGAGTATCTGCAGATCACATGTCTGGTGGCACTAATGTGCCTGGATGCCAGGTTACAGGAGGTTAGTGTCTGCAGATCACATGTGTGGTGGCACTTATGTGCCTGGATGCAAAGAGACAGGAGGTGAGTGTCTGCAGATCACTTGTCTGGTGGCAATAATGTGCTTGGATGCAAAGAGACAGGAGGTGAGTGTCTGCAGATCACTTGTCTGGTGGCACTTATGTGCCTGGATGCCAAGAGACAGGAGGTTAGTGTCTGCAGATCACTTGTCTGGTGGCAATAATGTGCCTGGATGCCAAGAGACAGGAGGTGAGTGTCTGCAGATCACGTGTCTGGTGGCGCTAATGTGCCTGGATGCCAAGAGACAGGAGGTGAGTGTCTGCAGATCACGTGTCTGGTGGCACTTATGTGCCTGGATGCCAAGAGACAGGAGGTTAGTGTCTGCAGATCACATGTGTGGTGGCACTAATGTGCGTGGATGCCATGAGACAGATATTACAGGATGCAGATATTACTCGAATAATGCTAAAAGCAGTGTAAAATCATACTCCCTCTCCCTGTTAATATGTGAATGCCATTATTGAATGCAGCTTTCTGTTTCTAGAAAAATCACTTTGACTGTTGCTGCTGTGTGAAGATGAGGAATGCAGAGAAGGAGGAGAAGCGCGAGGGCCTGCTGTACACGTTCGTCAAGGACTACTACTCTCACTTCATCATGAAGGAGTGGGTCCGGCCTATCGTGGTCAGTTCAAATTGATGTTTCAGATTTCACTAGTTTATCACAATCAACTAAGCACAATATTCCTGCATTGTGACATTGTCAATGTCAAATGTTTTAGCATTTCTTAGCATGTATTTAGATATCCTTCTATGCTTATGCTGTTATATATTAACTACCATGTCTTCGTAGATTTGTGACCCCTAGGGGGAACTGAAAAGCATCTCTTTAAGATTATTTTGTTTTATTTTTGTGTGTTGTTGTTGTATTGTTGTTTAACGGCACACTCAGCAATATTCCAGGCGGAGGTCTGTAAATAATCATGTCTGGACCAGACAATCCAGAGATTTTGATATTGTGAACAATTCACGCTGTCGGTTTACACTGACACGCCATCTACCAAGTCACTGAGCCTGACCAACCCGTCCATTTGGTCACCTCTTTCAATCAGGTTTCTGGACCTGTTCTAACTCTGTATCGCCATGGGGTCTCTTTAAGATTTGTTTTGTCACTTTATAGAGGCCATTTGTATTGATAGTGATACAGTACATAGAGGTCTCTTGGCATAACACCAGTATCTCTCAGCCTGTGTGTCAACTGTGTTGTAGATGATTGTCTTCGTTGGCTGGTTCTGTGCAAGTTGTGCCATGGCACCAAGGATTGAAATCGGGTTGGATCAAAAACTGTCCATGCCAGAGGTGAGATTCACAGAACATTGCAACATTATTCAGTCACAGTTAGGTTAGTGTGATAAAACCATACTTGGAATCTAGTTTGTGTCACTAAGATGACATATTACTCCTCTCATATCCCCACAACTGTAGGTCAGGGTTCCAGATAATGTTTTGAGTCATTGAGTTCTTACCCCTTTCATACTTGGTATTGATCGTTTTTTAATACATATATATAATCAATTTATATAACTTATCCTATCTTACACTATGTATTTCTTCCCTTTCTTTTGATCTTGGTGTGGAAACGATCCAATTTCCAGCTTAAAAAAACATATCACCCAAACAAGTCCTAGCCGTGACCAAGGTAACTATCATCACCACTGGTCAGTGCAATGCATGATGGTAACCTTGGTAATGGCTGTGATGTGTTTGGGTGATATGTTTTTTGAAGTTAGAAATGTGTTCTAGGATTGTTTCTTCACCAAGATTGAAAGAAAAGCATACTGTGAGATAGATAGTTATACTAAATATACAACTTATTGTAAATATTATTTTTAAAAATTTCTCTTGGGTCTAGTCTATGTATCCGTGTGCTGGCCCAAGTGTGTACATGTCACATAAACTCGCAACAGTGACATATATGTCTAATTAACTATAAGAGATGTACGCAAGATTATGCCTGCATTTGATCAGTAAATATAACTAAGAACTACAAGTATGCAAGATGAAAAGGATACAGAAGGTGATTACACAGTGTTGTCTTACTATTGTTTGTTGTTTAAATTTTTATGCATATTTATGTGTATATAAACATAGAATTATTTGAGTAATGGGATTTATTTTGCATATTTAGAGGAGGGACGCAGCTTACCTGGAGCCCCGTTAGATCCTATACAGGTATCATATGTTTTGTATGTTGTACATTTAGGACTCGTACGTTCTGGATTACTTCGGCAACTTGTCAGCCTACCTGTCTGTTGGCCCACCGGTGTACTTCGTGGTCAAGTCCGGACACAACTACACCACCACAGCAGGCCAGAATGACATCTGCGGCGGCAACGGTTGTCCGGAAAATTCTGTTCTCGGACAAATCTTCAAGGCAGCACAACAGGCTAATTAGTGAGTAACATGATTTTGACTGTCATTTCTATAGATTATCTCTTCTCATATCATTGACACACAGGCAAAAAGAATTAATTTGTTGTGTGGTATCAATAATATTTTTCTTTTCTGACAGCAGCTGCTTAGGTTATTAGATCAAATGAAATATTATTTCATAAGTTGACAAAAATTATTAGCAGTATTTGAAACATACTGCAGCATCTTACATCCCAGATTATCCAGTGTAAATGTTAAGGATGGTACTTATGATCTTAGTTGGCACTAACATTAAGGGGCTAAAACAAGTACTGGTCTGCACAGAGTATACTGTTCTGAGTGGGGTATCCATGTTAAACTGCAGCTTGGTGTCTCAGAGATAAGCTCTACAAAACCAGCATTAATCCGGACTAGTGACACACACACACGTATGCACACATCACGTGATAGTCTCCAGTGTACTGATTAATACCTTGACCCGTTCTCAACTGTGTATGATTGTGATGTTTACTAGCACCCGCATCGCCCACCCTGCCTCCTCGTGGCTGGACGACTACTTCAGCTGGCTCACCCCTGACGGCAACCCGCCATGTTGCCGCTACTACAACGAGACCGACACATTCTGCAAAGCTACAAGTGAGGACATTAATCATTGCCTTCTATGTGTTTTCACTTCTTTGTTAGGCCGGGTCAATTAATGAATCTTCAGTTGGGTACTTAACTTAAAAAATCTGTCAAATGATTTTCATTCATAGCTGGGTGCAAGAGATTTATTGTCCCACTCAGAAATCCATGTGCAGCCTGTTTGCTTCGTGGCGGGATGTAAGGGATTTATTCTCCTGCTCAGAAATGTTTTTCCCTCCCATGCGGGTTATGTAGTATTTTATCTAGATATCAATATTGTCACATGGAGGTAAGATAATATAGATTTGGAGATTCTTGAATGTGATATGTAGATTTTGTTACAGACTCTTGAAGTAACTAGGTTATCAACCAAACATTTCGTTGATATTAGATAATCTCATGTTTCAGTTGTCAATGACTCCTGTGTTAAATGCAACCTAACCAACTTTGCAAAAGGACGTCCTTCAGAGGAGGACTTCATGCCCTTCTTGCCCTGGTACCTGGAGGACATTCCTGAAGTCAAGTGTTCCAAAGGGTAGGTTCCTCTTCATGGTGGGGTTAAGGGTTAGGATTGGCCCACAGTAACTTATGCATACAAGGAGGCAGAAGTGGAATGGGTGTTCGGTCTCGGTGACTTGCTTGATCATATGTCAACATGACGCAGTGGCGTGGATCGCTGCTTGTTTTCAGATACTGATTTCTCTGGCCAAGACTATTTACAGCTTACCTTAGTATTGCTGGAGTATTGCTGACTGTGGTGTTAAATAACATTCATCCATTCACTTATGAGGATAGAGTTGTTACAGTGTGTGACCTGGCTGATTGGGTGTCCTTGAGGCCTGACAGCATCTGTCGTTCTTGCTATCATCTAGGGGGGGCACGGGTGGCCCAGTCGTCTAAGGCACCGCGATAAGCTGTGCATAGTTGCGTCCCTTGGGCACGCCAGAAACCTATGATTGTGGGTTCGAATCCCGGTTTGCCCCGATTATTTGTCAGCACCATACCCGCGCTCGTGGGTTTCACCGAAGTGGTAAACGTCTGAGACCTGCATCACTTCGGGCTTTCCTCCCACATTAGGCTGACACGCCGTGATATAACTGGAATACTGTTAAAAGCGGCGTTAAACCCAAGTCACCCACTCACTATCATCTAGGGCTGTGATGGGTTGGAAATGGACTCAGATACCTGTTTATCATTACCTAACTAAGACTGGAGTACCCAGGTCTTGCAGATGTTATGAAAGTTATCATTTGTCAAAACCAAACCTGCATTGCAATTGTTTCAGTTGCTTACAAAGTTGTAAACACTAACATTACACAAAACGTTACCTTAAGAGACAATGTTGATCAGCAACACACAGTGACCCACTGCTGAAGTCATTTCTTGTCTAGTGATTATTAGCAAAAAGGAAAAGAGAGAACACAGGCAATATAGTGCAAATAGGACCCCAACATGCCCCAAAATAAGATGGACGTGAAAAGTATGCCTTACAGAAGCCCCTAAAGTGAGGACCCAAACACTGCAGTTGACCCCTATTATCTAACCTATTTAGTATGTTGACATTATATGAATTTGTGATTCGTTACACATGACAGTTTGTTTAAGAAAAATACTGTTTTATTTACTGTAATTTTAAAAACAAATGTCAAATTTCATTTAGAGTAATCGCTCTTTCTTGGATAGTCGCATCTGTGAAAACGGACTCGAGTCCACCTATACTCGAGTACCTGTCATAGCCCTTTATATCAACCACTGCCCGCGTGTCCAGTCTTGATTATTTACAGTAAAAAAGCTGAAATATAGCTTACTGAAGCACAAAACAACATTCACTTACTTTTATATGTAGGGTTTCAAGTCCCCTGTAACTCAAGTTTGTCATACAGTTTAAAACATGTGCTTGTGGTAAGAAGTGTTTAGGAAATGTATGATCTGATATTCACCTGAAATTGTACCACTACAGGATGATGGGTAGCTATTAGATGAAACTGTTTGCATTCATGATGGTCAGGCTTAGAATCCTGAACAAAAGAAATCAGCTGATCTTTATGAAGATAGGACGAACAAGATGTGGTAGAACCTCTTTGCAGAAGTGGGCGGTCAGGTAGTCTAGTTGTTAAAGTGTTAGCTCCTCACGCCGAAGACCCGGGTTCGATTCCTGACATGGGTACAATGTGTCAAGCCCATTTCTAGTGTCCCCCACCGTGATATGGGTGGAATATTGCTAAAAGTAGTGTAAAACCAAACTCACTTTTGCAGAAGTGGGTTGTGGGATAGCCTTGTGGTTAAAGCATTCGCACGTCACAGTGAAGGCCCATTTTTTATTCCCCACATGGGTACAATGTGTGAAGCCCATTTCTGGTGTCCCCCGCCGTAATATTGCTAGATTATTGCTTAAGCTGTGCAAATCCATACTCTCATTCACTCCAGTGTAGAAACACACACAGATAACATCTGATCCGTTATTAGAAGTACATAGTTTTAACTACTAGTACATACATCATTGACTTCATCATTGCAGTGGCCATCCTGCCTACGGGTCTGCTGTACAGCTGCTGAACAAGAACACAACTGTTGGAGGTTTGTCAGTTTTACATAACACTCCATACTGTCGCCTTAACAGGATTCCACGACATTAGGTCCGCATTAGGCTGGTGGACTCTGACAACGTCAGGTCCTGCTTATTCTTCCTGGTATGTGGGGTCAAGGCTCAATTATGTACAGGGAGCACAGGTGGCCCGGTTGTGAAAGGCGCCGCGATTCGTTGTGCAGAGTTGCGTCCCTTGTGCCAAATACCTATGATTGTGGGTTCGAATCCCGATTAACCCTGATTATGTTTCTAGGATTGTCAGCACCATACCCGAGCTCGTGGATTTCACCAAAGTGGTAAAGGTCTAAGACCTGCATCACTTCGGGCTTTCCTCCTACATTAAGCTGACACGCCGTGATATAACTGTTATACTGTTAAAAGCGGCGTTAAACACAACTCACTCACGATTATATACAGGCCGATGTTAGTTGTGAGTGTAGTTGTAGGGTGTGTGACTGCACGCCAGCTTGACTCTTCAGAGTTTCTAGGTTTCGGGCCTGCCCCACTCTGAAGCACATGTTGCACATGTGGTGTATCCTAAAGCAACTGACTTTGTTCAAAATATGCCTGTTCACACAGCAGTGAAAGGGTACCTGGTAGGCTGAGATGGTAATGTGACTTAGTTTTCATGCACCTTACAGGCAGGTTGTATACTTCCCAGGGAGCTGAGAATGAAAATATGAGTGCACACTGATCCATTGACTTGGGTAATATTATTAATGCAACACCAAGAGCATACACTTGGTGAATGGAATCTGGCGGAATATAAATGGAAAATGTAGTATTGTTGATGTTATGATCATTATGGTATTTTACTCAAATCTGAAGGTACGGACACACAAGTTTAAATCCTACATATGTTGTACACAATGTGCATGCTGTAGTAAGCTGAATGTATTGTGTGGTTTTTTTTTCACAGCAACATATTTCATGACATACCACACTATCCTGAAGACCAACAACGACTACATCAGTGCTCTCAAGATGGCGAGAGAAATAGCCAGCAACATCACACGGGATCAGAACTTCACAGAGGAAGGAATCTCTGTCTTCCCATACAGGTAGGTGGAGATGGGTCGGGGAGAGACACAAGACTTATTGGTTCAGGTTTGTGGTAACGCATTTCCCCATTAATTGCTGCAGTCACATGACAAGAGTTAAAACAGTTGACACAACTTGCCGTGATGGAGGACATTCGATATACCATATGTTACTTGGTATGGGCCAAATTTTTAGGATCAAAATCCAAGGAACACAAGAGGGGATCGGCTAATACCATACACCCTAGTCTGATAGAAATCTGCGACTGAATATTTTCACAGTACATTGTCTGTATGTGCATTGAGAAGTTAGTTGGTGTGGAGCTTTCATTACGTATCCTGAATTAACGGATCAGAGTTAATGTTTGAGAGAAATTTGAATATAAATTGTTTTCAGAACTATCAAACCCCTTAATAACATTAACTTTTCTCACAAACATTCTACTCCTACTTGTCATGTGACCTCTTGCAGCAAATTCTATAAGATTTCCTTCTGCCAAAAATCAATCCTTAACCTCAAGGTACAAGTGTTCTAGAGGCTGAAAGTCTGTCGAGTAAGCTTCACTGTCAATCATTCTGTGTCAAGTTGTTTCAATTTTCCCTGTGCCAAGCTCCTACACCAGTTGTAAATTATAATAATATTTGAAATTCTGTCGACAGTGTCCTTAGTAATAAGCCATTTATCTAATTGCCACAGAACCAATTTATTCAGTTCATTATCTGGTTGTGTTTTCCATTTCAGTATTTTCTATGTCTACTATGAGCAGTATCTGACTATCGTGCATGACACCATCAAGAACCTGTCCATCTGTGTTGGTGCCATATTCCTCGTGACATTCGTGCTGCTGGGCTTTGAGCTGTATTCTGCCATCATGGTCGTCATCACGATCGCCTTCATCCTGGCCGACATGCTGGGGCTGATGTACCTGTGGGACATCTCACTCAACGCTGTGTCACTGGTCAACCTTGTCATGGTAACTGCTTCTTGGTTTCTGGGGCAGGGGAACACTTGGGGATTCCTACAAGCAGTGTTCAACATCAACAACAACAATAATAATACAGTGTTCCCTTGCTATTGCACTCTTCATTATAGCGCTAACTTGGCGTGCGGTGAAGCCTGGCTTCCAAAATTTACTAACATTTTTAATAAACTCAAGTTTTCCAATGACACAATGTTTTTCCCCATATCAGAAAACGTTATCAGCTGATCACCGCGATCACGAACCACCGGAAATACCAGTCAACAAATCTGAACTGAAGTATGCAATTTAATCCTGTTATTATAATATCTGGTTATAAAATATTTGTTCATTGCTTATCTGGACTGATGTTTGCAATATCATTTTTTTATTCAAAATTTCATTCAATAATTATAATTTACAGCAACCACGGTCAGATTACCGCTATTGACACCTTGAAACGAACTTTAGTTGCAAGAGAATGGATACTCATATCATAAATGCCGTACCATGACTCGCTATATGTCATATTTGAGGCAGTTTGACTATTAATTGTCAACATAACGTTTTCGCAATCAAAATACACTTTGCGCAGGAAGTCCCTACGGTAACAGGTCAAATTGTTCCATACTTAAAAAAATATCCTGCATACCACCTGTCCCAAAGTCTAACGCTTATGGTTCTTACAATTTTAAGTATATATAGTGGAAGCTGCAACTAAAATAACACCATATTGGAATATATTATTCCTGATAAAATAATCATTTCAGATACAATTTCTTCAGACCTTTGCATCAAAATTCTTTAAAATTGTATTATTGGGTACGTTTTAACTGAATCACCGGTAGATTGGGAGGAAACGTGTGCACAGCTGATTGCTATTTCCGTCTTCGTTAAGAGAAAATTCACATGGTAGTCCTTATTTCTGCATGTAAAACAAAGCCTTGGAGAGCAGGAAATACATCTTAAATGGTAAATCATCATGTCTAGTGATGTTTTATATCAAATTTCATACTTTTATTGACCAAGTTTGTTATACATGTTTATTCACCTGAATTCGCGGAAGGGATATGATGTTTTTTGAAAGCGCATAATAATATTCGATAAAAAAAAAATTACACTATGAATCATAAACAACTTCTATTCTAATCTTTTTTTAAACTCTGAAACGTGCAATGTAGATGGTGTTAGATAGGCAGAGCATGTATACTGTTGGTCATCTACCCCCTACAACTCCACCTCGATTAAACCGCTGATCGTCTATAACACTCATCAATTATTTTGACCCCGAAGGTAGCATTGTAGCGAGGGATCACTGTAATGATAATAAAAAATATATGTATAGCGCCTAATATCCTTAGTGGTTCTGGATCACAAGATCTTATTAACTCTTCCTGTTTCATTACAACATTTGTAACTGGGGATGATTGAGTTTAACAAAATATTGTTTGATAGTGTTGGTCCAGACTAAGCTGTTCTGGAAACCCCACACATCTGTATCGTTCTAAATGAACATTAGTTATTAATCTGGATGTTTCTTTCCTTTCAGGACATATTCTCGTGAAACAGTAGTCTAGATTAACAGCATGATTACCTATTTGTATTGTTGTGCCTGTATGCATGTCCTGTGATATGTTTCAGACTGTGGGTATAGCGGTGGAGTTCTGTTCCCACATTGTCAGAGCCTTCACCGTCAGCACCATGCCGACACGCAAGGAGCGCGCCAAACACGCTCTGGCACAAATGGGGAGCTCGGTAGGTTACCTAGGCTACATGTTTTGATGTATACACCCTGTTCGTCCTCCCTCCCTCCCAGTCTTTGAAATAAACCAAAATGCAAGGCTGCTATCAGGACCCACAGACTTTAGAATCTGCTGGCCCTGACTAAACTCTTCAGACCCTCATCTAAAAGATTGCGACTTATTGTGACAAATAAATTGACATGTAAATTTACTGCAGGCGTTTAGGACACATACAAATTTGAACCTACAGGTTTAACAGTGGTATCATATCTGCGGAATGACGACGAAGACTTGTTGGGGTTCGTGGGATTTATTTCGTCTGTTCTATAGGGGATATGGAGATCCCACCACAATATGGATGAGGGTGATATTTCCCTAAAACAGACTATAATAAGGTTGAATTAGTGATATAAAATTACAAGAATCTTTCATTAAACAAACATATTATTACAGTTACTGTACACCATGAGCGTCAATTTAAGCATACATTATCAGAGCAACCATCAGTATATTATTACAGATACAAATCCTATTTATATGATAGAATACACATAAAAATTTAAAATATATACATAAAACACTGTTGAAAGCGGCTTAAAACCAAAATCACTCACCCACTATAGCTGTAAGCTATAACTTATTGTTTGAGATAAAAATGTACTCATAACAGCTACAGCTTCAAGCTATTAACTGTATAAATTACTGAAAGCACCTTATAACAATATGGTAGCTCATTAAAATCAGATCTTAGTTCTCGCTATCGCTAAACAAAGATCTGAGGACATCCCATTACGGGTCACGTCAGACCGACCTTGCGCGAATTTTGACCAACCAATGGAAGGACTGACAAGAAGTCGACATTAGCCAATCAGAAGGCAGCTTTCTCGTGCTATACGGCACTAATTTCAAATTGGCAACTACGCTTCGAAACATATTTTGACAAATTCTCTTTTTAAAATTTCAAGCCTGAACAAAAGAACATTCTGGAATGGCAAATGTATGGTCTAGATTCAGTCGTTAAACCCGTAACTATTATTCGGAATACCCCATGTTAAAGTTTTCAAGATTGCATGATTAGAAATCACATTCCGACTGTCACTTTCATGGTCTGGTAAGCGATGCTCTGATTGGTCGGATGAAAGGTCGTTCTGACGTGACCCCTAATGGGATGTCCTCAGATCTTTGTTTAGCGGTAGCGAGAACTCAGATCTGATTTTAATGAGATTGTATGGTAACTTAACACACTAATTTCATTATATTCTAATTGGTTACTTATGTCGTTGCTAATCACAATGCACATATGTATCATGACATTGTATAATATTTTTTTAATTTGATGTTTACACGATATACAGCTTTTCCATTGGACGAGAGGTCAGTCACATGACCGCGAAATTGACATTCATAAGTGTATGAACGACACAATTTGAAGTTCATATGTTTTTCACGAGACCGTGTTCTTGAAATGACGTAAACACTGACGGACTACTTCCACATTCCTTGGGAAACCCCTGGGAATTCCCTAGCACGAAAACATACAAGCTCCGACATTCATACAGTTTGGCCCTCACTCACACAAAGTGAAGGTCAATTCTTAAATGAATAATATATTTGCAACATTGCATATCATGTGCATGATACTGCAAATTATACTATATAACAGATATGCTATTAAAAATGATAAAAGTGTATTTAACAAGGCTAAAAATATCAGATCCTATCCTCCATATAAATACCAAAGAAATCTAAATTAACTTAGAATGCAGTTCTGTGAATCATGCAGAGTTGTAATGCAGCAGTGACCAGAGAAGAGAAATATTGAAGTGTTTAAAGCTAAATACCTGGTCAAATGCTACAGAAACAATAGAATAGGTGGTTCCCTCCCATAACGTAGACCTCCAAAATGCAGACCTCCCAAAAAGCAGTTAAAGTTAGCTCACTAATTAATTGGGCCATCACTGGCCAAGCTGTGGCTAGACCCTATCACTAAAGACCTTACATAACTACTTTACCTAAGGATTAGCAGAGGGTGCTCAGGTTAGTTTTAGGAGCATCTCAAGTCAAAATACACAATATTTACATTCTGCTCAACAGGCACAACACAAGATTTACCTGCCACGCCTATTCCCTCCCTCCCTCCCTCCCTCCCTCCCTCACTCACTCACTCACTCACACACACTTCATTGTTGTTACAGGTGTTGAGTGGTATCACTCTCACCAAGCTGGGAGGTATCATTGTCTTGGCGTTCTCCAAGTCGCAGCTGTTCCAGGTGTTCTACTTCCGCATGTACCTGGGTATCGTGGTGTTCGGGGCAGCACATGGTCTCATCTTCCTGCCTGTCCTGCTCAGCTATGTTGGTGAGTTGATTACGACATATTACGGTGCAAAATCTTTTACATTGTTAAATAAGCACAGATTTTATACAGTCCTTGTGCGAAATGAGAGTCAGTTTTTCTCAGTACCACATGGTTGTTGTCAGAGCCACCTAAAATGTGATGGTTTTAATGTGTCACCCAACTGTCATCGGCGTGGACTGTTGTTCATAATATCAACCACTGGTGTGACTCAATTATGTGCAGCCTGCCATTCAAAATCTGACATTGGATAAGTAATACAATCACTTGTTACGGCTTAAAAAAAAATAGAATTGGTTCTCAGGCAATGGCTTTTTGAAATTATTGCGCGATCGGCGGTATTTTGGGGGGGGGGGGGGTTGTGCCGGGGTGGTGTATTCGAGACAATATTTAAAGATTTTATTTTATTATTTTTTAAAATGGAAATAAAAACAAAATGTGCAGCAGACTATATGATGATGTGAGCGGTGCCTGAGAACCAAGACCATTGTTCTTTTAGCCTTACAGAGTAAAAGTTTATTTGCTTCACTTTTGATAATTCCCTCCATAAAGTATTCAAGGCATGTTCTGTGTCTCACCCCTCTACAATCATCTCCCCACAGGGCCTCCAATGAACAAGGCCAAGGTGTACTATAATCGAATAGAAGCGATGCAGGGTGCTGACAGTAACATCAACCGCAACATCGAGCGTCGCAGCATCATGTCGGACCAAGATGACAACCCTCCGAGCTACGACAGTCTACATTAATGTACACAGACAAGCGACAAACAAAAATCCAAAGTTCTTTCACTGTCCTAGTATGAATGTGTGGATGTATGCTCAGTTCTATTAGGACTTGTAAGGGAGATTGTGAAGTGTTTGTGTATAGTGATTTGACATTGCAAATGGTATTTGTTAATGAAGGCTCAGGTTGTTCTATTTAAGTGATTAAATATGTACTGTTCCACTCCATACAGGGTGGGTGATGTATCCATGTAAGAAATAACATGTGAAGGTTACATGGTGGCTTTGGAATGAAATGTATTTCAATAATCTAAGCAAGGGAAATTTTGTGATTATTTGAGGGATTAACATTGGGACACTCATTACAAAACAAATAGCATTGTAATGAATTCCTATTTTTCCAATTTTGAAATGAAGTCTGATAAATCAGAATTGATTTGTTTGAGATTAAATTTACTAGAATATTTTTTGAGTTCCTTGATGCATAATATGTGATTGTTTCACTGGGAAAATTTAATATGGAAATTGGAAAATGGTAGGAAACCACCAACACATTTTTAGTGGTAAATGAATATTGATATGATTTTCATAACCTGTGCTGTATTTGACGTGGTGTTCTATTGACAGTTGTTAGGACAGTGTTTTCATGAGCCAAAAACTACCTTCCTTTTGGCCAGACCAGTTTGTTTGGTTCGTGGAATTCCTCAAGAGGCAGGAGGCCAATTTGAACATCTAAATTAATACTGATGATTATGTGAGTTTAATTTCCTGCGAAACACAAAAGTCTCTTGGATTATAGTTTTTAGTACACAAATGTATGTTTAAGAAAGGCACACCGAGAAGAATTTTTACGATTATTTTTTAACTTTCGTAAAGTTTATGGTAGGCTTTCTATAAAATAAAGATAACTTGGTCTGGCCATTGTGTCATGTTCCCCTTGTTTGTGAAGATGTGGTGACATTTTCAGTCCACAACCACCAAATGATGTCCTAAAATATTCCAGGGAACTCTACCCTCTTTATAACAGATTCTCCAGTATGCTATGTCATCCTACAGTCAGTGTAGCAGAGTCAGTGTAGATCCAGTGGCGGCATCTGTTGGCGGGAGTATCATGCCATCAGGTTTTATCAGGCTATGCTTTCCTCATGATGTAGCGTATGTATCACGGTACTTGCCCCCTCAATCAATGCATGTCATGAAACAAATGGAAACAAATTTGGGATGAACTTTATCATGTATTGACACATTGATTCTCATAATAACAAGCAATGGAATGGATAGCAAGTTCTTGGTAATTGTTTGGATTCGTCAGTGAAGATGCTACATCTTTATGAAGAAATACCCTACATGATGTTAAGGGACTAGTCGTAAATAATAGGGGAGGAGACAGATTAAGTGGGGAGTCTCAGGGAAAAAAATGACATTTATTATCATAACTCCAGGGGATATCAGCAAAATATGATACATAATCAATTACCAGTCCCTAAAAAGGTGAGAATTTCTGCAATGCAACATGCACGCTTATGAAAATGTTCATTTGGTGCTTTCCTGTCACAGTAAGCCGGCTTGCCGGGATACTGTTCAAAATGGTGTTAAACCCCACTCTTACTCACTATAAAAATCTTAAAAGTTCTAGATATATTTGTCCACGTTATTGCTTGTTTTTATGTAGAGCAACCTCTTGAAAGCCGATCAGTGTGTCATTGATATGTTTATTAATACAAGCAGCAATATGATGTATTGTATGTATTGTGGCCATGCATCCAGACTCGTGCTGATATTACTTGCACATGGTATTTTTAGTATTGAATGAATGGTATGAAAGACAGGTATAGTACAAATATTGGAAGTTGTACACTGGAATTTTGTAACATGGATGAAAGAAATATATTTTATGAATGGTTCAAGCATAGCTGAGTTTGCACTTGCAAAATTACTGCAAGTAAAATAGATGTAGTAGACAGCATTATCTCATATTTAATCTCAAGTATGAATTTACATTTACTCTTTGGCAGATTCATTTCTATTTGTACAGAACATGACAAGAATCCACAAAAGTAATTCATATGTTGAATTATCTTCCCATGGCAAGGGCATTAACTGACAATCTAGTTTCCACCCTTGCTGGACTAGGCTGGAATTTCATGGCGCGAGTGACCAGTGGCAATTATGAGTTCTGTCCCTCCTACAGACCAATCACATTCCACCTCTCGTATCACTTGCATTTGTTTAAAACAAAATGGCGGCGCCCAGTCAAGATCTTTTGTAATCTTTTGTCTTACCTCGCCCAGTGCATCAAATCACTTGAGCACCTTGATAAGAAACATGAAAAGATTTTAAATCCATGTTGTTTACAAACCGGATGTCTAGTTCGTTATGTGATTTTGATGGACTATGCATAGTCTTGTTAGTCCAGCCAAAATATAACACCGGAATTCCAGCCTAGTTTGGCAAGGGTGGAAACTGGACTTCTATCGTCAGTTAATTCCCTTGCCTCAGAAGGATGATGTTCGATAAAGCGATCAATATTGATGCTGCACATTGCCCAAGGAAGAGAGCAACTTTAATTGGTGGAGCATGGAGGTCATTATAATGAATGTGAGCTGTACATAATTGGGACATTTTCACGTGACTGTGCCTTGATAAGTTTGTTTTATTGAGTATTTATGCTGGCATGTTCTGAACTGTTTTTCACACATCTGAATTTGTAGTGTTGAGATTATTTGTGGTATGTGTCCATTTGTTACATTTTACTACTTTTGTTATGTTTCATTATTGTATGTGTATTGGTATTTTCCTGAATGGATCAGCATGCATAAAGATATGGTTCCTACGTGTAGACTTCAGATAGAGCCTGTCATGATTGAACAAGTATTAACCTTGAGAATTCTGTCACAGAAGAAAACAGGACTATTTAATTCATTTTTTTCATCTTGTTCAGACTACCATGACTTCTCTTGAACATTCGTGTTTGATGTTTTCCTGCTAAAACAGCTCTATGGAAGGGGCAGCTTTTGACAGGATGCTTTCAAATTGTTTATTTCACAAAGTTTACCTTGTTTTTGTCAAGTTCAAACTTGAATTTTAGTCACCATGCATAGTGAACCCCGTCGCCCTCTTTGTTAAACCTAGATGGTCATCTCTGTGATAGTCTGCAGACAATAGGGTGCTACAGTCCTAGTGCTAAAATCATTTTATGTACAAGGTCTAAACAGAGAGGTTGTAAAATCTCCAAATAATTCTATTCAGATTGCAAGGCATGCAGTCATGTAACAATCAGGATACTACCTAACTATTGAAGTCATGGTTCTCTAACTATAGAGGCATCTGGTAACTTTCATCTCAGAGTAGTCATACAGTCTTGGAAAAAATAGACTTAACTGGACTTAAGCATCCCTAACCTTCTGTATTTTTCACATACATAGATACAAGTTCTAGTGAACATATTCAGGCCACCATTTTGAAATCTTGTAGTTTATTGATGTGTGTTTACAGGAAACTAGTCAACTTGTTAACAAATCAGCACACCTTTCATACAAAAATGTTCTGATACTTGGATTAATAATGAGCACTTGAAACGCTGGAGGGCCGGTTTCTTTGCTCAAAATATGTTGATTAACTCTGTGTATTCGCATTACAACCATAACACCTCAAAGTGCCGTTCTACAGCTGTACAACGCGTGCTGTTGATAACAATCATAACCATGAATTTGGAAATTTCTCAATTCTGATCCGTCAATACATCCCTTCAGATTGAAACAGACGATTTGACGGCTGCATCAACATGGAAGTTAATATTTATAGAATAGTACTTCTTTTTAGTCATTGTCCGTAGGCATTTTAAAATAATTTTATAAAATATAACGGTGCACTTACTACAAAATTCAAAGGATGTGTGGCAATAAAATCTTTTACAGAAAACACGACAGCAATCTACCAAGAGAATGTATTTCAAATTAGGTGGGACACAGGAGCTTGAAATTTGGCGATCTTTCATATATGACTGACATGATATCTTTTGTGTCACAATGAGCGATATGACGTCATTTTAGCGACGTGCAGTGTAGAAGAAAACATTGGAAGGCTTAGTTTTCTTGAGAGGTGCCCACTAGTTAGGTTGCTGTGCTACATGCTTTCAATGCCCCCTCTGCACATTCGGTTCCAAATTCAACTGAGCATTGTTAAATCTACAGGTACCCTAGCTTTACATTAAAAGCACAGTACGTTTATCTACTAAGTTCACTCAGATGTATGATAATGTTTAGCATGCTGATCATGCCTGTATGTTTCTATTAACCTGACTTGAACTTGCATCAACACCAATCTGTTGTGCAAGAAACTGGTACCACAGCTGTAGGGTCATCGACAGTACTTCACAGGGTTGTATACACGAGTTCCTCAAATCGTTCTTCAAACACCAAACACACGTCATACACGACCTCATTACTCAATTTAAAATCAATACACACCACAATTACACTGCATTTCAAATGTATGTATTGACAAGTGATGCAGGAACTGTGTGTACAAACCTGTGAAATATTGACCATGTCCGAGTCCTGCCCGCAGTGCTGTGTCCAGTCTGTCTGATCTGTACATCTTCTGCACCATGTAAACAATAAACATAAACAACAATCCAGCTTTTGTTATCTATCCTGGTTCAATATGTCCCCAGCAACTTAGACGTGATCCTTGTCAAAGGCACTGTGCACAAGCTCAACTGTTGATCTGCGGAAAGCTGAGAGGATAGTAGCAGCATTTAACAACAAGGTCTGCTACTTTTCTTGGTGAATTGGTTCAATTTTGGGAAACATATCAACTTGAGACGTAATACTCTCTAATGGCTTCAAATGTCCTATATGTAACATGACATTACTCGGACCAGTGCTGGTTCGGTGGTTTGTCAAGGTTTCTTTATACTAAGAATATCAAAGTATACACCTGGAAAAATGTTAAGAACCCCCTGCTATTTTGGACAAAGTTTGAAAACCTGTGCACTGGCTCCAGATCTATGGTGCAGTGCTGACTTTGGCAGTGGTGTTATGCTAATTTGCATATAATGTGATTACATATTGCTTTGCATAAATGTATAGAAATGCTACTACAACTGTGAGGTGACAATATATCCTCATACCTCAAAGTGGCCATACAACCAATGTACACAAAGGACAACTATGCAAATGGAAAGTTGTTCACGTTTTTATAATATTTTCACAATGAAAGTTAACCATTCTCTGACATACGGTTATCTAAATGTGTAGACTTATCAAAATTGAAACAGATGTGCAATATCTTGAACGGACTGGAAGATGTCTTTGACCTACTTTGTCGACAAATAAGGACAACAATCATGCCATTTTAAAAAGTGATATTCATAATTTGTGGACATTTCATTGTGTTTATTATTGGAAAAAATTGGTATGTGACTTCTGTAAGGATGCCCTAAGCAGTTACTAAAAATGACAGTTACATCCCCAACATGACGTCCTGTGATGATATAGCCATAACATGTATAGCTGCCACGTGCCTGGATGACCGCCTCAACCCCTCCTCATGCAGCCAGTGAGAGGCCTAACTTTTTTTTAGGTGTATATCTAAAACTTGGAAATGGTGGGGATGGATAGGTGTTTGATCAAGTGTTTACAAAAACATTTCCAGAGAGAGGAGCCTTTTCACCACTTGACATGAAGACTATTCACAACATAATCATTTGGTTAATTTAATGTATGGAACGTTAACACTTGAAACCTCCACCTGACATTTTGAGTACATCAAAAATTCTTTAACACTTGCAGAGTTGACAACACATTATGTAAGGAGAACCAATCACTACATGGACACTTAACCCTTAAAGAAGAAGAAAGGATTTATGGTAAATGAATTTATTACAGCAAACATGAGATGAGAGCATCTTTGTAAAACCAGGAATTAAGTATGCAACACTGTTTCTCTTTGTACAGTCTTGTGAACAGAACATAAAACACATAACGGTCAACAAAGATTAAAATAACCTGTACTTCTGTGAAGAAATGCAGTCATATATTACAAAACTTGCGACTCTTTGGCAACAATCTTTAACAAAACAACTCTAAATTAAATCATATTGAGACAAACACGGAAGGAAGTACTCTGTTGCTCACCTGACTCTATGATGAACTGTAAAGTTAATGTGCATTTTTTCCTCTGCTTAATCTGTTATTGTTGAAAGTTGTGATGTGATCATGATTGTAAACAGCTGCACAGACAGTTCTGTCATCATGACTGTAAACAGCTGCACAAACAGTTCTGTCATCATGATTGTAAACAGCTGCACAGACTGTTCTGTCATCATGATTGTAAACAGCCGCAGACAATTCTGTGATCCTCATGATTGTAAACAGCTGCACAGACAGTTCTGTCATCATGACTGTAAACAGCTGCACAAACAGTTCTGTCATGATTGTAAACAGCTGCACAGACAATTCTGTGATCCTCATGATTGTAAACAGCTGCACAAACAGTTCTGTGATCATGACTGTAAACAGCTGCACAGACTGTTCTGTCATCATGATTGTAAACAGCTGCAAAGACTGTTCTGTCATCATGATTGTAAACAGCTGCACAGTCAATTCTGTGATCCTCATGATTATTAACAGCTGCACAAACAGTTCTGTGATCATGACTGTAAACAGCTGCACAGACAATTCTGTGATCCTCATGATTGCAAACAGCTGCACAAACAATTATGCGATCCTCATGATTGTAAACAGCTGCACAAACAGTTCTGTGATCATGATTGTAAACAGCTGCACAAACAGTTCTGTCATCATGACTAAACAGCTGCACAGACTGTTCTGTCATCATGATTGTAAACAGCTGCACAGACAATTCTGTGATCATCATGATTGCAAACAGCTGCACAGACAGTTCTGTGATCATTATCATTGTCAACCGCTGCACAGACAATTATGGGATCCTCATGATTGTAAACAGCTGCACAAACAGTTCTGTCATCATGATTGTAAACAGCTGCACAAACAGTGCTGTGATCATGACTGTAAACAGCTGCACAGACTGTTCTGTCATCATGATTGTAAACAGCTGCACAAACAATTCTGTGATCCTCATGATTGTAAACAGCTGCACAAACAATTATGTGATCCTCATGATTGTAAACAGCTGCACAAACAATTATGTGATCCTCATGATTGTAAACAGCTGCACAGACAATTCTGTGATCATTATCATTGTCAACCGCTGCACAAACAATTATGCGATCATCATGATTGCAAACAGCTGCACAGACAGTTCTGTGATCCCCATGATTTTAAACAGTTGCAACATCTGCTACTGTGGCTTCATGAAAACACCAAAGCACACAGGCACAATTACATATTACACTTATACATTTTCACTAATATTTTTTCTACGTGTTCTTGAACAATCACATTTCAATATCAACGTTACTGAGAACAACATGCCATGAAATGAGCTCCTCCACACCCTTTGGGTGAGACGGGCTAAACTTAAAAATAAGATTTTGATTTCCACAATTTTTCATTTGTTGATCACTAAATAAAAATCAGTTTATCCCATTAAAATCATAAAAAATCCACAGGTGATGAATCAATTCTTGACAGTCAAAATAATACCTTCCATGTGTTGGACGTCCTTTACAACTAGATGTGTTTATAATGAAGCAATGATTACAAACAGTATTCACTTACCCTTTGATTTAAACCGCAAATACAGACAATCTAAATCTATTTGATTAAATTTGATTTTCGCACATGGCACCTATGCTAAAATCACCTGTCTGTTTATGCAATGATCCTCACCAACATCATCCCATTGTTCATCCCCCCAAAGTTAGTACCAAAATGATAGTTTTAAAAAAACATGTACAAGTTTGCATAACATCATTCATCAAAAATAACTGCTCTTAAATACGAAGACTGTTCACTATGCCCAAAGAACATGTGTGCATTCATGGAGAGGTCCAATGAAGATTATTCCCAAGGTTTTACAGTTAGCAAATAATCACACTGTGTGACCTATTGCGATTCTGTGAAATGGATGAGACGTAATATGTACAGAGATAACCACTCAGTATACACAGCTAGGAAACAATAAGTCATTATCATGATTACATAATTACACAAAGGCTTGTTACAAAGCACTGAAAATGATGCCCTTCCTTCGATAGGTGATCAGAGCTTTCTGACACTATTTCAGTGGGCCAAAAGCCAAGTTTTTGTATTTATGTTAACTGTTTTGTAGCTGACAAACATATGTTTTCCACAGAGATATTTCTGTTCCGTCTATCTTGAAATGCTCCACCACTGATAAGGTGCAGGAAAATAGCATCTTATTGCATCGTTCCTAAACAAGGTTTGGGGAAAAAATACAACACTTTGTATTTTGCCACAACATGAGGGCTGATTATGTTTACAGAAGTTGTTGCTATGACTTATGTGGTTATGTACATAAATGTCTTGTTGATGTATATTTGAAATGAGGAAGGTCAATGGCAAATAATGAACTTTCCCTTGATTATCTACAAGTACACAACATCATCTAGTACAGAGCAATCCAGCTGGGGAAAGATTTCAGAAATGCAACTTGTGATTATGAATCTGTTGTCTGACTAGCTATTGTCCACTTGACCCTGCTCAAAACAATAACAGACACTGTTTCACTGATCTGAGTGTCTGCTACACTGCCTCATTGATCTGAGTGTCTGCTAACAATGCCTCATTGATCTGAGTGTCTGCTGACAATGCCTCACAAAGCTGATCCAAGTGTCTGCTGACAATGCCTCACAAAGCTGATCCAAGTGTCTGCTGACACTGCCCTCACTGCTGGATTTCTATTTATTTCATATGTCACATTCACAATAAAAACTGAACGCTTCTTCATCTTCAAAATCCACAATAGCTCATTCCACAACATTCTTCATAACTAGCCACATGCTGCAATCTGTTTGAACACAAATTCTCTCTATTCAACACAAAATTGTGACACAATTCACCTCCGGCTACTACTGTGATAATGTCTCCTATCTCTATGGTGATCACTCGAGCGACGGTGCCGACTGGATCGGTCATCTCGGTGCCAATGACGATCTCTGTCTTCCCGACACTCACTCCAACGAGAGGATGACCCCCTATCATAGTCACGTGACTGTTCATGTCCTTGAGGAGGAGGAGGAGGCATCTGGGGGGCAGACTGGGGGGGGAAAGGTGGAGGAGGCATGAATGGCATTCCAGGACGACCTTGATGCATCAAGCCTTGAGAATGAGGTCGAGGTCGTTTGTCCTGTAGTTCCTCCCCAACACCGTGCAGCGGTCTCTTCTTCTCCTGTGGAGGTTCCCCTGAAGAGGAAGCGTGACTCTGGCTTTCCAGAAGTGATGATGCAGGCATAGGAGGAGGCCGCAACAGCCCCGCACCACTACTGTCTTTCTGCCTCAGGTCAACATCCTCCCCACCAAAGTTTCCATCACCTCCTGAACCAGGCCTGAACAAGGGTCCTGGAGCTGGTGGAGGTCCTTGTCCTGGCCATGCCATCATACGATGATCAACATCCTCACCAGCATGGAGACCAGGCCCAGGGGGGCCCTCAAAGTCTAGTTTAGGCGGTCCTAAGAACTCGGATGGAGCTTGGAAACCTTGTTGTGGACCTGGGAATGGTTGAGGTGGTCCTGTGAAGTGGGCCCCTTGGAAGCCTGTGGCTGAAGGGAATAGTGAGGGAGGCTCATCAACAGCAGGTGGCTGGGGGTTTCCCGGCCCCCACTGCTGCTGGGGAGTGAGTCTGGGAGGGGCAATCCGCTCATCCTTATCCATAGGAGGAGGACCTGATGGCAGGATGCGCTCATCAATGTCTACTTGCCGCTCTAACACACTAGACTTGGACTTTGCAATAGAAGACAGGATAGGAATACTGGGTTTAATTCTTAAGTCCACATCACCCTGTACTCTCATGTCTGTGTCACCTCCAGCAGGAAGGGGTTGAACTCTCATATCCAAGTCACTTCTTGATAGCTCCAGCTGCTCAAGACTAGCATCTTTACCAACCTCATCTGAAACTGTTGAAGACAACACAGGTTTATCATCTTTGTGCTTCTCAATAATGTCACTGAAAATATTTTTTGGTTTTGTCTCTGCTGATTCATCAGCTGCACCAAATCCTGGAATCACGCTCTCTGACGCATTACTATCAGTTTCCATATCCTCTTTCTCAGCTTTCTTTTCCTCCTTTTCCTCACTCAATTCCTTTTCTTTTGTTTTTGACACAACTGGAGGAATCTCTTCTGTCTTAGAAGCAGCAGGCACTCTGCCCATCACATCATTGATCAAGGCCTGAAGGGCAACAGGGATGTTGGGTGTTAGTTCCCCTTGTGTCACAGCTGCACTTGACTCAGTGTTGCTACTGGCCTTTGCTGCCTCACTACTTGTGTCCTTGCCTGTATCTGGCAACTGACTACTAGCACCTGTGTCAGATGTTTCACTAGAGTTTGTCTGTGATGGTTTAGGTGTTGTATCACTTGTCTTGTCTGAGGTTGAGGGGACCTCTGCCTTTCGTCTACTCTCAGAACTACCCTGACCATCCTTGGAAACCTTGTTATCAGAGGTTTCTCTGCTCCTGTCCCTGCTCCTATCCCTGCTCCTGTCTCTACTCTTGTCCCGGCTTCTGTCCCGACTCTTGTCCCGGCTCTTGTCTATGCTCCTGTCCCGGCTCTTGTCCCGGCTTCTGTCTCGGCTCCTGTCCCTGCTTCTGTCTCTACTCTTATCTCTGCTCCGTCGTATGTCTGATCGATCTCTTCGTCGCTCCCGGGATCGATCTCGGTGACTGTGATGTCTCTCTGAAGATCTTCCTCTGTGACGGTGTCTATCCCGATCTCGACTCCTGTCCCGGCTCCTTCTGTGTCTATCTCCACTTCTCCTGTCCCGTGACCTCTCAACACTTGATGATCTCCGATCACTTCGCCTGCTATCAGAATCCCTTCTGTCTCTATCACTTTTCCTACTATCAGAACTAGATGATTTTCTAGTACTTGAGGAGGAATGTTTCTCTTTATCAGACTCTTTAGATTTCTTTTCCAGTGGTTTAGGGGAGTCTAAAGCCAAAGCCTCAGACCCTGAACTGCTGGCCACCGATTCAGCCACAGAAACTGCTGACTTGGATTCAGAGACAGACACTGGAGGTACCACTGTTGGTGGAGGCAATAATGATGGTGCTGTAGTCGTTACTGTTGCTGCTGCTGCTGCAATAGTTGCTGCTGCTGCTGTGCAAGCTACTGCCTGAGCGAGGCCCTGTACAGACAAGTTAGAAGCCTGCTGGCCTTGAAGTGCTTTCCTCTGCTCCTCAACTTTCTGGGTCAGCTCCACAAGCAACTTCTGTTTGTTAGTAGCATCTGTTGCTGCAGCCAAGGCAGCTACCATAAATGCAGTGATCTCAGCAGGATTGTTACTTTTGGCAACTTGAGAGATCATGGAGTCAACATTAATTCCTTTGAGAGTGTCAGTCTGTGACATAGGCTTATCTGGTCCTTGTGATGATGCGGGCTGAGCTGTGGGGACGGAATACACTTGGGATGCAGTGGAACTGGACACACAGACTGGCACGGGAACAGCTGCTACTGCTGTTGCTGTTGCTGCTGTTGCTGCTGCTGCTGCTGCTGCTGCTGCTGCTGGTGTTGGCAATACAGGGGCCAAGGTGGTAGGTGCCGGGACAGGTAGAGGAGACACGGGGACAGGGAAGGGAATGGTTGCCGACACTGCTGCTGGTGGCGCAGAGGTCAGCTTAGTGATGTTACCACCAGGCTGGGTGGAGATGGGGGCAGTGGTGGCGGTTGTTGCAACAGTTGTTGTCAAAGTCAACTTGATGATGTGACTGGTATCAGCAGGATCATAGGCATCGTCATCGTCATCATCATCCATTCCACCTGGTGAGTATGGAGCCATGCCTGCAAATAGATCATGGTGTAAAACAACAGCCTTTCTTGAAGACAACAATTGCACTCAGTATGTTTTGTATTTTCTATATCAACCAACCACATATCCAAAGTTGAACTTACACAAACTTTAAACCATAATTAGAAATCATCAATACTACTTCATTCCTACTAGAAATCAAGTGTAATCTGAATCTCCTCGATTGCTAGCCATCTACATGAAACTAACTGGTACACTTACTGTCTTCCTCTTCCTCTTCCATCTGACTAGACTTGGTGGAGGCGTAGGCCTTCACAATAGGGTCCTGTAGTGTCACAGCTGTCTGAGTCATGTCACCTGACGGGGAGGAGGAAGATGACGATGACGACGACCTCGACAGCTCGATGAGCTTCTTGGGCATGGGTTTGTAGGTGGGCACAGGTTTGAGAGGAGGTGTAAAGGACTTCTCGAGAGGCTTCTGACTCGGAGGTCTGTAGTTTCTGTTCCGGGGATCATTAGGGTTCAAGCTGACTTTTGCCTTCTTTGAAGGAACAAAGTGCGTAGGGGCATCTATGGGGCGTTTTACTTTAGTCACCACGATGATTCCCAGGATCATGTGGGGCCGATTCTCTTCCAAACCTGAAGAACAAGGTAAGTGAATTGTTGAATTAATTGTAGTTAACAGAATAGTTAATAGTATTTTAGTCATAAGGTTTGTAATGAAAGTGACATTTTCATTGACGTTTTCCCCACTATTGAAACCAAACAGGATGGAACAGCAAATTCTGGTGCTGTACATTTCTTAATCACAAATGCCCAACCATTTTACTGAAACAATATGATGAAACAATATGATGAAACAATATGATGAAACACATCAAGGACCAATCAAGGGTCTATCTATGTGAGGAGAAATGGGGTTTTACGTCACTAAAGATTATTGCATTAATAGAGCAACGTACGTGTGCGTGTGTGTGTGTGGCTACTTGAACTAATCTGGACTAGGGTCATACTTTTTAGTGCTCGCCCACTATGATAACATTCGGCAGTTTAACATGAATAGCCCACTCAGCCATAGTACCCTATAAGCCAACCAGGCCTTGTTTTATTCCCTTAATAATGAGTACCATCATTTAACATCTTCTGTTATGATGCGGCCAGGGGTTGAACCGGGCAGATGCTCTATTGACTAGACCACAGAGTCTATGAAGGATCTATCCTGAAACATACCAAGGACCAATCAAGGACCCATGCTTGCCCTACATGCAGTACATACCTGGCCCATCAAAGGGCAGGAGGACCCGTGGGATTCGGCTGTGGGAGGCCAGGGGCACCAGGTAGAAATCCTTAACCTGCTTGGCTGCGTTTGACACCACGCCGCATCGACTCAGTCCATTCAGATAGGAGTAGAGGTGGATGTAGGCCATCTTCTCACCATCACTGCCCGGCACAAACCTCACCACACAGATGTCCTGATTAGAAATATTATAGAGAGAGAAAGCATTTAGTGTCATAGCTCTTGTCTATCTAAGCACAGATAGTCTTAATAGCTACACAGCTGACACTCACCCTAGACCCACCTGACCCCCAGTTACACAGCTGACACTCACCCCAGACCCACCCGACCCCCAGTTACACAGCTGACACTCACCCCAGACCCACCCCACCCCCAGTTACACAGCTGACACTCACCCTAGACCCACCCTACCCCCCAGTTACACAGCTGACACTCACCCTAGACCCACCCTACCCCCAGTTACACAGCTGACACTCACCTTAGACGCACCCTACCACCAGTTACACAGCTGAAGCTCACCCTAGACCCACCCTACCCCCAGGTAACACAGCTGACACTCACCCCAGACCCACCCTACCCCCCAGGTAACACAGCTGACACTCACCCTAGACCCACCCTACCCCCAGTTACACAGCTGACACTCACCCTAGACCTACCCTACCCCCAGTTACACAGCTGACACTCACCCCAGACCCACCCTACCCCCCAGGTAACACAGCTGACGCTCACCCTAGACCCACCCTACCCCCAGTTACACAGCTGACACTAACCCTAGACCGACCCTAACCCCAGTTACACAGCTGACACTCACCCCAGACCGACCCTAAACTCACTCTAGACCCATACCCTCTCCTCCCCTTCTAAGGTTACACAGCTGACACTCACCCTAGACTCACCTAGACACATACCCTCTCCTCCCCTTCTAAGGTTACACAGCTGATACTCACCCTAGACTCACTCTAGACCCAGACCCTCTCCTCCCCTTCTAAGGTTACACAGCTGACACTCATTCTAGACTCCCTCAGACACATACCCGCTCCTCCCCTTCTAAGGTTACACAACTGATACTCACCCTAGACCCACTTTGTCGAACCCGCCCCAGGTAGTCCCACATCTGGTCAGGTCCAATACGTCCACATATGTGTATCAGGTCAGGGAACTCCTGCAGTAGATGGAAACATACAAACAGTTACACCAACAGTAACAAAGCGGGCCATAGAACCAATAAACTTGCCCGAGACCACAGACCGTATTTAACAGTGTACCCGCTGGCTTTTCAAAGTACAAGTCCTGATGGACAGGCAACTCTAAACATTAGCAGTCCCTACCAATATTTGTCAGTCCAAACTTGGAACAAATAAAAAAATTCTGAAAATTATCTGGTTTAAATTCTTTCAAAGTCATGTTCAATGCAGTGTACATTCATGGCTGACAAATTCAATGACGTCATCTCGGAAGTTACTTAGATCTACACGTCATTCACACAAAGTTCAGTCACAATTTTCTATTTTGGGGGGAATATTTCACTTTGGTTTGAGACATTTTTTCTTTGCACTAAAAATAACCTTGATGATAACAGACAAGCTGACTTCATTAAAAAATATACTTCATGGAACATCGCCAATGTTTTGTTTAACAACAAAGATTTGTCTCTCCACAGGAACAGACAATCAGATCTAATTATAATTGTAACGGATAAAAAATGGTAAAACCTGGTAAACAGGAACACTGATTTAGTGCGGCAGTCTGCAAAACACCACCTATAGGATGGCAGCATGCAAATAATTCACACAAACCACTGATCGATACTATGAACATTGTCCTATGACGCCAGGTGAACTACAACATTTGGACACAGTAAATCATCCTATGCTAATGAAGGCATTTCCTCACCAACGACTCTGTGGGGCCCGACACCCGGTAGGCTGATGTGGCGAACTTGTTGAAGTCTTCATTGGAGATCAATCCCTTCCACAGACTGGGCCCGGCAGGCTTGAACTTGGCCTTGGACTCCAGGCCTGAGGACAAGGCGGAGTCAGGGGACCTGTGGACGCAGATAAACACACTGATTGCTATGATGATTTGGTCTTGTTTGGATAAACTCTACTCAGACTCGAACTGTCTACCATCATGCTACACAACTGTAACTGGGGATGGTGCTTACAAACAAAATTATGATAATTAATTTTTGAAGTTTGGATTAGAACTCATAACCAGCACAGCAAAGGGAGAAAACTCCCCACAGAGTTAGAAAACTGACACAGCAGAGTTAAGATGGCATGGTGAAAAAGTGAAGCTGGTAATGTGAAGAAGGGGCAAGTGTGTTAAGAGACTGGCTTTTACACAATAATTGTCAAATTTTCAGTTGTATTGCATCAAGGCCTGGAGCAGCTGCCTGTGGAAATAATGGCAGTGTTCTATGGTGGTCACGTATCCAAAGATAAGATATCTGACCACACTCAACTACTGTCTGGTGACACACAGGTTCCAATTTGATAATCACAGAACTGTTCCTTTTATGATCATGATGATGATAAGCTACCGTAGGTCACTTTGTCTAACTAACATTGCATACCACAATCATAATTGAGTTTGGAACAGACATTCAAGGGGTTAGTTAATACAAGCAGCATCCAAGATGATCGGGGATGATGACACATAATCATCCAAGTCACAGAGCCTGACCTCCAAAACCATTACATCGTTTCATAGTCTGCTGGGGACCAGTCCTAAACCGGAATCAACATGGGCTTCCTTAAGACAACAGCCTGATAATTGAGTTTGGAACATCCATTGCAGTGGTTGATATGAGCAACACCCTACATCATAGGGGATGATGACACCCAATCATCCAAGATACACAGCCTGACCACCCAAACAATTACTTAGCCTTGTACAACAAGCATAGTTTGCTGAAGACCAAATCAGCATGGGCTTCCAAGCATGGGGTTGCAGAGCGGATGCTGCCCCTGCCTCCCCATCATGACAAACACTGCACTGTAGCAGAGGAACCACACAACAGTCACCAATCTCAGTCTCACGGTGTACCCACCTGACAGTCACATCCTTGGCCCCCGAGTATGTGGAGGAGGCAGGGGCGTCGGTCTTACTCTGTCGAATTGCTCTCAGCACCTCCTTCACCACCTCCTCAGCATTCGACAGGTCTTCCTGCTTGTTGGTCGGTTTCTCCACCTTCTTGCCACCCTCTCCCATCACCTTGTGGGCGACTTTCAGCTTCTTGACGGCCGACTCGCCAGCAGGAGGCGGCACCTTGCCTGTGCACACCTTACAGTTCAGGTCAAACAAGTGGTTGCGGTGCTGGTCAGTCGTGTCCACGGCGGGGTTCTCTGGTGTGCTCAGTTCTTTCTCGTCAGTCTCCTTCTTCGTGTCACTCTCGCTCTTCTCGGGCTTCACCTCATTCGACTGGTGTAAATAAATAAGTATGAGTTGATAAATAAAGACTCAAGGTGACAGTTCTAACATTGTTAAAGTATTTAACACATCTGTAAGTGGTAACTTCTACCTCCCCATACTCTGCCCTCCTAAAACATCATGTGTCCTTTAACACCAGTGTGCTCAGATCCTCAGTCACCTCCCCCAACATCCCTAGTACCCCCCTTACCACCAGTGTGCTTAGATCATCATTCACCTCCCCCCACTGACCCTCCCCACATCCGGTTTCCCCACTTACCACCAGTGTGCTTAGATCATCATTCACCTCCCCCCACTGACCCTCCCCAAATCCGGTTTCCCCCCGTACCACCAGTGTGCTTAGATCATCATTCACCTCCCCCCACTGACCCTCCCCACATCCGGTTTCCGCACTTACCACCAGTGTGCTTAGATCATCATTCACCTCCCCCCACTGACCCTCCCCACATCCGGTTTCCCCACTTACCACCAGTGTGCTTAGATCATCATTCACCTCCCCCCACTGACCCTTCCCAAATCCGGTTTCCCCACTTACCACCAGTGTGCTTAGATCATCATTCACCTCCCCCTACTGACCCTCCCCACATCCGGTTTCCCCACTTACCACCAGTGTGCTTAGATCATCATTCACCTCCCCCTACTGACCCTCCCCACATCCGGTTTCCCCACTTACCACTAGTGTGCTTAGATCATCATTCACCTCCCCCCACTGACCCTCCCAACATCCGGTTTCCCCCCTTACCACCAGTGTACTTAGATCATCATTCACCTCCCCCCACTGACCCTTCCCAAATCCGGTTTCCCCACTTACCACCAGTGTGCTTAGATCATCATTCACCTCCCCCTACTGACCCTCCCCACATCCGGTTTCCCCCCGTACCACCAGTGTGCTTAGATCATCATTCACCTCCCCCCACTGACCCTCCCCACATCCGGTTTCCCCCCTTACCACCAGTGTGCTTAGATCATCATTCACCTCCCCCTACTGACCCTCCCCACATCCGGTTTCCCCACTTACCACCAGTGTGCTTAGATCCTCATTCAGCTCCCCCCACTGACCCTTCCCAAATCCGGTTTCCCCACTTACCACCAGTGTGCTTAGATCCTCATTCAGCTCCACCTCCCCCTTGTGGGTCTTCTTGCGGATATGCACTGGCTCCTTCTGCGCTTCCTTTTCAGCAGTTTTGATCATCTCCAACGTCTGCAGCAAACACAAACACAAACACAAGTTAGACATGATAGCTCACAAAATCCTTAGACTCTTTCAATAGTTCCTTCTATTTCTAACAAAGCCTGCATGCGTATACCTACATGTTTGGTTTCGTTCTCTCTCCACAGCGACAGTTCCTTGGATGCAAGTTCCTCCGTGGACATGTGTACCAAACGGTTGGGTTTGATCTGACCAGTCAGGATCTTGCGGAACAATCCCTGAAAACAAACACACAAACTCACATTAAATACACTTGGAGTACATTTATTTAACAATAGTGAGTTAGTCCTCTTTGTAACTGTCAAACGCAAGATTATATTTTCTCAGGCCGCAGGCTTAGTTCTCAAATTGGTAATGAAAACAGAATTACTATATTCGACGTAATAAGCCCCCAGGGCGATCTCAAAATTAAAAATAGGAGTCTCTTATTAGAATATTATTTTGGTAAAAAAAAAAAAAGTTGAAAGATCGTAAATTTCGCGGTTTATGCTGACAGCCTGAGATGTTTATATACGGGAGATATATTTTTCCAGAATTTAATTAGCAAATATCGCCATGGGCGCTTATAAGAGCAGGGCGCATATTACGTCAAATACAGTATTGAAATTAGTTATTCAGGGGTAAATCAAAATCTTTATGTAAATCCACATTTGTTAAATGTGGGTCTGTCAGACAAGTGATAGGACTGCATAATTATGTATTATGTATTATGTCACATATCATGGAATAATTGTATATCAACTGTGTAAGATCCACAAATAAATTGGATATAATTGTACAGGGCTTCACTACTGAAACAAAGACTCATGAAATCTTAAATCTTGATAGGCCGTAAATATGGTTATAGACACGAAAGCACTTAATAACCTAAGTATCTGCACACGCACCTTGTTCTTGGGGTCGCGGATGTTGAAGATGAGAGTGCGGTACTTATTGCGGTACTTGTGGCCGGCGGTGTCCTGGTAACACTTGAACAGTTCTTCCTCCACAGCAACAGCCAGCTGTTTGATTTCGCTGTTGGACAGCATGATGTCATCAGCATCTTCCGCCCTTGAAAACAGGAAACTTGGTTCATCAAAAGGGGAACCATACAAGTTTGAAGATTATCCATAGCACCACTGCTGTTAACCACAGTGATGCAAGAAATATCATGGTTAAAATGTTAAGAATTTTGTTAATATCAACTTCAAATCAAGATGGTTTTAAATCACAATACCCAAGAGGAAGAAAGGTAAAAGACGTTTGATATGTATGAAACTAGTGGGTGCATGATATATTTAGGAAGCTATTAGCAATTTCCGGGCAAAATAACAGCAGACATTAATCATTCATGGGCCAGACATGTGGCTGATAGTGTAAGCACAGGTTCAGATGTTCGGGATACAGTAACACACAATCAGCAAGGTCATACATTGTAAACATCCGATCATCATTCCTGTAATTTCTTATAGGTGAGGTGAAATGGGGTTTAACGTCGTGTCGATGATTATTGCACTTATATAGCAGCATGCATGCGAAGCATCCCCCTCATTATATGCCGAGGGGCTGACAATCTGGCAAACCTTGATGCATCCTCTTTCCATCGGGCTGCTTTGTACACTGACAAAGCACATGACCAAGAATGAACTAATTCTACCTCCTCCATCACAAGACTCTCTTTACCTGCCCTGTAGAGCGTCTCGGAGAGCCTTCCTCACGTTGATGCGAACTGGATCAGGGCCTTCACTGCGAACTTTCCGCAGTGCTTCTTCCCTCTTCTGTTGTTCTCTCTCCTTTTCTTTCTTCCTCCGCTGCCTTTCCCTCTCTCTTCTTTCTCTCTCAATCTGTTCCATTTCTCTCTCACGCCTCTGTCTCTCCCGCTCTTCTCGTTCACGGTTCTTCATCCTCTCCCTCTCAATCTCTGTGAAAACACAAGAGGGTGGTTTATCCTACTGGTCTCTCTGTCATAACACCGCCTACATTGAGAGGGGGGAGTGAGTACCCTGTAGCATCAAACCTATGCCTTGTGCCTCATATGCAAACACATTCACCTCTAGCTAGCTTATAATATCCATAACATCAGGCTGAACAACGTTTAGTGTGGATGGTGAACTTTCTCCCATTACACCTGTATGTCTGGGATTAAGTTAATGGGCTAGTTAACTGAAATGTGAATTATGTCATATGACATCTTAATTTGAGTAATACATATTACAACACTTCAAGGGATTCAAACTTCCAACAAGCTGCCTACTATTGATCTAATTACCGTATTCGACGTAATAAGCGCCCAGGGCGCTCTCAAAATTAGAAGTAGGGGTCTCTTATTAGAATGTTATTTTGGTGAGAAAAAAACAGAGTTGAAAGATAAATTTCGTGGTTTATGCTGACAGCCTGAAATGTTAATGTACGACAGATATATTTTTCCAGAATTAAATGCCCATAATTAAGGGTGCATATAACACACGCCTGTGTATTATACGCGAATGAATAAGTCTTGTGTACATTGATCAATCGGAAGGGGTGCTATTTGGGATTGTTCACTAGCCAATATCTTAGCAAATGTCACCATGGGCACTTATTAGAGCGGGGCGCTTATTACGTCGAATACGGTATTACACATCGATCCCTCTTAGTTATTCATTCTATAAAAGGTGTTAAAAGTATGACAGTTCCATGTAAAAACATATTTCAGTAATTTGATGTCCTTCACATGATTCAGTATCAAACTGTAAATGCCACATGCTGACTTACGAGCTCCATAGAACTTGCTGGCCATGACTCCCGGGCGGAGAACCTCAAATGTTTGATGATCCGACAGCCACATCTCCAGGTTCTGTTCTGTCGGAGCATTGTTCCCCATGAGGAGGCGTCCATTATGTCGCTCCAACACAACCACCTTCTCCTGCCCTGGCCGTGCCAGAGACTTTACATAGTCCGGCTACAAACATGTACAAACATCACGGTGCATCCTAACATCATCTCATGGAAGTGTAATGTAAGAAGTAAGTGTGTCCTAATCTACAGGGCTAGCCTGATGAGCTGTCACTCACTAGCAATCAAACAAGTTATTTATCAATGGACAATATTTATCAATATTGCAAATTTTAGTACAAATTGTATATTATATACTTATCCTATCTCACACTGTGCATTTCTCCCTTCTTCTTCAGTCCTATGTGGGAATCTGCTTGAATCATGTTTCCAGCTTCTGAAAAAAAGATAGCCACCCAAGCCACCCAAGCCACCCAAGCCACCCAAGCCCCCCTGCATCTCCATGGTTACGTCCAAGAGCTAGGTCAATTACATGCCTCTCGTGCACGTGTCTGCAAACATGGTCCAACTGCTTGCAAAAATCCTTTTTCTCTTCATCCTCCAATTGTCTTTTCTGGAGATGTAGAAGGTCCACAGTGACCTGAAGGCTAGAGTCTCTCTGCACATCCTGTGTGACCTGTTGTAATGCATCAGCAAACAAGGAGCGGGAAGACCAGGGTTGCTGATACAGTTTGGCCTTGAATTGATTGTCCTATGATAGTCCTAGAATGTTGCAGTACACCACGGCAACAAAGAGCCATCTTGGTGCCGGCGTGGTGAACGAGGAGGCCCAAGATCTGCGTAAGCTTGTCTTGTGTAAGGTTGATCACTCCCCGAGTAAAGGCATCTGCATGGGAAGAGAGACAGATAGCGCGTCTATAGATGACAAATCATAGATACGAGTGGGAGGGTACGGCGGACTGTGGCATCCAAGTGTGTTAGGTCCCGATCTTCAACCACATAAGACGATGTCAAATGCTTCTGAGACAGAATAGAAATGTCACGATCCAAATCCAGGGAGGCAACCGTAGTAGACATGCCATGAGTGCCTGTATCTTCAAGAATGAAGTGGGGGACATAGAAACAATCCCGTAGACGACAAAAGGGAGCGAGAGCCGTATCCAGGTTGACATAATGTCCAGTAAGACCGGTCTGGGAGGGAGTGTGATATTGGACGAGCTAGCTGATGGAACTGCGAATCCGGTGAACCAATCCGCAACCGAAGTTGTCCACTGTAACTGCAATTTATCAGCGATCCAATACAGAACCGATTCAGGGTCTGCGGGTTCAAACCTCGACCCAGGAGGGCAGTGACAAGGGATCATCAAGAACGCCTGGCGGCTGTAGACTGTCAGTTAACTGAGCCTGGAGACAGGGATCGCTCGAAAGTAGAGGCCGAACTACCTGATACAAGAGGGATCGTGCGGGTGGCAACCGAAACCCGATCCGGATAAGTAGGTTGAGGAGTCGATGAAGGATCCGAACGTCGAAGGAGGACAGTGGATATTGCTTTCACAAGAGAGTCGAACGATGGTTTCGAAGTCTGTTGTTGATCCCTGTGATCCCAACTCGTGGGTAGGATAGGTGGACAAGGGTCGGGAGAAGCCAACCTAGAAGGATAACGATGCGGTGATCTGTGCGGAAATGACTTCGACGATCACGTTCGTTATACCCTATCCTGTGAACTGTGAGGCAGGTAGGCATAGCCGGCAGAAGAGCAGTAGTCATGAAACCGTGAGTAAGGGTATCCGGGACGCTGGTAATTGGAGTCATGGTAGATATGGTAGATATGGTAGATATGGTAGATCCCTGCCAACGAGCCACCAAGGCATCAACCGCCTGAAAAATCCCGTGAGGATAACCACTATGGTGATGCTCCACGAAGGATGGCCGATCTGTCCTAAGAGAGAACTGTCCGACGGGTGGTCAAATGCAGACGATTGGGAGCGGGAATGATGACAATCATGGTGCAGGCCTTTGATATCAGCCAAGGAGCGAGAATGGTGATCCAATTGAGAATGGGAATCCTGGGAGCGTGATCTCCGATCCTGTGAGCGGGAATGCCGATCCCGTGAGCGAGAAAGACAATCCTGGGAACAGGAACGCTGATCCTTGGAACAAGAATGACGATCGCGGGAGCGGGAGTGCCGATCTGTCATCTTGTGGGGGTGAACGTCGCATCAAAGTGTGACGATCTAAAACAACCCAAGCAAGACGTTGTTTTTCCTTTTTCCCCATATTAATAGGCCTCAGGATACTTGACAACTTGGTGAGGGACAAACAATATTCTCTGATATTACAAACAAGTCACCACACGGTGGCAATGAAGAGACTGATTTGGTAGGTGTACATGTGGTCAGTTCAAGCAGGCACGGCCTGCACAAGAGGCACGTAATTGACCTAGCTTTTGGACGTAACCATGGAGATGCAAGGGGGCTTGGTGGCTATCTTTATTTCAGAAGCTGGAAACATGATTCAAGCATGTTCCCACATAGGATCGAAGAAGAAGGGAAAAATACAAAGTGTGAGATAGGATAAGTTTTATAACTTCAAATTTCACCTGGTTTCATGCTGTCATGATGCATTGATGTTTGCAGGACATTACAACATACCATAAAATTATTAAATAATTTGATTCAAAGCCTATCCAGTTACATCACTGTTTACATCCCCACAAAATGTTTCGTCCTGCTTGAATCATGGGCTTGGAAGATGCCTGTTAGCTCTAACTGTTCAATTTCCAAACTATAATTGCAATAATTGGCCTAAAGTCAGAATATTGGATGGGAACCTCATAAACACCTTTTTGAGGCACTATTGCTTGAAACAATTATGCAACATATACTACTCAAAAGAATTAAAGGAACACCTAATTCTTTCATTGCATGACAGATTAACTATGAATATGAACAGATGTAATATGGAAGGATGTCCTTAACTTGTTTTGAATATATCTTAGGTTTGACTTGGTTTGAAAATGTAGTATATATTTAATACAGGACTAGAACATGGCAAAAACATGTTATAATGAGTTCAGGCTGATATCACAAATGTCAGTTCTCCAGTTTCCCCATCTGAGGCATGTACTCACCCTGCCTGCATTCCTCTCCCTCTCCTTCCTCAGTAGTCGGAGTGATTCGCGTGCATGATGCTGGATACACTCATCACTACAGTACACGGAGCCCGGCCTTGCCCCGCGCCGACAGTCCATCCGCACACACTTCACAAACTTCGCAGCGCCCTGCAGATTCAAGCACATATATATATATATACATCAATGCACTAGAGCCAAAAGAAAAAATATAAGATTTAAAGCTATGTCGAATACTAATTTACCTTACTGCACCTAAACAAATTGGAGCAGAGACTAGTATTTGTTTACCGTTATTTTCTTGTGTCCCTTTTTCTTGTCAGCCCCATCCTTGCTGGGTGTGGAGGTGCCAGGCTTCCCAACCCCCTTGGAGGACTCCACCACCTTTCCATCAGGTTTCTGTAATGTAACCATAGATACTGCAGTTAACTGTTAGTGGACCTCATGGAGGTCTTATCAATACTGTTTCCATGACAAAGTTTGGGACACCTGGAATAGGCATTCTGTGATGAGCAAACACATGGCGACCCACTCAAGTTTTCTAATGTTAAACAAGAGTGCAATTACTGAAGAGGGTATGCTAGTTATTTACTTAGACAATATCAGAATAAATTGATTTCATTGGAGCACAAAATGACCCCAGACCAGCCAGGAGAGGACCTGATACATACTTTTGTCTCACTGTCATGTCTTCCACATACCTTTTTTACACCTGCTTTTGCTGCTATCTTTGATTTTTCTGAAACAGGATACACTGGATAAAGAATAGGTAAATATTCCTCCTTAAATCAATGTAAATATAGGTATGTAATCAAACAAGCCTTTCATACAGCATGAGGCAATGGTTTTTAGAACGACTGTAATTGTGTGCTGTCTGTAAACCTGACACAACTGTGGACTGTTCCTATGCAGGCGTTTGTAAACCTGACACAACTGTGGACTGTTCCTATGCAGCCATTTGTATACCTGACACAACTGTGGACTGTTCCTATGCAGCCGTTTGTATACCTGACACAACTGTAGACTGTTCCAATGCAGCCGTTTGTATACCTGACACAACTGTAGACTGTTCCTATGCAGCCGTTTGTAAACCTGACACAACTGTAGACTGTTCCTATGCAGCCGTCTGTAAACCTGACACAACTGTAGACTGTTCCTATGCAGCCGTCTGTAAACCTAACATGACTCTGGACTGTTCCTATGCAGCCGTCTGTAAACCTAACACAACTGTAGGCTGTTCCTATGCAGGCGTCTGTAAACCTAACACAAGTACCTATGCAGCCATCTGTAAACCTAACACAAGTACCTATGCAGCCATCTGTAAACCTAACACAAGTACCTATGCAGCCATCTGTAAACCTAACACAAGTACCTATGCAGGCGTCTATAAACCTAACACAAGTACCTATGCAGCCATCTGTAAACCTAACACAAGTACCTATGCAGGCGTCTATAAACCTAACACAAGTACCTATGCAGCCATCTGTAAACCTAACACAAGTACCTATGCAGCCATCTGTAAACCTAACACAAGTACCTATGCAGCCATCTGTAAACCTAACACAAGTACCTATGCAGCCATCTGTAAACCTAACACAAGTACCTATGCAGCCATCTGTAAACCTAACACAAGTACCTATGCAAGCTGAACACTTGTACTCCTCGTTTTTCTTCTCCATCTCCTTGCCCTGCTCCTTGTTGATGCCGACACAGCTGCCATGGAACCACTCCCCACACATGTCACAGCAGATCATGAACCTGGGTCATAACATAGCAACATTAATTCTCTCTTCCAAAATAAGTATCAGTAAGGATAAGACTTGTTTTCGACTTGTCCTACAGTTTGTGGAGTAAGTTAGTGAAGATTGCTATATGCAAAAGTCTGCAATATTCCAGCTAGATCACAGCAGCCTGTACAAGACTGGGTCAGACAAACCAGCAAGTGGCAGCCTGTACCACAAGACTGGGTCAGACAAACCAGCAAGTGGTAGCCTGTACAACAAGACTGGGTCAGACAAACCAGCAAGTGGTAGCCTGTACAACTAGACTGGGTCAGACAAACCAGCAAGTGGCAGCCTGTACAACAAGACTGGGTCAGACAAACCAGCAAGTGGCAGCCTGTACAACAAGACTGGGTCAGACAGACCAGCAAGTGGCAGCCTGTACAACAAGACTGGGTCAGACAAACCAGCAAGTGGCAGCCTGTACAAGACTGGGTCAGACAGACCAGCAAGTGGTTGCCTGTACAACGAGACTTGGTCAGACAAACCAGCAAGTGGCAGCCTGTACAACTAGACTGGGTCAGACAAACCAGCAAGTGGCAGCCTGTACAACAAGACTGGGTCAGACAAACCAGCAAGTGGTTGCTTGTACAACAAGACTGGGTCAGACAAACCAGCAAGTGGCAGCCTGTACAAGACTGGGTCAGACAAACCAGCAAGTGGTAGCATGGGCAACATTGCACTGTCAGAGTGCCATGATACACAATCAGACAAGTCAAACTTTGTACACTGGTAGCAACCACCCAATCCTTATATTCTACCCCAGAGTCTCTAATAGGTAGTGGAGTAAAGAGTTAAGTGTAACCAGGGGTCCGGAAACCGTCATATGCGCCGGACATGTCCGATTGGGAATCTCAAATGTCCGGTTTAAAATATTGCTTACCAGACATTTTAAAAAGTATTGTCCGGACATTCTTAAATTTTGACCGGACATGATCAACAGTTAGGACTGAGCAGTTTCTGTCTGCAGTTGCAACACAATTAGGATTATCTACACTGACAAGCTTTGTTTGTTTTGATTGCTGTAAATACATCATACCTACATGATAGTCCAATCGGTCAGTCACTGTAATAGGCAATAAACTGAGTTGACACTGATTAATCGAGGATTAATTACTGAGAACATCTTGTTAATTTGCGTGAAAGGTGTTTACAACTGTACATAAATACCTTGCATCATCGATGTACCTCATTATCCTCACAATGTTACGATACGTAACCTCAGACAAGAAGCGAAAGCGTGACGACAGCCAGTCGACCGATGCAGATCAGTCGAGCGGATCTGCCAAACCCTCAAAGTCTAGACGATCATTTTGTAAGTCGTGGCTAACGACTTTCACTTGGTTGACATACAATGAAGATTTGCAGATTTTATTGTTTTCAGTAGCTAGTCGTATATTGAATCTTGATTGACCGCCATTTTGCTCTCTCGGACGAACGATATCAATTTTTTTTTATGGTCAATAATTAAGTACAGATGAAAAAAGTATTCAAATAACTATTGCTCTCAACGATATTTTAGTATTTGTGATTAAATTATCTGTCTTGTTTTAAAAAAATCTTTAGTTTAAAAAAAAACTTTTCCCGTGTGGTCACGTGATAACCAAATATGGGATAATAGTCTCGATCCAAATGTTACAACGCGTACACTTGAGCAGACTCATGAATATAACTCATGAATATTAATTAGACCGTTTACTACATTAACAGATCGTTATTATAACAGAAACAAACGTATGTTTTCCATGTATATCTAAAATGATATTATTTGTTATTAATTGTCCGGTGAATTAAACAATTTAAATTGAAACAATTCATAATTCATCATATTATGAATACGTAAACTTGTAATGTGTGTGAAAAGTCGTACTAAAATACGCTATTTGAAGGGGGTGTTGCCTAAATGCAAATGTCCGATTGGGATTTTAAATTTTCCGGACCCCTGAGTATAACTGCAACTATATGTTTGAAATTACTCAAACTTGAGCCAGTGAAGCACAGGTAGATCCATTCAATGCCTGATCTAAATCCTCTATAACAGTGTTTTGTCTTACACTGCTTTACTGTCAAATATATGACTTGTTTGTTCATTTGTTGTTAAACGCCGCATTCAGAAATATTCCAGCTATATGATGGCAGTCTGTAATATTTGAATTAGGACCAGACAATCCAGTGATGGATATTATGAACAACAATCAACACTGTTGGGGTATGGTGACATGCTGTCAACCATTTCTCCAAGACAGACCACCCAATCCATCAGGAATATGTTGCTGTTCCTACTCTAACCCGGAATCTAATTACTAAACGTGACAAACTGTCATATGAGTATAAGCATATGGGAGTTGAGTACAAGATGCTACAGTATAAGGCTTTAGACAACAGTTACAGTGTCCAGTTCCCGTGCCTGAGACTGCCAGCATGCCTCACCTCTTTCCATGTGGCTTCTTACAGATGCAGTAGAGGGTGTTGGGGTCGGTGCTGGGATCCCAGTCAGAGTCATTCTCATCATCTTCATAGCTCAAGTTCCCACCTTCACTGTCTGCAAGAGAGTATTTGTTCTCATCAGCATTGTCCGAATCTCTACCATATTGCAACAAGCGTCCATTTATTACAGCAAGGAAACTTCTAAATGACCTTGGACAAAACTCAATGATCACCACTTAATCAGAGGTATCAAATCACAAAATAACATTCCTAATAAAGCAGCTGATGTCACTGATGCAAGAAATATTTGAAAGAAAACATCTCTTTCATCATTATTGACTGAGCTATGAATATGATGAATGTGGTCAAGTTTCTTCAGGTGGTGTTTCATTGCTCACCTGTACTTTTACATTTCAAAGCCACTGCTAATACGATTGATTCTAAGTTAAATATAGAGGTTTGAGGGGTTCTTCTTTTCAGGAATACAGATGCAATAATCAAATTTTCCTTTTCAAAGTATGTTAAATGTAAGTTCACTTGTCTTGGAAACACATGTAACACTTTTGGTTTAGAGCAAACTGCTCTGCCATATACCAAAAAATAGGAAACACAAAAGACTTTTATCGTTCTCAAGAACTTACCACTTCCACCATCGATGTCTGTTCCAAACAATTTCTTCCTCCGTTCTCTCTTCTTCACTCTCTGCTTGTCACTCTTCTCACTGTCAGTACGTCGTCTGTGCTTGACCTTCACTTCTGACCCTGACCCTTCTGTCTTCACACTGTTGCTGGGATCGACTGAACTTTCACCTTGAACCTTTGTTACCTCTGGACTTTCACCCACCTTTACCTCTTCAATTGTGGGTTCGGGTTTAGCTTCTTCTTTCACAGGTGTTGTTTCCGGTCCAGTTTTTCTAACATCTTCTGTACCGTCTTCAGTAACAATGTCCTTAACCTCTTCAACTTTGACCTCAGTTACATCTTTGACCTTTGACCCATCTTCAAGTTCATCTTTCTTTTCAAGGTCTTCTTTCTTTACAGCACCTTCATGGCGAATGAGAGCATCGGGTTTGAATAAATCGGTCATTGTTGGGTCAAGGAATGCCTCCGTCTCAGACAGCTTGTGTGACTTCCGTCGCTGGGCCTTGTGACCACTGTCAGGCGTCTTGGATGGGTAGCGGCCAAAGTCGGACATATCAATGTCAAGGTCTTCCTCCTTCGATCCCCTACTCTTCTTTGAGTGTTTCCCTTCTTCTCCCTTCTGGTCCTTAACATAAATTATTTGTGACATAAAGGTTCCAGTACATTACATTGTATTGTATTTCACAGGATAGCTAGGGCTGGGATGTTTAACTCGGGTACTCAGGTACTTGGGTCAGGTGGGTCCTGATTAGGACTCAGGAATCCACAGGTCTACCTGGACCCATGGTTAGTCCCAGTAGAAGCCTGAATTCAGTACAAGATCTTGACCTTAACATACCACTGCTACAACAAGTAAGCACCTTCCTTTTTATCTGACCTTATCCAGGTATATCAACCATCTAGATCCCTCCGTTCTTCTGAGAAACATCTCCTTTGTATACCTAAGACTAAACTGACATGGTCTGGGCAGAGGTCATTTGCCTACAATGCTCCAGTTCCATCTCAAGACATTCCTGTTCAGATTCTTTTATGGCATGGCTAACGTAAAGCGAATTGTAGCACTTTAGTGTGTGAGTGAATGAGTGAGTATGGTTTTACGCTGCTTTTAGCAATATTCCAGCAATATCACGGCAGGGGACACCAGAAATGGGCTTTACACATTGTACCCAAGTCGGGAATCGAACCCGGGGCTTCGGCAGGACAAGCAAACGCTTAAACCACTAGGCTACCCCTGTAGCACTTTAGACCACTGGTCACCTATGATCATGGTGATACACACCACTAGAACTTATCATTTACACTAAAGACATGACACTAAACATAACACATAAACACTGTTATTCCTGGCTATACAATGCAGCTTCACAAAAACATTCCTACAACAATGTCTGTGTACACATTTAATACAACACACCTTTTTATCTTTCTTCACTTTCTGTGGAGTTACCTCTTCGTCAGAATCTTTCTCACTCTGTAACAAATAGGACATGATGATGGCTTATCAATCCATTCATCTTCACACTTCTTTTCTTATTTTACTTCCCTGAAGTAGTTTGATCAAATTCCACATAACAGGCATTTATGTCTTTACTTCTCAGAAGTGTTTTTTCTGCATCCGTTGCATTATGTGAATATAACTTCTCCCCAAAGTTTAAGTCGAAAATGTTGAAAATCTAACCAGACTTTCTTCCATCAGTCCCCACTGTACATGTATTCCGCAAAACCACGTGCAAAATTATTTATTTTGGCTGCGGAACACAGCACAGACTGCTCCTTATACATGATAAAAGGGAGCAGAAGATATGTGAGGCAGGAGTGACATACTCCACCAAACATCCTACTGAAGATTTGATGCAGCTGTGTATGAAAGCAAGCAAGCACATGTATATGTTAAATCGGTGACATTTTGTTACTAATTACTGTGTTTTTCTAGTTTCGAAAGGTGTAGATGTAAGACAGTAAGCACGTCCCTATCTGTATGATCGATAAAACTGGAGAACGACATCTTTACCCACCATATTACTATGATTACCCTGGAGCAAGGGGACATAGCACTAAGTCAAACATAAGTCAAGGTTAAAATATCACAGTAAGGATACTCTTGGTACTAGTGGAGTTACGACACAGCGCTATGCCAGTCATAAGTTAATGTTACATTATCAACAGTCTTAACAGTCGTAGTGTAAATCAGTATTAAAGTAATGAAAGTCATAGAGCTACACGAGTCCCAAGTCAATATTAAACTATCGTAGTAATGACAGTCGTAAGTCAATGTTAAACTATCAGAGGATGGACAGTCAGAAATCAATGTTAAACTATCATAGTGCTATGATCACTTTATGAAACAGGACCCAGCCTACACTAATTGTTCTCTCACCTTCTTGCTGTCTCGCCTTTCTCTTTTGACAGAATCCTTGCTGTCCTCACGACTCCTCTTCCTCTTAGCCTTTCCCCCCTCTTCGGATTCCTTCCTCTTTTTTTTCTTCTTCTTCTTAGCCTTCTCCTCCTTTTTCTCCCCTTCCCCTTCTTCCTCCGCCTCCTTCTTGTCGTCGTCATCAGACTGCATGTCCTCCTCATCACTTCCAAATATTTCCTTGATATCATCATTGATGGAGTCTCGCTTTTCTTTCTTCTCCTTAGCAGTTTCATCCTTACTCTGCTCTTCTTCCTCCTTCACAACATCATCAACAACATTCTGTTTCTCTTCCTTCCCTTCTTCTAATTCTGTCTCTGGAGCTTCCTCAGCTTTTTCTTCTTCCTTCATTGCAGGAGAAGCACCTTTAGATGCTGCACCTTTTGTTCCTTTTCTCTTTCCTTTGGGAGTAACTTCTTCCTCTGCCTTGGCTACCTCCTTCTTTCCCTTCCCTTTCCCCTTCCTGGTCTTCTTGGGAGTTTCCACCTTCTCTACCTCTTCTTCAACATCAGCGTGCACCTCACTGTCCTTCAGCGCTGCCTTCCTCCCTCTCCTCCCTTTCGTTACTTTTACTTTTTCTTCGCCAATTTCTTCTTTTTTACTTTCTTCCGGACTAACTGTATCTTCAACAGACTCTTCTTCCTCTTGTTTGGCTGCTTTCTTCCTCCCTCTTTTGCCCCTGACAGGGGTGTTGTTGTCTTCCTTTGCCGTAACTTCTTCCGTTTTGTCTTTAGCTTTCCTCCTTCCTCTTCTACGCGGTGTTTCCCCTTCTTCTTCTTTGTCTTCTTCCCCAACATCCGCTGCGGGTTTGCCTGATCCTCGACCTTTCTTACCCCGTCCTGGTTTAGTCTCTTCAACTTGGGTTTCTTCCTGATTGTGACTTTGACCCCTGCCACGACCCCTTCCCCTCCCTCGGCCCCTGCCTCTCCCTCTCCCCCGGCCCCGGCCTCGAACCGGTGTAACAGGAACTGGTTCCCCTTCCTGTTCACTCTCTTCAGTCTTGTTGGTTGCCCCGCGCCCAAACCTACGTGTGATGATCCTGTTGCTAAGTGTTTGTGGTCTGCCCCTCCGCCTCTGTGCTGGGTTGTCGGCAGGGGACCCCCTTCCCACCGAATCCTCCTCCCCTTCCTTGTCTTCATCCTCATCTTCGTTCGTAACCTTTTTCGGACTTGGACTCGGCTACAAAGAAAACATATGGATTCAACTTCATTGCATGTAGTTATTTGACATAAAACATGAAAAATTTCCAACTATTTCTGAAATAATATCTGTGACAAAATATTGTATAAATATAAATTACAGCTATACAGTACTGACGTTTTCAAAACACAAACAAAATGACATTTCAAGGACATACACCAGAACTTATTTAAGATTTTCAACATACTGAAGAAACAGATATCCTCACACATGATACATTTTCTGACAAGCAAAGTATTTTTAACCTACATTATTGATACTGGTCTGCCTGAGGGATTTATTTATAATAAGGTTGCCTTGACCTAAAATTATGGGCTCCTCTCACCAAAGGTCTTGGTTCAGCTGTTTATTTTACCCTTACCTTGCTGACGTCATTAATGGGGTCTGTGGGTGTGGTGTCTGTGGGTGTGGTGTCTATGGGCGAGATGTCTGTGGGCGTGGTGTCCCCCTGATCTGAGGGTTGTGTACCCCCCTTCTGTCTCCCCTCCAGTACCTCCTTCACTAGGCGCCGGTTCTCCTGGCGTATCTGTTCTGCCTTCACTCGCTGCTCATGGTCACTGATCCGACTGGAACGTCTACAACAGACCACAAATACATAGATATTATAGGTGACTACGGAGGATATGTTTACTATTGAAATAGAATAGCAAGGGTATAGCAATAGCATAGCAATAGCATAGCAATAGCATAGCAATAGCATAGCATAGCAATAGCATAGCAATAGCATAGCAATAGCATAGCAATAGCAAAGCACTTTAATAGCAAACCCCAATTTTTCGAAAACTATTACAACATAAGTAAAGCGACTGCAATACTATTGTGATGGTTTGATTACTGACTTTGCCACTATCTACCATCCAACAATGTAGGTCTCATGCATTATTCCACATCATGCCTATGGCTAACACTTCTCCCTAGTCCTAGATTCAGCAGGGGCCTTAAGAAATTGTGAGGTTATTGGAGGAACATTAAACATTTTTTTATATAAATATTTCATTTTGACAATAAAACCTTAAAAACATGAAGTCAAATGTCACAAAATGTATTTCTAGTAAATGTGACTAAAACAGTAATGAATTGTCTCACTAAAAGCACATTTGCAGGGTATAGCTCATACTGGCAACGGCATGAGAACCATAATACTGTAGACACATTAGAGAATACATAAAATGAAAAGAACATAACTTTTCTACATTAACACATCATTCAGCAACTGTCACAAAGCATTTATATTCTTTAGGTAAATACGATCAACAACATTTGAAAGAGGAACACCCTGTTGACAGCAGCAAGGCTTACATTCACAAACTTCCCAATCTTCACAGCTGCTTCTCTCTCTTAGCATAGCACTTTAGGAGCTGTAGTACCATCGAAGAGAGAGTTGACTGATAGATTTTGACTTACTTATTCTTCCTGTTCAGGCGCTAGTATTTAATCAAACGTTGCATAGATAAAGAGGCTGAAATTTATATGTCCACGGTCTTTAGCAGCAATCTCGAAACCTACCTGTCTCAGGCAGAGATCTACATCTAGGATACTATATCTACATTATCACACTCTTCACTACACTGCCCACCTGTGACATGTGGAACTAGAGGTGACTAACGGTGGTCAGGCTCGCTGACTGGTTTGAAGCATGTCATCAATCACAATTGCATGGATCGATGCTCATGATATCAGTCACTGGATTGTCTGGTCCAGACTCAATTATTTACAGACCCCCGTCATATAGCTGAAATATTGCTGAGTGCGGTGTAAAACAACAAACCAAACCGACATTTGGAACTTACCCCGAAACCTGGTTCATGAACTACTGAACTACTGGGGAGTATTGGACTATAGTTTGGCCTGGGACACATGGTATAGATCAATACTGAAGATAATACGAGAAAAATGAAATATGCATTTTGCAAATGCTTTCAGCCTTTTGCTTTAGTTTGGTGTCCATATCAGTTCCTCTATACAATGTGAGAGTTCGGGTTTAACATGTTAAACGGCACTTTGAACAGTATTTCAGTTACATAACATTGTATGAGCTTGACGTGGGAAGAAAACCAAAAGTGACTCAGGTCTCAGTTTTACCAATTACGTGAAACCCACAAGCAAGGATCTGGTTCTGATAAACCTAGAAACATAATCAAGGAGAACTGGGATTCAAACCAAGATCATAGGTTTAATAACAATATCATTTGAGGGGTAGCATCAAGTTTTAACTCAACAGTTCTCCAGAATAAATTTGTGCCCTCAATTAGTTGTAAAATCAGCTGCAATTGTGTAATTATGAACTAACATCAATCATATAGATCAGCAATTAACTGCATTGTCAAAAGACAGTGGTGCACAATATTGTGCAATAATTACTCAAATTGAGGTGAAGTTTCCAAAGTCAATATACAGGAAAGAGCCTGGGACAGGTGAACTTAAAGGGCAAGTTCACACGGAAATGAACCTATTTTTATTGTACTTTTTCCACATTAAAAGTGTTAACCTAGAAGTGTCATAGACAAAAATATAAAAATATCACAATTAATTAACATATTTTTCGCATTGAAACGATTTATATTTTTCACATTTACCAAGTGTTCTATTTCCACAACAAAAACACCATGGCTTATGCCCCTTGCAATATGACGTCATTGGTGCCAATTGATAAACATTATGACGTCATCATGCTTTGTTAGAGCCGCTTCACGTGGTGTAGGTCCAGGTGTGTGATTCTAGCGTCTCAGATGCCAGCCAGCATAGTGTTATGCTGAGTCACCACTGCGCCGGAGTGTGTCGTAGGCCATGTTGTTTTACCGCAAACTGGTACTTGATATCTTTTGCGTTGAGAATAGACAGGGACCCAGTTGAATTGGCACCAATTACGTCATAATCTAAGGGGGATAACTCAGGCCTGTTTAGCTCGAAAAACGAAGGCCTCATAACGGCATATCATTTTCACACTATTGTGAGCTTCCTACGTTCACTGTGAAAAAAATGAGTGTATATTTTCAAACACAGATACTAATTAATTCTAAAATTGCGTTTTGTTTAGAAAAAGAAAGAAAGTGATTTTTGCGTGTACACTTCCCCTTTAAACACTGACACCAACACTGTGGAGGATAATGCATTTTGATCTTGTCAACAAGTTAACCTAGGAACACAATGTGACATTTACCTAGCCCTGATCAGATGCCAATATTCCACCCCAAATCTGCAGTAGGTGAGAGTAAACATGGTACATATTCCCAAATTAGAATTAAACATGTCCCAATTCATGTTGTGATGGTCATGGCTTTGAGGAGTTAATGCATATTTCACTGAAAACAGACCCAATTTCGAAGAAGCAATGTGTGAAATAGTCTCAAAATACTGTAAGATTACCTTTTTATCATATCACATCGCACATTCAAAATACTACATATCACTGATAGGTATATGATAATATGGCATTGTTGGAGTGTAAGCCTATTTTAGGGCCAATTCCTGTTTATAATAGCAGTGACTAGCTGGCCTGACCATGCTGACTGCACAGAACATTCCATAAAAAATCTACCCCTGCTTAAAAGGCCAATTAATTGATAAATGCATAACACCATTGCTCACGATATTCGAATCCATTTATAACACGTACACATGAAATCCTGCGTTCGATACACATAAAAATTGAATACAGACACCAACAAAATGAAGAGTGCATCCACTGAGATGCTGTAAATTTGTGTTGTGTGTTTATGAATGGGCTATTTCTCATAATATGGATCCACCTAAAATTAATTTCTGTATGTAATCAATATAAAAAAGTAAAAATCACAAATTATCTAAAGGCACCAGTTCACCACTAGAATGATCGGTATAGCAAGTTTCAACAAGAAACATTCAACGGTTTAGGAGTTTTGCTACAAAAACAGAAAAAGGACGGACAGACGGATATGCTGATCACTGTGCTTGAAACAGGGGGGTGGGCAATACATAGAGTCATCATGGTCATATCAGTTGGGGAATTCCATATCTATTATAACTAACGGCCTCTAAGCAAGCGCACCACTTGTGGTAGAGTACAGTATTCAGTGTCCGACATTTCTCTGAGGGGCCCACTTTGTAGCGTGGGATCCTATGCATTTTTAGGAATGATTGCTGCAATTTCATAATTTGAGAGCACTTAAAACCAATTTTAATGTGACGTAATTATGTAAAAAATACCACACACTCTCAAAGGCTTCACAATCTTCCAGCACTAGTACTTGTAGATTCATTTCAGTCGGGAACACTGTATCTATTCTAACTTAACAGCCTCTGAGCATACACAATCCTATGTCACTTGTCATAGAATATGGTAATGAATTTTTAACACTTCTCTGTAAACCCAATTTTTAACATAGGATCCAACTAAATGTTTCAAGTGTCCTTGACCCACAAAATAAATACCCCAGGTAAACCCTACATGGACGACTTACATCATTGTACATAGAGAGATTGGCTGGTACCCGGACTTACCTGGATGGTTGCGGGGAAGCATCATCTGTCTTCTTCTTTCTTCCCCTCTTAACTTCTTTCACTTCATCCTCTACCATACTATCATCCTCCATCTTCTCCACATCACTGTCGAAGTCTGCCCCCACCCCCACATCAGCATGCTGCACTGCAGGAGGGGGGGAGGAGGATGTAGCTACGACACTGGTGCTGGGGATTGCCGGGGAAACTGCCTCTGGGGGTGTGTCGGAGGTATACGCTGCAGTCACCTTTGAGATGGACGGTTGTGGTTTGGGTGGTTGACAAGCATATGCATGATCGTTAAAGGCGGCAGCTACTACCGCTAGTTCGTGTTCCCGGACACTATCCTGTCAAGGGAATACCATGTTTAATGTGGTTGTACAGCATTACAGGTATTCACTTGGACAGGGTCTCATCAGACATCTGAACATCAACGTGAATATATGTAACCTAACACAGTACAAACCTAATCTTCTAAAACCTTAGAAAAAGTCTTGTCAGTACCCCACCCTCACACATCAATACATCTCGAGCTACTCATCTTCCCGAGGCAAGGGAGTTAACGGACCATCTGAGTCCAGTCTCCACCCTTGCTGAACTAGGCTGGAATTATAGAGTTATACTTTGGCTGGATTCATAAGTCTATGCAGTCCAATCAAATTTGCTTAACGAAATCGATATCGGGTTCTTAAACTGCCACGCAGATTTAGGCTGAATGCAGGTTTTGCAAAGCATGTGTACTGACAACTTAGCGTCAACAGATATTTCCTAATCTTTTCATGTTCGTAATCAATGTGGTCACATGATTTGATGCACTTAGACCAGTTTTATCACAAAAAACAAAGATCTTGATTATCAATCAGATCGTCTTCACTGGGCGACTTAATTTTATTTGAAGCAAATGTAAGTAATAATTTTAAAGGTGGAATCTGATTGGTCAATAGAAGGGACATAGAAGGGACATAATTCGTCAAAGCCACTGGTGTCAACATGCTGTCAACAAGGTCAACAGATATTTTCCAAATCTTTTCATGTTTCTTAATCAAGGTGCTCACATGATTTGATGCACTTAAGACTCATTATATTACAATATATAGAAGGGACATAAGCCCAGAAATTCCATCTAAATCGAAAAGGGTGGAAACTGGACTTTTACAGTCAGTTAACTCCCTTGCCTCTGGAAGATGCAAGCTACTGTGTCAAGATTTGATGTGTATCACAATACTTAATTTGCAACGGTTTTGTCTCGTCTTCTCCATGTTTAATCTTTCCCATGCTTCCCCCTTACAAGAGGTTGCTGCCACTAACCAGTTTGTGTTTGTTTGTGATTAGTTAAGGCAGAAAATTCACACCAGCCCAAGTAGTTATCATACCAGGTTATCATAAAATTTAAAAAACATTACTTTTCAAAATTGATACAAAAACTAAAATATGAATTGATTACACATACATCAGTAAATCAAGAAACCCCTACTCAGCACAAAATATGTAAATGTTCAGAGGGACTATTTTTTCACATTTGACTATCATGCACACATCATGTTAATATGAAAGTTACCCGTACATGTATTTCTTATCCAGTGCAGTAGAACTTCAAACTATATTTCCATGCCTACGTCTATAAAGTACCCTGGGTTTGGTGATATTACTTCTGGTTTAATGCTACTTTTTCTTCTGCACTATCACTGTGATGGACTCACACATTAATCCATGTGGGGATCGAAACCAATCAATCTCATTAAAATCAGATCTTAGTTCTCGCTATGCTGAACAAAGACCTGAGGACATCCCATTAGGGTCACGTCAGAATGACCTTTCATCCAACAAATCAGAGCGTCGCTTACCAGATCATGAAAGTGACAGTCGAAATGTGTTTTCTAATCATGCAACCATGAAATATTTAACACGGGGTATTCCGAAGGACAGTTATGGGTTTTATGATTATATCCATACAATCTAGGCCATCCAAAAGCCATTCCAGAATGTTCTTATCAGTTTTAATTTTTTAAATCGAGAATACGTCATATTATGTTTCGAAGCGTATTCGCCAGTTTGAAACTAGAGTCGTAAAGATCGATAAAGCTGCCTTCTGATTGGCTAATTTTTATTTTTTGTCAGTCTTTTCATTGGTCGGTCAAATTCGCGAAAGGTCGTACTGACGTGACCTGTAATGGGATGTCCTCAGATCTTTGTTAAGCGGTAGTGAAAACTAAGATCTGATTATAATGAGATTGGAAACCAATACTCTCTGTAGCAAGCCAATCACTAGGCTACCCAGCTTCCCCTAATCTTAGACATGATTCTGAACTACAGCAAGTTATAACAAATGTCAAATCTGGGATAGTTCAGATTCTAGTACTTTTGGGGTTGAGTCCCATCCAGGATTCGAGCCCACACGGCCAGAGTGAGGCACTTTGTGTGCGGATGATTAGGTGCCTCACTCTGGCAGTGTGGGTTGGAATCCCGGATGGGACTAAACCCCAAAAGTACTAGAATCCGTACTTTACTAAGAAAATGTTATCCCAAATGTGACATTTGTGACATTTGACTACTTTCTAAATGGCAAGTTAAATGATCAAGAGTTTCGGACGCGCATCATATTCTTTTTGTTCAGTAGGCCCCAGTTTTCTTGAGTCAGTGATTTCCAGCTCTGACTACACATGCTTCAGGAGTTATGATGACAACTGTTTATTTACCCTTATTAGCTGATGAGCAGAGGCCTCGTCAATTACGTTCTGTCCACCAAATAGGTCCAGCTTGAGTGAGTCATCAGATGAGTTTAATGTGTCCCCCTTGTGTACCGGTGCGCTAGACCCCTCAGCGGCCATGTTGGATATTAGACTGTGTTCAAGGGTCTCAAGGTCTGTAGTCTGTAGGAGCTTCTTCACCTCCTCACTGGAGAGTACATCTTCAAGCTGACCGAGCTGTTCATCTGACAGACCAACAAATGGGTTCTTGTCCTGCAAGGAGCATTATGAGTGAGTGAGTGAGTGAGTGAGTGAGTGAGTGAGTGAGTGAGTGAGTTATCGTGCTGACAAACCAAGAAACATTTGGGGATACGACTCTGTATAGCGAATCGAGGCACCTTACACAACTAGGCAACATGTGTTGGTTATTACCAGAGATATCGTTTGTTTGAGAACATTGTGATGTCATTGGTTACAATGACATCATAATCATCAAATGATATCACTAATCACATGAACTTTTATCGGCTAGCATAATACAATTCTATTCCTGACATACGCTATTTAAGATAGGAAACACACTCTGCCATTCATCTCACCTCTCCTGGGAGTAATGTATCCAGATTCCACTGATCCCCCTCGCTGGCACCTACATCTTCAGTGTTAGTGGCCACCGATGTGCAGGCAGCTACAGAGTTGTCTTTCTTGGTTGACTCCCCTCCCCCGCCAGAACCACCCGTCACTGAACTTGTAGTGGCCTCAGTTTCTGGTCGTGTCCCGGACATTTCACGGTCTCAGGATTCTAGGAAGAAGAATGTATCAATCATTTCTCAAGGTCATTTTCTCTGGTTACAATGTCATTAAAATCACATCTTTTAATCTGAAATCAATTTCAAAAATCAAAATTTCCAAATCAAGGTGGCAAAGAAAATGAAGCCAAATAATCTTAGAAAGCCAACGTCTTATTGGTTCAAGAAACAACACATTTTTAATTGAGAGGTATCGTATCTGAGTAACCGATCTGATTTTAATGAGCTTGCTCTTTTTAACGCTTAACAAAAACTAGAAATATAGGCTATGGAGGCAAACATAGTGCTACAGCACTGAAGTTCACCTGGATATGTAAAAAGGTTGCTGACAGTATTGCTACTCAAATGTTTTATATACTAATCATGTTAATAACAAAAGAATTACTAAACATACAGGGTCTGATAGCTACGCTAACCCGTAGGACCAAGGCTAGTAAATCTGTGTAAAAACTGAAATTCAAATTCAACAGCTGGCTAGTGTATTTTGTCACATTTTTCATTAAGTAGGAATGATGATAGTCACAACATAATAAATAAAAAGGATATTTAGAATTTATCTTATATAACACACTGTTGAGATATTGTCATTAGTTGTGACCACTTCGCAACTATTTTTACTGATGTTTGGAGCGTCAATGCATTTCAAGGCAATCACTAAAAAAGCAGGAAGTAACTTTTCAAGTCCAGTTTTTGATCACCAAAAATTCTCAGGGATGGATGGCATAGTTATCTGTGACTATTGGTTTTAGATTTAGCCCTTATTTACTGTTTGTTTGTTTGTTTCTTTCTTTGTTATTTAACGCCGCATTCAGCAATATTCCAGCTATATGACGACAGTCTGTAAATAATCGACTCTGGACATGCATCAACCAAGTCAACGAGTGTGACCACCCGATCCCGTTTTACTGCCATAGTGAGTTCAGTTAATAATAAGCGTACAAATATGATGTCAGGTAGATTATTATTAAATGTCCCTGAAGTGATGAAATATGTGGCTTTTAAAAAGTATCAGATGCAAAACTACTGAATTAATTCAGGTGTTATCAGTGGTGGGAACAAGCACATGTGAAGTTTCAGCTTCATTGGTTCAGGTCTCAGGAAATAATGTTTACGGTGTGAGGAATTGCATTTTGGGTGGCTATTGGAACATGGTCCAAGTGCAAGGTCAAACCAAGGTCAACGTTTTTAATATTCCCAAAGTGGTAAATGTGTTTGGAGCACTACTGCTTACTAGAGAAGTAACAAATTTTATGACATTCTGAAGAAAAAAAGTTTTATAATTGCCATAAAATGTTTCAACTTTAGTATGGATGAAGGACAACAGTCAAATCAAGATGAAATTTGAGTGGATACGAGTGAGTGAGTTGGGTTTAACACTGCTTTTAACATTATTCCAGTTATATCACGGTGTAGCAGCTTCATGTGGGAGGAAAGCCCGAAGTGATGCAGGTCTCAGACGTTTACCACTTCGGTAAAACCCACGAGCACGGGTATGCTGCTGACAAACCTAGAAACATAATCGGGGCGAACCCGGATTCGAACCCATTGAGTGGATATGATGACAGAGATTGATTTGGATCCCATTTCTGTTTCATAACTTTATACTTACATCTGTGAAAACACACAGTTGTAACTTCTAGGATAGACATACAACACAAAGTCATTGTTTTCATTTGTTGGCAATGCTAAGGTTAAATAATTGTTTGTGATACAAGTCAAAATAGTATAATGAAAATCACAGAATGCTTGATCAAAACTTTGTTTACATTACTGATGCAACCCTTCATACCTACATTTCATAATTAATCCAAAGACTAAGTTTATTATTTTTTTAGTTGATCAATGATCCCAAATTAACTTCGCCAATGTTTTCTTCATGCCCTCCCCGTCATGGGTAGTAGTGGCCTTGCTATATCATGTTCATATATTAAACATAACATCCTCTCGACATGAAAACCAGTCAGGAGAATGTAACCAAAACAAAAAATTAAAAGCCAGTTTTCCACCTTTGAGGTCTGAGTCTAGTGATCCTCAAACATGAGTGTATAGTGAACCTTAAACAAGAGTCAAGTGAGCCTCTAACATGCTTATTGAGGATTGACTGTTATTGCCAAAATAGTTCACCATTTTATAATAATTTCATTTCTTAGCAAATAATGGGAACATGATGAGCTGTATGAGAAATAGTAAGTGATTGAGTAGGGGATAACACCACTTTGAACAGCATTCCAGTTATATCACGGCATGTCAGATTGATTTGGGATGAAAGCCCAAAGTAAGTCATCTTCCTGAGGCAAGGGAGTAAATGACTTTAAAAGTCCAGTTTCCGACCTAGGCTGGAATTATAGTTATATTTTGGCTGGGCTAACGATTCTATGTACAGTCTAATCAAAACCGTTTAACAAAATTGACATTCTGTTCATAAACTGGCATGCAGATTTCAGCTGATTGCGTGATTTATAAACCATGTGTACCGACAACTTAGCATCAACAGATATTTCAAAATCTTTTCATGTTTTTAGTCAAGGTACTCACATGAATTGATGCACTTCGTGAGGTAAGATCAGTTTTATTACAAATAGATCTTGTTTATCGATCAGATTGTCTTCACTCTACGCCATTTTATTTGAAGCAAATGCACCTCTAATAGGTGGAATCTGATTGGTCAATAGAAGGGACATAGAAGGGACATAACTCACAATAGCCACTGTTGGCACTACGATCCAGCCCAAAAATTCCAGCCTAGTTTGGCAAGGGTGGAAACTGGCTTTTTACAGTCAGTTAACTCCCTTGCCTCGGGAGGATTGATGTAAGATATATTGTTTATATTGTCACATCAGCTGTGGCCAACCTGAACACAACGTTATACACAACATAACTATACTATCGAGATTATCTGATCTTGTGATCTCTGCCTATATAGCCTAAAACCTTCCCTGTCCTTGGTGAGATGGTGCGGTCAATCTTAGATGTTTGGAGTGTATGGAACAAGTAATTGTTTAATAGGAGCTAACAGCATCTTGGTACACATCATGGAAGCTCTGGTAGTGGTACTTAATGAAAAAGGTTAGATTGCATAAACATGACTGTGTCAAATGACACTTGTGGTAGAAAAAATAACAATAGCTTTCATGGCCGACCTACAGTATGCCTTTGTTACCATGGATGGTCATGTAATGCAGGGATTTCAACATACCCTGTGACCTCTGCTTGTCTAAACATAGTGTCTGTGTAAAGATCAAACCCAATACCAAATAAATATATTAACATCAGTGAATATTAACAAGAGGACTAATTTAATAAATAATATTATTGAAATGATCTGCATTTCTGTTTCTATGGCGGTCGGGTGTGAATGTACAAGATAACTAATTGGCCCTAATTCAGGGGAACCTACTCTTCTTACGAGGTGGCTTGCATGAATCTGCACGAAGCTCAAGTACTTGATGCAAGTGCAACATGAAACTGACTGACAAAACTATGTGATGTAAACGAATTGCCCACCTTAAGCATTCATGGACTTGATCAACATTGCAAAGATTAAGATTTACATTTTTGATCCATTTCCTGTATTCTGGCGAGTATTTTTTTCATTTCAAGATCATCATACTCACCTTATACATACCATAAGTTGCCAAATTTCCGATTAGATATGCATGCAACTGTCAGGTTAATAAGGCAAGTGTTTTCGACAAGATCCTTGAATGTTTGGAAACTCACTTCTACACGTTTTCACAGCGACTCCGCCGCCATGATAAAGACTTGTTGTATTTTCCTACAACTGATTTCAAGAGAGCGTCTGCTGTGCGTCAGTCATGCTTACGGACAGAATCTGCAAAACAACCAAATATGTGAAACTAAAAATGAAGAAAGCACACCATGACACAGATTTTTATTGCAGTTATTGGCTATCTCGTACACATAATACATGTTTAACAGTGGAGATATTCTGGAGGGATTTTTCAAAACGTGCAAAAGTTTGAATTTAGTGTTAATCAAACAATTAGCTTCCCTAAAACGTATCCATGAAAGAATATTTAATGGCAGCCTAGAATTGATCTTTTCTAATACAGAAATGTCATATTACATACCCTTTCAACAATTCTCTTTGCGCAGCACGCATTACAGTGTCGTTAATAAGCAGTATATATTGGTATGTAAGAAGTTTGACGTCCATATAATTGCATGGTGTGGTGTGTGTTTTTTAATTGAAAACACAATTCAGTATTTATATACACTGAATTAGATTCATTAGCATTACCTTTAATACATGGTTAAAATGCCATACCAGATAACAACACATCTGCTTCAAGCATCACAGAAAGGTGAGGAAATATATTTTTAAAATATTGTTTTCTTCATTTACCATTTTTCAATAGTATCTAGTATAATAATGGCAGTGCACGATACATTTATGATAATGTTCGAGTCTCATACTTGTCCCATTGTTGTGAATAGCTAAATCGTGTACAAAATATATTTTCAGCGAGACCACATATAGAACTAGTCGTAATACTAATATCCCCAGACAGTAACCAACATCTAGACACCTGCTTTATCACAATATCTACGCCGGTTTTAGTTATTGCTTGCAAACACACACGCACTCTTGGTATATCTAAATATAAGGAATAAGAAAACTAACGTTAGCTAACTTATGCATGCACGGTAAGCTCAGAAACTGCAGAGTGTCTACTCAAACCATTCACCTCGATTATCCATACATACGAATTCATTTAACTGAAGCTTATCACAGTGACGTCATTTCTTTCACTAATTGTGACGTAATTGCATTGTTTCTACGTTAGTTGGAAAAAATGGCCGTATTTCAAACGTGCAGATATTTTCGTAAGTTTTTTCTGCCTCCAAAGTTATACAGTTGAGGCTGCGATTCATCGGGATGATGTAAGTAATGGATAAGAAAATATTAGACATAATTTACACTGTAGTCATCGAATCATTTAGTTACAACTATTAAACATTATCACATTTGCAAATCACAAAAAACCTGATTTATTAACTGTCTTTGTTTAGTTGTTGCCTTGTTGCCTTAAACAAATATGTTCAAAGATGTCCATTGTCGGAAGCTGCCGAAGGTAAGAGGGGACCCAAATACTGCAGTTGGTCAACTTATGTTAGAGTTGACTGGTTCAATATATGCCGAATTCCACCCGATTACGTTTTTCCTCTGAAACATTTTCTTGAAGTAGATATACTACTGGTTGATAGCATGAGCAGGGGGCACGGGTAGCCCAGTCGTCTAAGGCGCCGCGATTCGCTGTGTAGAGTTGCGTCCCTCAGCACGCCAGAAACCTATGATTGTGGGTTCGAATCCCGGTTCGCCCCAATTATGTTTCTAGGTTTGTCAGCACCATATCCGTGCTCGTGGGTTTCACCGAAGTGGTAAACGTCTGAGACCTGCATCACTTCGGGCTTTCCTCCCACATTAAGCTGACACGCCGTGATATAACTGGAATAATGTTAAAAGCGGCGTTAAACCCAACTCACTCACTCACTCACTGATAGCATGAGCAAACATCGATGTGTGACGAAATATTATCCACCAAGGCATATATTGTTACATTTCTATCCTCATTTTGGTCATCTCGTTGATACTTATGAGGTCGTAAAAACTGTGATATAACTTTCAGAAATAATAATTAATTCTTAAAACAACAGTTTTATAATGTTTTTCTTCTTCTGTAAATGATTTAGTATAGTCACTGTTGACTAATAGATAAACAATGCACATGCTCTCGTCTATGTTTACACCTATTTAAATACTTATTTCAAAAAGCAGGATTGCTTCTTTAGCTGGATATCAACATGTGTAATGGCATTGTGTCAAAGGTCACAGGCCTTTAGGACATGGAAAGGTTGTTTTCCCATCAAAGTCGAATGAGGAGAGAATTACCTCACTGACATCTTCGCATGAACAAACATGCGTTTGATTTAATCTGTACACAAATGTTTGGCTCCTTGAACCCCCCCCCCCCCCCCCCCAACACACACACACACACACACACACACACACAAAAAAAAAAAAAAAAAAAAAACACCATCCGGCCAGCTCTGGATGTCCGCATAAAAGCTGATATTGTTGTATACTGAATAGCGATAACTTCAGAATATAGAACTGTTGTCATTTTTTTTGGGTGTTGGCAAATCAACAGATATATTAATTAGATCATCATCTGATGTTGGCATAAACGTTCACGTGACAACATACATTTACATTTACATTTACATTTACACCTGCCCAAGACATTATGCAAATTTGATCCTGGTGTAAATATACACACATTGAGTAAACACGTTCACAGGTATACTCACACGTATGCAAAATAAACACATATGTATAGAGGTGCATATGAACGGGGCGAAACTTCCATTGGTAGTTTGAGTTCTGGTATTCCTAACATTTTCAAAATACTCCAGTCATGGCTTATCATAAATTGAATGATGAATAAATATTTTCCTAAAATCGACAGAACCATGCATATTCATAGCCATGAACTTTTTCTAGGAATCTTCCATTGGCAATATGTAAACAGTGAGTGGTACGGATATTTAACAACCTTCTGCCAAGATTGTTTTCTTCTTTATCTCTACTACTGCGTGGAAATATAAGTGATACTCAGAACTAACAAATACCAACATGTATTGTTTTACTTCGATTTATGCGGAATAATGGAACACTCAATACGGTATGGTAAAGGTGAGATGAGGTGAAATTGGGTTTAACGTCTCGCGCGTGCGTGCGCGAGTGTGTGTGTGGCTGCTTGTACTAGTCCGGACTGATGCCGATTTATAGTGCTAGCTCACTAAGATACCATCACGCAGTTTAACATGACTACCCCACTCAGACACAATATACTGACTCCGAGCCGACCAGTCTTGTTTTAGCCCCTTAATGCCGAGCGCCAGACAGGGTAACAACAAGTACCATCTTTTTAGAACGGACGCTCTACCACTAGACCACGGAGGCGGTCTAGAATGGTAAAAGGGTTATCTAAGCTCCTGGGGCTATTTCCGCAACCCTTTTTATTGTCAATAACAAAAACCGCCGGGCAAAAGAAAGCATACACTTGAAAATTGGATTTGACAACAAAAAACCTTTATCAAAACGTTACTGTAAGCTGAAATGGTCGCCGAAACACTGCAAAGTAAAGGTCCAAACTACAACTATGATACCCGTATCAAATACATCACTATCGAATAACCATAATTTCTTGTTTGTTTATTTTAGCCGCCATCAAACATTGGTGTATACTTTCTTTTGCCCGACAGTTTATAGTTGAATGAAACAAGTTAAAAACAAAAACACAACCCCCGCACAGGTATCGTCTGAAAGTATTCTACATAATGGCACATAATGGCACATAATGGCACATATCCTTTCTTACTATTAAGAAGTTTCTATGTCTTTCTTTTAAATATTCATGGAACCTTTATACGAATTTAAAGTTTAATATTCCCAGCTTTGGTCACTTCTGGCCATATTCTACCAAAACACTCCCAACGCCTTTCACTATCGAAGCACGCGACAGCGTTACTACTTGAGAAATTGGACGACAAAGCTCCAAATAAGAGGATAAAATAATTCCGCTAACATTTGTATGGTCTAATGGTATAAAACCTCGATATTGAATATCAACGCAATTCATTAACATCGAAAATTTAACATCAACATACAAAAAAAGTACTCGAAAATACAAGTTACAGAATGGTATGCGACAACCTCATCAGTGACATCCATCGGGCCCGCATCTCGCGTAATACATTTTGGTATTTGGTATTTACTTTGGAAACTAAAACAAACATGGCCTTCTAGCTGAAAAAGGAAGGCCATATCGATTATCATTCTTGGTCTGTCCGCGCCTTACCGATGCAGGTGGGTTTTACGGAGGTAATAGTCTACGACATGCGTCAGTTTATAGGTGAGGTGGGGTGAAATTGGGTTTAACGTCGCGTCCAAGATTATAGCACTTATATAGCGACGTGCATGCACGTGTATGTGTGTGTGTGGCTGCTTGTACTAGTCCGGACTGATGCCGATTTATAGTGCTAGCTCACTGAGATACCATGCCGCAGTTTAACATGAATACCCCACTCAGACACAGTATACTGACTCCGAGCCGACCAGTCCTTGTTTTAGCCCCTTAATGCCGACAGGGTAACAACAAGTACAATCGTTTAACGTCTTTTTGTATGACGAGGCCCGGGATCGAACCCTGGACCTTCCGCTCTCCGGGCGGACGCTCTACCACAAGACCACGGAGGCGGTGGTCAGTTTATAGGCCTTCCATTGACTCAGTGACCTGGGCCCACTTGCACAAAACGATCTTAGCGCTAAGACTATCTTAAGCCTATGTTAATGTATAGGAGTTAAAATTGACCTTAGCGCTAAGATTGCTTTGTGCAAGTGGGCCCTGGTTCCCATACGCTATTCCTCCAACACCATTTTTCCGACATGCATCATGGTTATATGAAAGTCACGTAAAATGTTTTTGGGGTTCATACGTTTCTAAAGGGTATTAACAAATCCCGAGACCAAAACCAATGAAATTGAAACTGGTAAACCTGTTTTGAAAAAAGAAACTGACCCACACAAAGAGTTCCTTAGGTAACCGACAGAAGTGCATTGCGAGCCTATTGCTTATAAGGGGCGGTCGGGTAGCCTAGTGGTTAAAGTGTTCGCTCGTCACGCTGAAGACCCGGGTTCGATTCCCGACATGGGTACAATGTGTGAAGCCCATTTCTGGTGTCCCCCCGCCGTGATATTGCTGGAATATTGCTAAAAGCGGCGTAAAACCATACTCACTCACTCACTATTGCTAATAAACCATCGAAGTCATAAAGCATGACCGTATCCCCAAACTCTAATCAATTCTAGCTATACGAGACACTAAGTTCTATGTATGACCCGGTTCCATGATCCTAGGGACCTTCTAAGGCTCCAGATAGTCACGCTACGCCCTACAGATAACGGTTATCGTAACGGTAACTATCTTCACTTCTTGACTCCGGGAATGATACCACGACAGAGTGTAACAGGTATTGATGTTATTGGCAATCCAAGCAAGTTTACACGTGATTGGAATAACAACTAACTCCACATTGTTGGTCTACGCCAGTCTATCATCTAATAATATTTGACCCATTACACAGCACCAATGTTTCGGTTACACACAGGGCACTATAGTTGCAACGTCTACACTTAAACTGGAAATGGGCACCAAACCGTAAACCATGGTCGGTCTATAAGAGTGAGTGTGAGTGAGTATGGTTTTACGCCGCTTTTAGCAATATTCCAGCAATATCACGGCGGGGGACACCAGAAATTGGCTTCACACATGTCGGGAATCGAACCCGGATCTTCGGCGTGACGAGCGAACGCTTTAACCACTAGGCTACCCGACCGCCCCCGGTCTATAAGAGATATCGAACATACAAATGCATACACAAGTATAAACGTCGTTTTTAACTTTCGTGTGTAACATATCTTTATTTTAAAAATTGAATATTTAATTTCAGACGAACCTTGTCAAGACCCCAGGCTGACACGTCGCCTGAGGGTGTGGTATGTAGCCTGTCCTGGGAGACACATCCAGGCCAGGCACGGGTATACCCCTCCAACACGAAAACAGACAACACTTTCCAGATACCACTGTTTCATATCTCCGATGTACCCTTTGACTGGGATATCGACCGATTAGACGGCAGGTGCACCCCTCAAGGGACAAATCTGACAAACTGCGACGAAAGCAACTCGGATATTGGTCAAAACGGACATTCAGTGAGGGGCAAAGCTATGCTACAGTCCAAATATGCAAATTTAAGAACATGTTATGAATGCAGTTCACGAGATACACGACAGAGCCCTGATGGACCGGCTGTATCCCCCTGCTCCTCAACAAGCGTGTCCTCAACTGATGCCGCATCCAGATCCACATCTGCATCAGACGAAAGGATGCTGCTGAAGGAAGTGACGTCGAGGATGCCGTGTATCGAGTCCGGACAAAGCATCATGGCTTCATGGACGGACATTCGGGAGATATTCTTCCCACAATGCACCTCGCCTGGATGCAGCATTGTTATGAACGCACTCAAGCTACAGATGAAGTTCCCACATACATCTTTCTTGATGCACGTGTGCTCCCAGTCAGAACAGATGGCATTCCTTCAGCGACACCTTCATCTAGTGATGCTAGGGACTCTGCTGGTTGACGTGGAGGCCTTTCTCAAACACAGATCCTTCCTTCAAGCCATGGTGGAGATGAAACACCTTGTGATAGCCGACGTTAAGAGCATCAACTGCTGCTATGGAAATACTGGCAATATGAACAATGAGCAGGCATTACAGGTAACGAAGCGTTATTTACACTTTACATTGCCAGGGTGGTCACCATGGATGTTGAATGTATGGTTACTAAGTAAGTGACGATAACGAAAGGCCAAGTGCTCAACTGATTTGATGGCATCAGAGGGTGCCATCAAGACTAACACCCAGGTTCCTAATACAGGGTCTATTACTGTACGTGGCCTCGTTCAACAAATCAATCCTATAGCTACTACTTAAGTATATTAACGTTTGGTAGTTACTATTGTCTTAATATTGGGCTGTGATCGCTTTGTGGAACGGGGACCTGCACAATTATAGTGAGTGGGTGAGTGAGTGAGTGAGTGAGTATGGTTTTACGCCGCTTTGAGCAATATTCCAGAAATATCACGGCAGGGGACACCAGAAATGGGCTTCACACATTATACCCATGTCGGGAATCGAACCCGCGTCTTCGGCGTGACGAGCGAACGCTTTAACCACTAGGCTACCCGATCGCCTGCACAGGTAAATACTAAATAGGTAAATCACTGTGTTTTATGAATAGCTGCATTATTTGCCGACATGGAAATACTAAATCAGGGAGATATTCTTGTATGTGAACTTGTTCAAGTCATTCCAGAAAGTTTGGAGTGTACTAAAATATAACACGTTACTTCACAACATGACGAGCGATCATATCCCATACACTCATCTTTACGGGTTTTCACACCTCCTTTCTCAACGACACTGGCCGTGACGTTTTGAATTATGCTGCTCTTTCCTTTAGTCGTCGTTCCTATTTAGTTTTGCCTCATTACTATCCCTAGTCAGTACCACATGTATTGGATTCACAGAATGTTACAGTGTACGACCTCCGACCTCACTGGTTCACTTCAAACCTTAAGCTTGATGAAACCATGAAAGCCTTCAAAGCGATGTTAACCCAAAGTGTAATATCAATGCATGGTCATGGATACGTCCAATTCCAAAACCCGAAACTCTTTACATAATCATGTCCTTTGGAGGGCACGGGTGGCCCAGTCGTCTGAGGCGCCGCAGTTCTCTGTGCAGAGTTGCGTCCCTTGGGCACGCCAGAAACCTATGAGCGATGGTTCGAAACCCGGTTAGCGCCGATAATGGTTCTTGGTTTGTCAGCACTATATCCGTGCCCGTGGTCTGAGACCTCCGTCACTTTGGGCTTTCCTCCCAAAAGCTGACACGCCGTGATATATCTGGAATACTGTTCAAAGCGGCGTTAAACGTAGCTCATTTACTCTATTGTACCATTCCGATTATATCATAAGCATATGTTTAAGAATCAGGATCAAATAGTGATGATACGATGTGTTTGCGAGAAGGTCCTGTCCGAACGGTGGCACATATCACAAACACATGCAAGGGAAAGTCAAGTGTTGAGAAGTGAATATATGGTACAAGTCAAATCATACATAAAACTGAATCATGACAGGGGTCACCATACCGATATATTCTCAACAGACACCAACGAAACAGAATGGGCATGTGCTTCCAGTAGTGGTTGCTACTGACAACTGTACAGAATGGACCGGGGATGGTACAGAAGCTCGTGGTGCCATGGTCCCTCTCCCCATGTTACCAGTGTTGTTTCCAAGGTACCAGAGGCAGCTTCTGCTGATGGCAACACGTTTTATAACGATGAAAAGTAGGGCTGTGATAAGGAGATGTTCTACTACCGAGGCAAGGACGTTAAATATGTGGCATCTCAACACGCAAGGTATAGTATCCAACCTTAGCTGGCCTATTTATCATCGTACACCATTAAGTTCCATTATCAACCCTTAATGCTCGAACAGCCGGGGCCACGGGTGGTCGAGGCCTCAAAAGAGTAAGAGGTCTTAAGTCTGAAAAAATTCTAAGAAATACCAAAAGAAAGACAAAAGATTTTTCTGAAGTCTTATTCATAAAAGAAATTGTACTAACTACTAAGAGTACTTCTTAAGCAAAGAGTACTCGAGAGGACTTTTAGTGACTTAAGAATTTTCCTGATTTTGCCTTATTATATTCATTGGTTTGTCAGCACCATACACGTGCCGTCTGGTTTTACAAAATTGGTAATGTCTAAGACGCTTCATCCGCTGTGCAGAGTTGCGTCCCTCGGGCACGCCAGAAACCTATGAGTGTGGGTTCGAATCCCGATTCGCCCCGATTATGTTTCTAGGTCTGTCAGCACCATACCCGTGCTCGTGGGTTTCACCGAAGTGGTAAACGTCTAAGACCTGCGTCACTTCGGGCTTTCCTCCCACATTAAGCTGACACGCCGCGATATGACTGGAATACTGTTAAAAGCGGCGTTAAACCCAACTCACTCACTCACACACTAAGACGCTTCATCACTTTTGGCCCGCATTAAGCTGACAGCTATAACTGTGATACTGCTCAACGGCGTTACGTAGTACAGGAAATACAGTAATTTTATTGATGCATCTATTTTGTGGTATTGATATTGTAATACAGTTTTGCTGATGACATAAGCATCTCTGTGATTGGCATTCTAGAAGTTGGTGAGTGAATTAAAAAACTTCATGGATAACAACTTCTGGTTTATTGCATTTAGCGACGTTTCGATGAAGATTCTTACACCGTTATTAAGCTGGAGAGACTACAACCACGTAAAGAGAGGTATATATACATTTATTACCCACAGTGCTAGAAATAACCTAGTTCATAAAAATAAAAATTGTATGTGCACAAGCGCATATATCACTTCACGCGCACCAGTGTATTGTTATGTCATCCGGACGGCATTGTTGACGTTTTTCGAATCCTATTGTGACGTATGGTCAGAATGACGTCAAACTATAAACGACGTCATACCTGAAGATCGTTGACGTCATTCAACAATTGTAGTTTTCTAAGACGGCGGTCGTGATAGTGCATATTTCTAAATGGGAGCTCAAAACGATAAAAAAAATGATGGATAATAAAGGAATTATTACTATCGCATGTGTGTCACACTGATTTTACGAAACTCATGTAAGAATTCAAGAATTGCCCTCGTTCTCGTTCAGGACATACAACAATTCGGGCATTCGTTTCGTAATATCGGTATGATACACATGCTGGTATAATAATCTCTCTATATATATTTATGATATGTTGCAACAAGCAACAGATTAACCCAAATAGCAACAGTTAATATAATCTGCTGCTTATCACACAATACCATGTATACATATACCTCATAACTCCGGCTTGATAACGGTGGAAGAATCTACACCGAAACGTCGCAATAAAGTTGTTATCTATAAAGTTGTATCTTTTCTTATTGACATAAGCACCGCTTGGACTAATATAAATGTAACTGTAACAATATATGTGTACTTTACTGCATGTCAAACTAATGTTTTGTGGAACTTTTGTCCCGCGTTCCGATGCCCAGGTTCCAACGACCAGCTGGTTACGTCTAACGATCTCCTTGTAAGATGGCAGGATGTGGTGACAATTGTAGACCCACTTGTAAAGCACGCGGCAAGGTTTGGGCTCTCCCAGCCACAGCCGTGCAACACCCCAAGCAGCAGCTGCAGCTTGAAGATCACGAAGCATCCCATACAAAACATAGCTGGTGTCAAGACCAATCAGACGGTACCTATTGCATGTAGTAGTGTGTGCTCGGACAGGTGTTACATGTTGGTTGGATGGTTGGTTTTTTTGTTTTACGCCGCACTCATCAATATTCCAGCTATATGACGGCGGTCTGTAAATAATCGAGTCTGGGCCAGACAATCCAGTGACTGACATCATGAGCATCGAACCACGCAATTGGGATCGATGACATGCTTCAACCATGTCAGCGAGCCCGACCACCCGATCCCGTTAGTCGCCTCTCACAAGCATAGTCGTCTTTTACGGCAAGCATGGGTTGCTGTAGACCTATTCTACCCCGGATCTTCACGGGTGATACATGTAGAGTAGAGGTCCTGCTGTCATCATTGTAAGGGACCACTTGCTATTCTAAGAAAACAATAAAAGTGACAAAACAGTTTCCATAATCATAAAATCAAAATCCTTTCCGTAAGCTTAAGCAAGCTGGGCTAAAGGCAAACATGATGTCCGATGCAATTCCCTATTTGGACTTGGTCTCGTGTATTTTCAGGGGAACAATTGACTTGCCTTTGCATGTTTGTGACGGATGCCATCGGTGGGGCAGGATACGCTCACTCTATCGCGAACACCTGGTATGATCACTATGTGATCACAATTGTGATTCATAAACACATGCTTATTATACAGTCGGAATCGTACAATGGACTGTTTTTCGTAGATACCTCTGATGATAATGAAAATGTTTTTTGTCACTTTTAACTATTTAGAGAGTAAGTGGTTATCACATAATTTGTCGTTCCCATATATATATATGTGTGTGTGTGTGTGTGTCTATATATATATATATATATATAGATATATATATATATATATCTATATATATATATATATATATATAGAGAGAGAGAGAGAGAGAGAGAGAGAGAGAGAGAGAGAAATATCTTTTACTAAATTTGCTTCTACTTCATATAGCTATATATACACCTCGTCAAATGTATCGTACTACAAAATTTGAAGTGTAATTGCGAGTTCATTTTCAATGTAGAGATTATAAAAGGCACACTGTGTATTGACACACCATCTGCCTGTAGAAAGGTATCCCCCTCAACTGCTGAACCTTATGGGTGCGTTTATGCAAGCCGTATGCACACCGAAGGGGTCTCTATAGAGAAATTTGTGATTGATGACAGATAGTTCGTGCGTATTTACTACTATTTATTTTAAATGAAAGTTCTACCTATTTTAAAGTCTGTCTTTGGAACGATTGTAACTGAAATGCCTAAACGTACTATCCAAGAAAATAAATCGAGGATGGCAAATGATTGGCATTCACCAAACTCGCATGTCATGTCAGGTTATTGCCATCGTGTTGAACATTAATCGTACTGTAATCAGTCGTCTCATTAGAAAAGTGAGTGCGTGAGTGAGTGAGTATAGTTTTACGCCGCTTTTAGCAATATTCCACCCATATCACGGCGGGGGACACCAGAAATGGGCTTCACACATTGTACACATGTCGGGAATCGAACCCGCGTCTTCGGCGTGACGAGCGAACGCTTTAACCAATAGGCTACCCGACCGCCCCTTCATTAGAAAAGACACATTGACTGAACATGGAAGCCCAGTGCCAGAGAGGACAGGGTCCTTGTACGCCATCTTCAACTTACACTGTTCTTCGTAATCACTGGCATACCCACGACCTACTGTCCACACCATCGGGCGTTGACTAAATGCGGGAGGATTAGGACCTGAAGATCAGTCAGACTCCACTCCTCTCATCATAATACATGCGGGACAGTTTAGCCTGGCGTCAGTTTCGAGCACAATGGAACTGGAGGTCATGGCGGAGTATTCATTGGTCTGATGAGAGTCGGTTATTATTTTTCCACACTTGTTAGGACACCTGTCTGGAGACCAAGCGGAACATCTGATCATCAGCGCAACGTCCAGGAGACACATGTGGTGGCAGCTCCGTGATGGTATGGTCATATTGCACCTTTGATTGTTAATTGTTGGTCACAGTTCAGGGGACATTAAATGGACAAAGGTACGGTTTTGTTGTGCCTCATCTTCATAACCATGCACTTGCCACACGTCCGGTCTTCTAGACGACAATGCCCGACCCCACCGAGGACGAGCTGTGACTGACCATCTCCAAAACAACGCAATTGAGACTCTGCCTTGGCCTTCTCGAAGCCCCGACCTGTATCAAATCGAGCATCTATGGTATCAGTTGGGACGCAGGATTAGAACCAGAGACCTTCCAGAACAGAATCTCCAAGGCTTGACCCAGGCATTGCATCAGAAATGGCAACACATCCTTCAGTTGAAGATCAGGCGTCTGATTTAGAAGATCTGTCTTATATGTGACACGTGTATGCATAGAGAATCTCACCCTCGTGTCTTTTGATATCGAATGTATCAACACGAGTTGATAAAAGTGGAAAAACTCCGAGTTTTTTCCACTTTAATCAACTCGTGTTGATATATTTGATATGAAAAGACACGCGGGTGAGATTTTATTTATCATCCAACATCATTCTTCCAACTTTTCAGTTTGTAGACAGTAATACGCAATGTCTTAAATGTAAAAAAGTACTGCTAACAGGTTCAATAGCAGAGCCATTAGTGATGTCATTTGATTGTGACGTCATGTAACAATGATGTCACAATGATCTGCAAAGTATTGTGATGCAATCTCATTGCAGTGATATCTACAATGTAGATATCGCTTGATCTAACCCAAACAATATCTCCTGTGGGAGCCAGTTTTGGATGATAAAGATGGGGTCGCTACACCAGGTATTGACTTACATTGTTGATCATTTAACTGTGACATGGGTACAACGTTACTTAGACACGTACATGTTGACCAGTCCATCTCATTCCTCACACTTACCATACTCTTATACTGCCTCTTTGTATCCCCAATTACAGTCATTGTAGGCGCTGGCGATTAAAGTTGCTTTTTTTCTTTGCAAATGCTCATATTTCCTATTATTCATTTATTAACACTTTTGGTTGCGTTTGTTTCGTTTTCCAGCTCTAACCCATCTCTTTCTAATTACCAAAACATCTTGGTGGTGCATAACTTTTGACGGGTTGTATATATATGTTCAGAATGTACACCATTCAGTATGTACACGTACTGATTTTTATATCAGTCAATCTGATATGTCATGTTCATACTTTCCGAAATTATAAAATGAAGTAACATTAATATATTAATAAATGAATGAATATAAATCGTGATGATACGTTGCAGGTGGGATCCAAGTCTAATGAAAAGCAACACATGTCATCTGATGTCACAGCTGAAACATGGATGCCTAGAATACTTAACTGTTACTCTACCTCTGACAAAAGAGTGGACGCCAGTGTGTCCTCATCGTCATTTGCACCACCATCACCATTATCATCAGACAGTAAGGTGCCAGCTGTCCATCAGGAGCCCAACAAAGACGAAGACAAAACCGATGTACTATATGGAGAAGATAACTTGGATCAAAGCCAGAAGGCGCAACAGTACACCACTATGCAACCATCTGCAGATGGTGGGGATGAGCATGTGATGCCCAAGAAATCCAGCTCGGCAGAACGCTATAAAGATACTGATAGCTCATCATCGGCATCATCATGTACTTTAACCCCCGATTCATCTGAATCTGGGACACTTGATGCTTTTGAGAACCTGTGCCGAACCGGATCTCCAGAGAAAACCATTACAAGTAACGGACAGGTTGATGAAAGACCACTGAGATCAGAGCAGGTTGAAGCTGAGCAACGAATGCTCCAAGATTTAGTGCTAACAACGTTGAAGAGCAAAGAGTATACTGAAGAAAAACCCAAGCAAAGTAAAGTTTTTCGTAAGGGAATAAGGAGGAGTGAAAGAATTCGTGACCAAACAAAGGTGCCAAGTTTACAAGCAACCCGGAAAGTGCCTGACAAGAGAGTGGATATAACCATTGTTGTTCCGTGTGGTTGCGCAGGAGAGACAGCAACGTCTGTGGCTTGTTGTGAATACCTGGACAGAGATACTACAAACAGTGATAAATGCAGTTCAGCGGGCAATTCAATACACATAATTGGTGCAGAGGATAATAGTAATGACCCAGGACTTCTTAGTGCCCTTAGTGCCCTTGGCGACGATCAGACGCAAAGTCTGACGCATGGTTTCAAAGATATTGCAAATCTGTTTACAGTACTGACAAATGAAGAAGTCTCCTATCGGTCAACACAACTCGCCGCTGCTGAAATAGAAGATGTGGTAAAGAAAAATACAATGTCGAAAATAAGACAACTTGGAGACCTCTCAAGCAAAGGATTACAAATTCCTCTACCTTCTGATATTGCCCTTCTTCTTCCTAAATTGGAAACCAATAACCCCAGTAAAAGCGCTGAAAAGGATATAAGACCAACGGCAAAACTTTCTGCAAAGAATAGGAACAACTATCCTGAGATGATTATTTCAGCCCAGAAATGTTCATTGGGAAGCATGACACCAGATGCCAGACAAACTCATAACAAAGAAAATCCAGTGTCTGTGACAGATATCATGAACAGTATGGATAAGACCTTCAATGCTTTTAAGTCCGACCCAGTTGCCCTCGTCAAAGAAAAAATGAGATCCTCAAGAAATCCAACTGGGTATGTAAATACAGACTACATCCGCGTTACTGGCCCTGGCCCTAACATCACGTTATCCCTAAACGAGTGCAACCCTGGAAATCTAATGAAACACAATGTTGAAACTAAATCTAGTGATGTAAAATTTAAAGTACCTTCAAATATCAAGATTCAAATGAACTCGCAGAAAAATAGCTTCGAGCCGGTTGAGGATAGCAGAGATGTATCAGCTCTTCTGAAGTGTCCCAACCCTGTACATCAATGGAGTCTCCTTGATAACAGATCTAGCCCCGCAAAGCTCAAGCCACAGTTGAGACCTTTAATAACATGTCCTCCGGTAGATGATACTGCTGTATCAAAACCAGAAGTCCCTTCAAAGATTTCAACTCCCAGAGATCCCACAGCATCAAGGACTCTCACGCCATCCCCTGTGAAACTAGTTCTCAGGAAAACTCGAAGTGATGGTACGAATCCATTAAAAAAGCCACAATGGAATATTAAAAAGGTGATCAGAGCATCAAATGTTTCAAAGAAACCAGGTGCAAGCTGTCGTGAACGAAAGGCAAGAATGGATGCAGATTTCCATGCTATGAGAGCACGAGCTATTGCTAAAGCTGATTCAGGGTCACCTGTTACAGTTGCAAGACCTACTTTTGCCATGACCTGTAACGTAATGAAACCTTCATGTAACAAGTCAGCTTCATCAAGTCAAGTTACACGGCCTGTGGCAGTTGCCAATTTAAGAAATGGCTTTAAGAAGAATTCTGATTTATCAGGTCAGGTCAGAGTTCCTGTAAAGAATAACATGGTTAAGAGTAGGTCAAAATCTACGTCTTTGGGTCAGATTCCAGCCCCTGCTGCATCTGATACAGTGGAACATACTGGTCATTCAGTTCATGCAGTGCTCTCTTCCCCAGTTAATAAAAACAAAAAGGATACCACTACATCCACTATGACAGATTTGTCTAAACACAAGAATATAACTGATCATCCTAAACTCGTGGAGTCCAGAGTTAACTTGCAGGTAAAATCTGGAAAACATTATGTCGATTCTCACAGTATAGTACAGAAAGTGGATTCTCTCAATATTGCTGGTGTTATACCCCACACCACTCACTCACTCACTCTTGAAAACGGACAAAAAATGACTGACCCTAAAGACCAGAGTCAACAAGAGCTGGCTGAAACGTCCTGCAGTAATTTGAAAGAAAAGGTTGCCCAGTCAAAGAAGCGGCAAAGGGTTGGAGAAGCAGAAATCAGGTGGTCACAAGAGTCAACACTGCCTTTTGAATCATCAGACAATATATCAAAATACTGGTCAGGGTTCCCACCCGGGCAGATTTCCCGTAGCCTTACTGGACCCAGACAAAGTTTTCCAAGTTATTCTGTTGATTACTTCATGCCACCAGATAATGCACCATCTCAAGAGAATCTCGCGAGTCGGACTCCAAATCCTGCACCTACAGTTTGTACACCTGCACCAAGAATTGTTAATATAGTCCCTAACACTGGAAACGACTCTCTGCCAAGCTATGTCAACTGGCAAAGAAATATTCAGCCTATCAGATACTTTATACCTGTCATTGCAAATACACCACCATTCCTGTACCCACCAAGTCAACAGACCAGCTCAGAGGCACAGAGCAGAGAACATCTTATAAATTCAAGGTCGATGTCTGCAGATAGATCAGACTTTGCTCCTCACCATGAAGGCCATTATCTATCTCAATCGAGCAGGTCCACCACTTTTGGGTATAATGACAGTCAGGTGGCCCCCTATATATCCAACAGAGACACTCCCAGGGCTGCATACTCAGCAGACACAAGCAACCATCATTTGATCTCTGGTGTTGATACTGAGCCTTGTGGTATTAAGCATGTGCAACTACCATCTTTCTACAAACCATTAGATGAAGACAAAAGTGTATCAGAAGTGATCAATAAGAACACTGCTAACAAGGAATCTGACGGAGAGAAAAATGTCAGCAGTGGCAAGAACAAAGAGTCAATTTCAAAATTAGATCACCCTGATTCCAACACAAACAAGGTACCAGCAGCAGTATCTCCCAGTCTTGGAAACGTTCCTGCTTTTCCTGAAGCTCAAAGTGCTGAATGCTGTACTCATAACACATCAAGTTGTTCTGAGGTGAACAGTGACAATGCACTTAAAGTCGTATCAGGGATACCAAAGAATCCTGTAGAGGCTGAAACTTGTATATCCTCCAAATCTACATCTATATCTCCTCTTCCTTCTTTAAGTGGTGCTGCACAAGCTCCGGGCCTTACTGTGCAGTCTGATCCTGGGGGTAGCCTCAAAGGTAAACACCAGCCAACACCAGGAGTTCTGAATCTGGATCAGGCAGAAGGTCTAGAAGAGACAGGACCTCTAGGTTTGCAAACTGCCCCTGGTGATGTCAAGTGTACAAGTAGCAAGGTGTTAACTGCAGCCAGGCCTCATATAGGGCCATTCCATGAAAGAGTCCGCTTAGAGGCAAGTGGCAACATTCGCAATATCAGAAACCCAGGCACTGTGGAGGATCATCTAGATCAGTCAATCAGTGACCTGAAAAAGAGAGGGACTATTGAGCTTGCCAGCGTTGAGTCTATTAGTTGGAACTGCACAAATCATCTTTGGGTCCTTGATAAGAACACAAACAATAACTGTTCTGACACTGATGTCGATGAGGAATGTCAGGAAAGTCACCATTATCAGTTAACTTTATCTAAAAAACAGATGAGTAAATCAGCCCTACAACCAATGAGAGCGAGGACAATCAAATGCAATAAGAGAAGAGCTGCAAAGACAACTGTACGTACTGTTTCAAGTGTCAGTAGTCTTACGTCAGTGATTCTGACTGATATGGATGATCTGCTATTAACCACAATGGTCACTCTTCGCACACTTAGAAAATGTTTGTCAAAAGCAAGTAGTGGATCTAATTCTAACAACAACTGTGATGAGCAAATTTCAGCAGAGAGAGACACACAACCTGTTAACATGCCATATAATAAGTCAAGATCATCATACCCAAAAGTAAACGCAAGTCCATCCGGTGCCTGCCAACCCAAAGTACCTACTCAAACTGTAAATGTTAACATTCAACATCCTACATATCCTTTATATTGTTCAATGGTTAAAGATGAACCTATCAAAAAAAACATTTTACTTCGTGAGACACTGAGGAACAATTTCAACCTGATCAAAGAAATTAGCAAGTGTATCTGCACCTGTAAAGACGCCATCATGTTCGTGAAACCTGGTGAAAAAGAGTCGTACACAAGTTTTCTTAAGCAACAGTACTTGAAGTCTCTGAGACACTGTCCTTTACACTCTTGGGAAGCTTCAAGGCCATATAAACAAAAGATTCTCAAACTGCTGGACCGTCTGTGCAATAAAGTTGGGACAGGTCAAACCAAGATAAGACACAAAGGAAAACTTAAACGTGGTTCAAGGAAGCAAGTGAGAAGTGTCATGAAGCTCGGTCAAAGATGTCCAACATCAAAGCCGGTCAGAAACCAGGGGGAGCTATCTGCTGCCAGACATTACCTAGCATCCTATGTAAACAAGCATTATAAGAAGGAGATGCTGAGGAGATTTTTACAGGACAGAAAATGTCTTCGAAGTAGTATGTTATCAGGTGTAGAAGAGAATATACAGACAAAAGATGTTAAAGACTCTGACAATAGATTATTTGACACTAACAAGAAGACTCAAAGCTCAAAATGTGATGTGAATCATTCTACTGATGCAGATCGGGAGGTGAGAAGACAGTTAAAGGCCCAGGACAGGCATTCTTCCCAGCAGGAGCTCTTCATGCAGATTTTGCAGAGGAAGAAGACTAGACAGTGTGGTATCTCCCAAGAAGATGCCACTGTTGACAAAATGAAGGATGAGTCTGCATCGGGTGACTGGTACGAGAGGCTCAAGCAACTGAATATTCCTGAAGATGGTCAGCAAAAAGATGTCGCTCTCAATTCAGAATGTTCTGTAACCTATGATCATAAATATATCTCCACTTCACAGAACAAGACAGAAACACACTTCAGGCCAGGAAAACAACGACTTGAAGAATCTAAAACCATCAACCACAATATAAGGTCAGTACAACTATCTGGGTATAGTAATATTAGAGCCTCCTCCAAACTGCATCCTGGTTCTCCCCGATTGTCTCCTGGTTTGTCAGCCATGCTCCTGGTTTTCGCCGAGGGGGAAAATGTCCTAGACCTGCATCACTTTTGGTTTTCCTCCCAAATCAAGCTAACACTCCGGGATATAACTTAAATGCAGTTCAAAGCATGGTTGAGCCTAACTTACCAACTCAAACTGCAAACTAAAGTCATATATGAACTATGATGCACTTTGAAACTTTACTATGCTCTTTGCAAAGGGTAACTTAATGACAACTGATAGTGATTAATTTCATTTAATTAGTTGTTTTTTTACAGCTTCCAGGAAGTTTTCAGTGCTTCTGATCCCGATATCAGCTACTGTGGGAAAGTCTACATCAATGATCTGTCCCTATCATATGTGATGGAGAATGGCTACAAGTATCTACCATTGAAGCAGGCTATCCGTCTGCTGCCACGGTGCTGTTGCTCGATCTTCAAGGCTCTTCTCAGGACACACAAAAGTCTTGTTAGAACTTTCAGCACATGGGAGCATGTATGTATCTAGGTTATTAACATGATTAATGCACGGCAGTAGATAAGAAACATTTCTTTGATTTCTTTTGTGTTTGTGTGACTCACAATGGTAACACTTACATGTCTTGGCATCAATTAGTAAGCTGTAAAAGTACATAGCTTTACAGACACCTCTGATGTTACATCCTCTCTTCTTATGTGTTGGCTGCTTTGAAGCAGTTGTTTGTTTTTTGATTTAACACAATATTTGAGTGGCCTGTTAATCATCAAGCATAGACCAGACAAAAAGGTGATTGATGTTTGCACCAAAGTCCAACACCATCAAGGTACAAGCAAGCCATCGATTAGCATGGTCTATTGGGTAGCTATTTCAGTACCTAATGCTTTTTGAAAACCCAATAAACATCAGGATCTGGTTGCTAAAATGTGTGTCATTGTACCCAGATGTTGAGGATCATTGTTCATGTTATCAACCACTGGGTTCGCCTGACCTAGTGTTGATAATTTAGAGACCACGTTGACTTACCTGGAACATTGCTAACTGTCCCTCATTCACATTCCTCCGGGATTTGTAATAAAATTAGTGTTAAACTGAAATAACTACATTGAAACCTGTCTCTGTTTAGGTTCGTCTTCTCGACCTGCTGAGTGGAAAAGGGAATCAGAACAAGGTCCAAACAGGGGATATTCTTGTCAAACTGGACACACTCATCGCCTGTCTGCCAGACATTGAAGCTGAGGTGAAGCTCAGGCATCAGACAAAGAGATCAAAAAAGGGTTCCACCTGTAAATACTAGCAGCAGGACAAATAAACAACTGCTTCTTTCCCATAATACACAACAATCAGCCTTAGGCTCCTGAAGGACCTCTCTGCTCAACAGACATCCATTTAACACACCCATAAAGTGCACAAATAATTGCACTACTTCTGGACCAAATAAATACACTGACATACAAAAAAAGGACTTCCAATAGAATGTTATCTTTCACTCCTAGTCAGTGGAATGTTTATTTTGAGAAGTAAAACATAAAGAAGGTGTGTATCTTGAATGACAAAATCTATAGATTCTAGGGCTAGGACGAGTCCGAATTCACTACCCGGGTACCCCTATCACCCGACCCTACCCGGGTACGGACTGTGGGTCTTAAGAGATAGGTACAAAATATCCGATTGGGCATTTTTTTTACCATAGCACTGGCAAAATGTATTAACATAGTGTATTAAACAATCTGGTCATGCATACACTGAAGTTTACTCAAGTTATATCTTTAGTCAAAGATTTGAAAAGTCAGAAGGAATGGGTGCATAGTCAGAAAGAAATGCGAACATTTGTGACTTGTAGTGTAACCATAGAGTTCTCATTAAACAATGTATCACGTGACTAACCACGGGTCCAGGTAGTTCTATGGGTACCCGGGTCCTACTCAGTACCAACCCGACCAGGGTACCCGAGTTACCCGTCCCAGCCCTAATAGATTCAACTGTAAGAGTGAGGAGCCTCTAATGTTAAATTACCATTCTAACTGGGACTGTTAAATTAATATAAATAAATATGATGCTTCTTGTCGGAATCACTCAGTTATTGTAAACTGCTGTAATGCAGGAGTATATTATGTCACATGGATTGCTAATTATCATCGGAAAAAGTAAATAGATGTCAAGAATGCCTACATATTGTGTTACATTCTGTGTATCATCACTGTCAACATGAAAAAATGAGCTGAAATAAAGAGACAACCAAAAGCAGATCTTTTCCATTTTTATTCATAATGTTGGTGCCCCATACATAGAGCTGACCATGTTTTAATGGAAGCAAATTTCTCACAATGTCCACTTTACAATAATGTACTTGGGGCATTGTAGTAGTGACATTCAAATTAAATATCATATATTGTCTAAAAGTGTATACATCTTCAATATCCCCACAGGCTAAAACAACTGCCAACAATCAAAGGCAGATGAACGTGGCACAGACCTGGAAACTTGAGTTACAATGGGCACTGAATCAGTAAACGTGAATCCATTCAAGATCAGAACAAAGGCACACCCAGCCTCATCACATCAGGCATATAGTTGTTGGGTGATATCGGTTTTCTGATAAGCAAGACTTGAAGAAATGCCTGGCAACAATTTTCCCCCTTTTCCTGAAGACATTTCATTTTCAAATTCAAAATTTGACAAGAATTAACCTTTATCTTAAAAAAATACAAAACAATACAGGAAACATTTTTCCTTGAGCTACAGCAAAATTGTACAACAATACCTCATTACTGAGGTCTGTAATTACAATTTCAATATTTAATTCAAATAAACTGTCCATTAAATTGCACATGGTGTTGTGGAAGTCATTTGTCAAAATAATGAATCATAGGCTGTATCAATATTTTACACTGCTTTTACCACAGACTGGGCTTACATGAAACAGCTATGAATGCTGCTTGAAACATATATTGTAATTTTCAACTGTAAATTCCATTTTCAACAAAGAATGGAGTCACCATTACCTGACCCTATCCCACATTGTTTCTCAACACCAAAATGTCACATATCTACAATTGTCTCTAAAATCATGATTGTGCAATTCCATTGAGACACTGAAATATACAAATCATGAAGTGTCCAAATACAATTCCACATCTGTGAATATACACACCAGCGAGTTAGAGTTGCTTAGTCAAACATTGCGCAAACATTGGACAATTATACGTTACAAGGGTATTCAGGCATTTTGAAACAGTCAAAGGGTCCTAGTCTTATATTTGTTGTAAACTATAGACAACAGGATGTGATTCTGATACTCCTACATAACAAACACCAACATACCCACACACATAGAAGGTTTCTCCTCGTATTATCACATAAATACCTGTGCACGCACGATGAACTGACTTTACCAAAGCATGAGCTGTCAATTTCAGAATCAAGGTATATTGTTTGCTAAGGAAATTGTTTGGGTTTACATTTTCACTAATGAACACAAAAACACATTTCATCCACATCTGCATTATTTTGCATTGGAATCGTCCACTTTGATTTCGGGGAAGTGGCGCTGATTGCAACAATGGTGGATTGACTTGAAGGACAACAACATACTTGTCTGTGTGTTTAACACAGGCACCTAATGGAACAGTTGACTGGAAACTTATCAACAAAACTACTGCCTTGGAGGTTTGGTATGGGTAGGGATTCAGGGGGCTCTAACCCAAGTTACGATCCCAATCCTAAACAAATAATAAACATCAAATGCCTCAAAAAATAAGCATATCTGGAGTTAAAAACACAGTTCCAGTGAGAAAATACTTTTGCAAATTTTGTCAGTTTATACTGCAAACTGTCAATAATCCAATGCTGATAGACTTGAAGGTGTTGGCACACAGATCGCTGGCACTGTGGAACAGCTCACCCAGTTGTCAATGGCACCAGCTCATCGAATAGGGCAAATGCACAAAAGACATAAGCTTCCTAGAGTGGTAACATACAATAAACATGCTGTAAAGAAGATTCAATTAGCTACAGCAATACAGGGCTCGATTTAAGGATATTGATTTAACTTGCACCAGGTGCATGCAGACATAAAAACCAAGTTGCACCTGATTAAATCAGGTTGCACCCTGTCAGCATGCCTGACCACCCCATTCTATTGGTCATGTAACAAGCATGGCTTGCTGAAGACCAGTTCTAACCCAGATCTTCACGGGTTGGTAAACTTCAGTGAGAGATAAAGCTACAGTACAGAACATAATCTTGAATTACCCAGTTTGATGATGTCAGGCCCAAGAAAGCATTAAACATTACAGATAACAAAGGGATTAGTGATGTAGTATAGTAATGTCATGATAAAGCTCAGAGGTATTGATTGTGTTCAAAGAACAACATTGTGTGGACAAATAAGGGTTAGCCAGACTTGATGCATATGTAAATATTAGGCTGCATTTTTCAATAATAGGTAGCACTGGTGCATGTTATATGTAGCTAAATCGAGCCCTGCTATAACATTGACAAATATGAGCTTCATCAAAGGAAAAGCCATTTTTGACCCGTTTGCATGGTTATTTGAGTGTTAGAATAAACTTTTAACATTTCCACAAGTCCACCATTTCTTTCATAGCACTGAACTAAAAATACTGAAGCAATCAGGACTTACTATCTCAGAATAGGATCCCAGATGTACAATCCTATCAAAATACCACTAATCTTTGAAAATACAGGCACCATTTGTTTCTATGTTCAGGATATATCCCCAAAGGTCTACTGTAACGTCAACCAACAGTAAGGCAACAAAAGCAACGCTACTTTCCAAGGACATAAACTTTGATATCCTCTAATAATGTGAAAATGGGTGTTTTTGTGTCTGCTATGACATATGCAAATGATAAAGACTACAGTTCTCATTTCCAATAGCACAGGAAACAAGAAATGAAGAACGCATGTTTTGATCTTGAGCATCTTGACTTTTCTACCTGGAGGTAAACTAAAGTGATGGTACTGCAAGCTAGCACTGAGACAATCACAGCTCCCTGATTCCAAGCTAGCAGTCCACAGTTGACTCCATCAAGGGAAGACACACGAACCATCAACTCATCATACAGGACAGGAGACCCCACAAGATGGTAGGTAGGTCCATGTGGAGACGTACTCAACAAACACAAGACAATGACTGATCAACTAAAAATCAACATTTTGGAGTGCTCAACTCACTGAGTCTGTGCTAAACAAAACAAAATGCAACTCAGAGGAGCGAAGATGGCAGTATAAATAACGATTAGCATCCAAGATGGTGCCTCTATTCAAGGCCATCGCAGGTAGAAGATGCAGGCGGTTGTTCACAGTATGGTGCAGTTCTGGTGGCCATTGCGGTTGTTCTTCTGTTTGAGCCGTGACTTTGGACGGTAATGTTCCAAGTAAGACAGCTGTTTAGCATTGATTGCACCCTTTCGTTTCCTGGAACAAGATTTGGATAGTAAGTAAGCATCAAATGACAAACAAGTATCTCAAAGTCTTTGCAAAGATTCCACCTTTACTGATAGTAAATTGAAAGTCAACATCACCGAACCTGATTAAGCTTTCGATCATCGATGTGAAAAACTATTCAAATCATTACTGTTCACTCCTTGAGATTTAACAATCTACAGTTCTGCCAAAAATAATAATGATCTACATGTATCGGTGTAATATAGGTCACAAATACAGGACCCGTGAAGATCTGGGGTGGAAAAGGCGACTATGCTTGTCGTAAGAGGCAACTAACAGGGATAAAGTGGTCAGGCTCACTGACTTGGTTGATGCATGTCATTGTATCCCAATTGTGTGGATTGATACTCATGACGTCAATCACTGAACTGTCTGGTCCAGACTCGATTATTTACACCGCCATCATGTAGCTGGAATATTGCTGAGTGCAGCGATAAACAACAAAGAAAGGACTTACTGTCTAATGAGTTCCACAGCATCTTCATACTTCATGCCACTCTCCATGAGTGCTAGGGCCACCAACACCGGTGCTCTGCAACATCAGCAGCAGCAGCATTAACACACAGTGTCCATGTTACATGAACACTCTCTCTAATACTGCATATTCCATTATCATACTCCTGAAGAATATATAAGCAAGAGGAACTTCTGATATGTGAACCTAAAAAAGCATTTTGGTATCTCATAAATGTGGCATGGACACTAACGTAAACTTTGCTGCATTTGGGAAAAAATCTAAATTAATTTAATAATTTTTTACAACCATCATTAACTATTGGACTATGTCGCTTTGGCCATGGGACAAGTTGGTGCTAGTTTCTAAGGCTAGATGATGATGAAAACTTTCTAAGGGGTGCCTAATTCTTTACCAAAAAAGCAACTTATCTTTCCTTAGCTCAGCTATTTTAATAAAACAAAGCATTTACTTTGGTCAACCATTATCCTTCAATCACTTCTAATTCCACAACACAAAATTTGCTTAGTTTCTGCCCTTCTCATGACAGATATATTTTTAGAAATTTGCTGCTAAATCCAAGCTAAACTTCTTTGAAAATTTCAAGATAATAGTTGGTGAAGCTTAATTTGTAATGGCATCATTTCAGACAACATTATGGTGCCAGACACGAAAGACCTGCGCCATAAATTGTACCCATGCAGGACCTTGAAAGTAACGTATGAAAAGTAAACACATTAACCATTACACTATCCCACCTTCCCAAACAAAGTTGTTGTTCTCAAAGACCACCATCCCATGTGTGTGTGTGTGCCATGATTGTGTCCGTCCATGTTAACACATTGATTTCCATGATGGCGGATGATGTGAGTGATGAACAATCCCAGAGTGTATGTACCTGCCGAGACCTGCCACGCAGTGTACTGCCACACAGCAGCCTGGCTCCTCCCGGAAGCGTGTCTTGAGCAGGTTAAACCAGTCTTCCACGACTGCAGCTGGCGGGGGGCTGCCATCATCGAATTGCCAGTCCTATGAGGAAATAACAAGTGCAGTCAGTCCACAAGAATCATAGCACTATCAACTCTCAGTGCAGTAATCCCAAAACTTAAGAAGCAGGATATAGGTCACAAACTACCTTCCTTTACTTTGCTTCACTCCTTAATAAATATGGCAAAACAGTTATCTCCCTTTGACCACAAGCAATTTTCTCCTGCATGCATGCTAATTTCCCTTAATAACCCAGATACATACTTTCCTCCCACCCTATTATCATTGATTATGTCAGGCAATCAACAATCCAGCTTTACAGCATAGTGTCATCACAACCATGCAAGCCCAAGCCCTGATACATGCCATCAGGACACGATGACACATTAACAGCCAGGTCTCACATATCAACCACAAGATTCTCATTTCAGGCGACCCTTACAGCAGGGGTTGAAAAATCTAACAAGAGTTCCCTAGTTTTGCTGGACCCAAAGACTTCAGAAATTCCACTGATCAAAAATGCTTTCAGCTTGGTCCCAAAATTAATCAAAAGAAAACAGCATGTCAGCCATATTCCTTTGCTAGTAATCAAGTTTCTCAGCATGTGACGATCATGTTGAATGTAGTGTCCTTCCGACAATGTTTGTATTTTCATATGAACAATTTAGATAACGGAAAACGATATCAGTTTTTAATTATGACTTTCATATAATACTCTCAGTCCAGCAACCAATCAAGATACATCTGATCCGTGTAGAAAGGTGGACTGTTGTTAGCAAGTTGGTCGATATCTGTAGATGATCATATTTCGTATTTCAGATAAAAATTTACATAAATTTTGTTTTGTGATTCATTTGAAATGGTTTGAAAATGAGCTAACCCACTGGACCAAATGACCACTTACATGTTTGATTCCATGTGATATATATCTGGTCTTGGAGTGCAGATTTGACAATCTTTCAACCCCTACATACAGGCATAAGCTGCTGGGGATTTATTCTGCCCCATAATCAAAACAATCCTCCAAGGGACGTTTGCTATTATCTTTAGTGTATATAACACGTTAATCCAAGATTAACAATAGAGTGAGTCAGTATGGTTTTACGCCGCTTTTAGCACTATTTCAGCAATATCATGGTGGTGGACACCAGAAATGGGCTTCACACATTGTACCTATGTCAGGAATCGAACCCGGGTCTTCGGCGTGATGAGCAAACGCTTTAACCACTAGGCTACCCGACCGCCCCGATTAACACTAGAACTGTTATGAACCAACAAGCAGGTGTAACATTGTAGTCCCTCACCAAGACTCGGATGCCCTCTTCCTTGAGTCTTTCTGTGTTATAGGTGGGGTCACACACTCTCACCACATCCTTTGCCCCACGCTTCTTCAGTTCCTGCAACACATAAATGTTTCAACATCAAGCCTGCGTACGGTTTTACAACTGTATAACTACTTTCAAAGACACTCCAGAAGAAACTGCAGACTCTAAAGTCATAGCTTTCAAAAGACAAGGGTCAATCTCAATTGGCAGTTTCATACATCGCTGCTTCTTGTGGACGATAACATTACATGGTATACTGTATTTATATATATCTTTTAAAGTTTTATCCTACCTGTTATGCAAAATATTTCCAATAAGGCTAAAAAAAATAAGTCTCGGTTCTCAGGCACTGCCCGCATCATCATAAAGTGTGCTGCACGTTTTGTTTTTATTTCCATTTTCCTAAAAAAAATATAAGTTACCCAGTTACTTCCCTTTACTGCGCATCTCATGTAATGGCCATGGTGGCAATAGGAGTTTGAATGCTTGTTTTTGTAGGGAGGCCCTTTCCCATGTTGATAGTACACAACTGTTCATCCATAAATTCTTATGCTTACTTAGTACTCCAACTTCTAAATGCCTATCAAAGAAGTTAATCTCTTTATTTGGTTACATACTAGTTTTAAAAAGAAAAAAACACACAAAAAAACACTGCCCGCCTGCACTATATTTTCAAAAGTCATTGCCTGAGAACCATTTCTTTTATTTTTTTAAGCCTAATATTCTGAATAGTTTCTGGAGAGGTGTGATGAAATGGGGTTCAACTTCATATTCATGATTTTTGCACTTATCTAGTGACATGTGCATGTGTGTGAGAGCACGTGTCTGCTTGTACCAGTCCAGTCTAATGGCAGTTTTATACACAGTATACCAACTCCAAGCTGACCAGTCCTTGTTTTATCCCCGTAATGCCGAGCGCCAGGCAGGGTAACAAGTATCATCTTGTACTGTCTTTTGGTTTGATGCGGTCAGGGATCGAACCATCGAACCATCGACCTGTCCGTTTCCGGACAGACGATCTAGCCATCAAACACAGAGGTGGTCACATAATTTCTACTTATGCAACAACGTAGTTCGAGTTAGCACTATGATCACGTTCGACACAAAAAGCCTAACCACTGGGTATTTCTTCCTACAATCAAATGTCAGCACTCAGGTGTCCATATTTACCTCAATGAACTTATCAATGGTGGAATCAGTTGGTCTATCCATTATCAAGTAGCGCATACTCTTGAACTCGATCTCAGCGGGCTCGGGTCTGCGGGCTTTCATGGCTGCTGTCATACTATTTATCCACACACAAGATTACACCGAGAATCATACACCGAACGAAGTGTTATATTAATCTTCTGCTCACACCAAGTACAAAGTCGTATTGCAATTCTTGAACAAAAATGCTTAAGCAGCTGGTAGAAAATATTTTCTTCAAAAATATTTTCTCTGTGGTGATATTTCTTTGTTGTTTGTTTTTCACTCCTGGCTACAAAACATAAGCGATGAAAGACACAGGGGTTTTCAGTGTCCAATGGAGTGGGTCAACGAAACGTTCTTAACCCATCCAAACTCCAAGCAATGAGGGCCTTCGGAGCCCCCACACGAAGGTCAGTTAGCCAATCAAATGAGAGTAGCGTGACTGCAGCACCGTGGTTGCCGTGACAACGTTGTCAAGGGCAGGCGACTCCGCAAGCTCTCTACTCGTGTTGAGCCTGACAGTAATCCCCGCTGTTTGTCACAAACTCCATAAAGGTATGACCGTATTCACCGTTAAACTGCAACAAACAAAAAAATATATATAATTCTTCATGAAAAATTACATAAATATATACACACACGCTCAGCAATATTCCAGCTATATAACGGCTGTCTGTGAATAATTGAGTCTGAACCAGGCAATCCAGTGATTGATATCAAGAGAATCAATCTATACAATCTACAAACATATCAAGAGAATCAATCTACACAAACTACAAACGATGACATGCATCAACCAAGTCACCTAGCTTGACCACCCGATCCCTGTAAGTGCCTCTTACAAGCATGGGTTGCTGAAGACCAGTTCTAACCCAGATCTTCAATGAACAGCACATATATCTTACTGTCTAGTTAGAACTTATTCTAAATGTATCACTAGCAGTGAGTACTGGATTTAATGAGCCCAAGGGACTTGTACACAGTGTTTGATATTAAAGGGAATCCTTGACTCCTTGAGGTTTGCTCCTATAGTATTTGCATCTAGGGCCTTCCGACCCCTAATTTTTTTACTTTTAACATCAGGACTATGACAATGATCTCCTGATTTTCATGCTTAGTTTGGAACACTATACACCATTAATGATGAGGCAGATTCACAAATTGAAATTGCATGTTTAGTGTCATACAGAAACATGCATGATCTATCATGTAGAAGGCGAGCCATGGCCTCAGTCCACAAGTAGCCACAGTAAAATATGGAGTTAGGACAACCATAGCACTATAACTGCTTCCTGGTATAAACCCGGAACAAATGTCTTGAGAACGACTCGTTTGAGAGTAGCCAAACAACAACCATAGTATCTGAACAGTAACTAACAGAGTTATCCTCTCCAATCAACATGATCAGTAATACTGACTCGCCTTTTACACGATAGATCATGCAGGTTTTTCCATTAAGCTGAAGTATGCAATTTCAATTTGTGAATCTGCCACCTGAACATGCTGCCTGCAAGTACATTTGGGTTGAAACAAGTACAGTTGACATGCAAGTGCAGACATTAAGTTTCCAGTTTATAAGCATCTTTCAGACCACATGAAGGGCCAATGATGCACGAATTACTTCAGACAATACACAGAGAGAGACATGAATCATGAGTAGAATCCTATGACCCATGACAAGACAGAAGCTCCGGAGTACTACGGTACTCACAAACCTGTAGTATTCTATGCATGACCATGCTGAAGCCGAACAAGTGTGACGACACACCAGATACACTCAACAGAACTGTGCAATCTTGCAGGTTGCTGAGTGTGCAAAGACATCCCACTGTATACAATGCTACTGGGTGACAGGGTGCACAGACATTACCCTAGTACATAGCTTCTATACCTGGAGTAGTAAACTCAAAGAGTGTTTATATCCAGCTTCCGAAATAACTGCCTGCCTGCATGCCAGCTGGTAACTTTTCTGTCAGGCAGCATGAAATGTTCCTCACCCTGCCTGACTGTCTGGCAATTGTCAGACACGATTGTCTCTTATTTGTCAAATTTTTTCAATTTTCAATGTTTATAATGTCTGAATGAGGGCAGCTAACTTTGAAGATGGACAGGCAAGTGCCCGACTGTCTTGTTGGGTTTTTAATTTGTTTCAAACACTGTTTATATCTATTTTTCTTAAGCTATTTTCAAATCCCTTACAATATCACAGTCTGTGCCAGTGCCTGTGTATTGTTAACTGATCTTACTAGACCCATCAGAATTTTAGGAGACTGGGGTAGAAGTCATGGCCTAAGTCGCACACAGTTTCTAAAAATGTCTCTTGCATAAAATAATTATGCCATAGATTGCAATGGTCTCCTCAGATGATAGACATGCGTACCATCTTATGTCTTGTGTAATTAGTTCATTCAATGGTGTCAGACAGTGCACTGGTGAGCATGGTGAGACCAAAAAGACAATTCATTCAATATCTCAGCTACCTCAGATACATTCAGATTATACAGGTTTACCACACTCACTTGAATCAGTCTGGCAATTTTCCTAGCATGTATCTACAAATAGGTCGGCTCCTTGCATGTAGTTCAATTGGCAGTAATTACCTTAACTGATGACGAATTATTTTACCAAAGTGGCATACCTCTCAGACCCAATCTCACTCCACTTGTATTAAAGTTTTTCAATATCATTTTTGTCAATACCACTGAAGAAAAACTAGAAATAAACTTATCAATTTTCTATTAACATTGATATAAAAAACAACTATTGGGATCATTAGTAATTATGGTATTCCAATCTGCTCAAAAAACAGTTCAGTTACTGGCTTGGAGCAGTAGTTTCGTCTTTCCCTATGTACTATCACTAACTGAGCTTACTGGACGAATACATCTTCCTAAATTCAGACATAACTATGGATTAGTCATAAAATTTGTTGACTGGTAAACATCTTTTTATTTGGAGTGTGTAGCAGGAAGTAAATGTAGTCCTACAAACTGAAACTTATCAATGTGACCATCTTTCAGGATGTTTGTTACTCAACATCCGTGTCAAAGGATAATTTTGTTCCTATGTGTATTCAACGCTATATTTGATAATGTAAGATACATTATTATACATGTGATAAGCAGTATAAGGGGACCCATTGACAGAGACTGGTGCACTGCACTTGAACCAATGCATAGGCTTTATTGAAGTTATAAATGGAGATCAGTCTGTTTAGACGTTGGCTAATTAGAAACCAAATACTTCATGTTTTCCAAAGCAAGTCTTCCTGTTGTTAGCATAGCAATTCACTGTCAATGTAAAATGCAATTCCACAACACTGTCATTTAGTAGTGCCTGAAATCATGAAAGTCCATGTCATAACCCTCAGTCAAAAACTGATCGGGGGTCCCTATCTTGAAATACAACAGCAGGGAACACCAAGTACCCTTGGAGCCCCTTCATCACTGGTGATATCATGTGAGCCATATGTACCAGATATTCATTAATGACTACCATGACAACAGGGCAGTGTTACAGATTGAACACCATTCCATCAACATGTACATACCCAATAAAATAACCAGTTCATCAAAATCCAATCAACGACAGATAGCATCCACTATCATCACCATGGTTACATCACAAGTCATCAATATGCTAATCACCATCTGGGAACTCATCCACTTGTATCAATACACTCTAAGTTTCCACCAACCCCCATAACATTGATCAACTACATCCTCCACAAAGAACATTGATTTCAACTTAATTCTTCGTTCACATCTCAACACTTGTGTTTGATAGCCTTATTTTTTTCTGCAGCTTGACAGCTTCATCAACAATGTTACCTTGATCCATACAGCCACACCGCACGCTGAGGTCCTGATTTACCTACGCTAATGAATCCGGCCAGATTGATACAGCCATGGTGCACCTACACTGATTGACTGTCTCCTGATTTACGGCTAGTCAGCTATCTCCACATGGCCAGCTAATGGGGAACAACACATCAGTCAGGACACTGTCAAGGATTTGGCAGCTCAAGTACTGCTGAGCATGTTGATTAATGACGCAAATATTGAACAATGAGATAAAAAAGCAATACCACTGAGGCTGATGATGGTGGTAATTATATAGGTATGATGTACTTATATATGAATCAATTTGGTTGTTTGGGAACTATAAAGAACCTGGCTGTCTGGAATATATCGTATATACACTTTGATCCTAACAGGCAGCAACATTCATGGGAAACAACAGGTCAATGGCCCCATATGTCATACTTCCTATACAGACAAAACAGTGCAGAATAAGTAGATGATCACATGCATAACAACAGTCCTTTTCCACTGACAGTGCACATTACTGGTCATATGTCTGTCTCATAGTCCCTGAAACATACTATTTTGCCCAGCCCTTACTGTAATGCTATAACCCTAACTAAAGTAAGTCTACATTTTCCACAGGTCCTGAAACTCCCATCTCATTGAGTCTCCTTTTCAAATTAAACAGAGTTGTTTGTTTCTATCAAAATTATAGGGGGCGGTCGGGTAGCCTAGTGGTTAAAGCGTTCGCTCATCAAGACCCGACCCAGGTTCGATTCCCGACATGGGTACAATGTGTGAAGCCCATTTCTGGTGTCCCCTGCCCTGATATTGCTGGAATATTGCTAAAAGTGGAGTAAAACCATACTCACTCAAAATTATATATTTTTAGAGACTAAGCATTAGTCTACTAGCATCGATAAAGAATTGCTAACTATGTACAGTGAGAAATTAAAGGAGTCCTTGAGACTTTCTTCAACAGTATTTGAATCTAGGGAACCCTTATTTCGGATATTTAACATAATAGGATCATGACAAGGACCTCTCTTGCCTTTATCCTTAATCAAGTTAATTTTGAACACTGATTTCTATTTCCATTCAATCTTTCTAGGGCTGTACATGTTGTATTGGATTTGTTTGAGGCTCACTTAGAAATCAAATACAGTAATATGATTTCAACATACGACTGAACCTGTGACTCATGCAGGTAGAAGTGACAGTCAATAATCATATCTGCCGGCATCGCAAATAATGTTGAACACAAATGTCAATAACAGTCAAGCACATAACAAGAAATATGCTTGAACTTGTGAAACACACTCAGCTGTACATTTAACTCTGACAAATTACATCTATCTAAACAAATTGGAAGCTTTTCCAAACTTGAAATGATCCTAGCATATTCTTAAAATATGACCGAACTGACAACATTGTTGATTCACACCTTTTAAATTCTAACCACAGTTGCAATACAACATAGGCAATGATAAGAGCTATGATTGTCTTTCTTGAGAGTGATTCAAATAATTACTGGATGATTACACAGCTAAGAACATGAAGAACAGTCCGGTTTCTTCCATTACTGATCAAAAATAAAGGTCTTAACTCAAATCCTTATCATGATTACAGTGAAGTTTCATGTTAGCAAACACCAAATGGAGGCAGCATTGTGATTAACAGATCAGCCCAAAGCAGCTAAAATCAGTGCTCAATCAAATAATACATCAACAATTGAAAAAGAGTCTTTGAAACAAATACTCACATTTACCAAG